GCTGTCCTCATACAACAACGGCGATTTCGATCTGAGCTCGCAGCACCTCACCTGCTTTGATGGCGGCAGTTTCCTGCTGGGCGGTACCGTTCTCGGTCGCCAGGATTTTATTGACTTCGGCTTGACTTTGGTGAACGGCTGCGAAGATACCTACAACCAGACCTTGACCGGAATAGGCCCGGATTCATGGGGCTGGGACCCGAACTCTGTGCCAAGCAGCCAGAAGGCGTTCTATGAGCGTGCTGGATACTACATCAGCAGCGGCATGTATGATCTTCGGCCCGAAGTGATTGAGAGTTTCTACTATGCCTACCGTGTCACAGGCAAGCAGATTGTAAGTATTGACCAAGCTGTGACTGGACAACGCTAATGGCCTGTCAGTATGCGGACTGGGTATGGAATGCTTTCAAGGCAATCAATGCCACCTGCCGCACCGACTCCGGCTTTGCGGCGGTGAGCGACGTCAACGCGGCCAGTGGTGGTTCCAAGTACGACAACCAGGAGAGCTTTCTGTATGCCGAGGTGATGAAATACTCGTACCTTACATTTGCAGAGGGTATGTCAATTTCCTGCAGCCAGAGAAGTCTCATACTGATAGCCACTAGATGCCCCATGGCAGGTCAAGACCGGTGGCAGCAACACCTTTGTCTTCAACACCGAAGCTCACCCACTGTCCGTCTCGCACACTTGATTTTGCGTTTTGTGCAAATTCCTAAAGCCTATGCGTTATCAGTACATAGCATGTCCAGAACTAGAGCGTATTCTTAGCATTAGATCGATGGATATATTTTCCCCTGGCTTTCCTTTGTTGAATTGCAGTAGATTCATTCGTGGTAGACAAGAGGCTGGGATGATCTCAACTCCCTTGCTTGGTTTCAGATCTCGCGTGTTGTCCCCTAGCAGCTGCGGTGTCCATGCACCTGGGGTATATGCTGTGGCAGTTGGGCCCGCATTTGCATCGCAGAATGTCTCAGCCAGATCTACGAAAGGTTATAGATGGCTGGGATTACTGGAACGCACGCCTTGTCCTTCATTCACTGCTCTGAGTTTGGAATATTCCATAATCATGAATTGGATACTTATTGTCTTGGCTCATATCTAAATAGCCACAAATATAGTCACTAAAGACATAACTCAATAACAGAACCATAACCAATAATGAGAAGCCGGGAATTCTTTGATATATATATCTAGCTGTCTATATCGTCTAACAGACTCATCCTTGTTCACCACACGCGGAATGCTTACTGTTGAGCTTTCGCCCAAGCAGTTGGCCAGACAAGCACGGTGCTCACCAGCATCGCCATTCCAATTCCCAGCGTCTCGAGGGGAATCCACCCCAGGAAAGATCCAGGAAGTGTCAGGTCCAAACTGTCAATGACAATCCGGTTCAGTAGGGATAAAGTCGATGGAGCTGGTTTCGCGGGAGCAACTTCTTTGGTCTTCTCCTGTTTCTTTTCATCTGTACCCGAAGTTCCACTTGTAGTGCTTGGTCCTGCTGAACCAAGCACGAGTTCCTTGGATGTTCTTGCGATTGATATACAAATGGCATAGAACCAAAACTTGTTGGCTTCGAGCAGAACGGGCATGTACCACGAGACCAAGTAGATATTCATGTCGTGCAGCTATTGTAGACTCAAGTCAGCAGTGTGTACCAACGACTGTTTCAGATTTGAAGGAACAGTTACCATAGTCAAGTCCTCCAAAAGAAAATAAAGCCCGAGGCAACTGGATTCCACCACCTCTAGCATCATCATCATGGTTCCAGCTGCAGAACCTCCGGCCAAGAGGTCTTGGACATTCTGGAAAAAGTCTAGAAAACAGAAGAATCGGAGATACCGCCTCGCTGGATACTATCAGTACCCAGTTCGCAAACACTTATCTAGGGAGACCGAGGGCAGGCGATAAACCAACCGAGCGCTAGCTGGGACGCCGCTATTGCACACTTCGTGACAGTAGCATTATCGAGATTAAGCTCTGCCCCAATCAGAACGAGAGCATGGACTAGGCGGAGAGTCAAATCGAGGCCGGCGGTCGAATTGGTGAAATTGGCCAGTTGTTTGGAGAGTGACGCCTTCGAACGGGCCGGATAAGTGTGGGCCATTATCTGGACAGACTTGGCGATTTTTGTGGAGACAGTGATATGAAAGAGCTGTTTAGTTAAAGGTGGCTTGTCTACAGGGATACGTATATCTTTATCTTGTACGGATCCAAGAAAGTGCGCGCCGCAGTATTCTTGGAACCCTAACCCTAACTTAAATGTGGTTTCCCGCGGAAAACTCAATACGATATCTAACACGAAGCGCTAGGACAGTATCTTACAGATCGGCGCTATACGACGTAAGTATTGTGGAGTAAACGAAGGAGGCGTCCAGTGGGGAATATGATTCGCCAAGATGAATACGGGGCCTCCTTCTTCGGTTTAACATGATGCGGGGGTATTCGAGATAACTGCCAGATAAGGAGTTGGCACAGACGACAGCAATTCGCGTACATTCCTATAATAAGAGGGTTTATCGGCTCCTTCCCCCTCTACGAGCAAGCAATGCCAGCGTGTCCAGTGCATAATATCTCCGTTACTGGAACAGAATTGAAGCTATGGAATCTCCTACACATCCCGATAGGGTTGGTGACCCGACCAAGACCTTCGACGCGAAGGATCGCGACCCAAGCCTAGATGGAAAAGGCGAAGAGGCTTTGCCTGCTGAGCTCATATCCGCTGGCTCGGAACACTTACACAGAAGGCTAGGAGGAAAGGAGATACAGCTGCTTGCAGTTGGTGGCGCAATTGGAACATGTACGCAAATACCCCTGAGGTTAGACATGGATCAAGCTCATTTGATTGCCCCTTCACAGCTTTGTTCGTGCAAATGGGAGCTTCTCTCCCTAAGGGTGGCCCTGCAGGACTCTTTTTGGGATTTATCTTATACGGCACAATTATTTTCTCGGTCAATCAATGCTTCGGTATGTTCGAGTCCCCTTTAATCCCTTCACTATTTTGCAGCTATGACCATGCTAACAAGGCCATACTCCGCAGCCGAAATGGTCACATATCTCCCCATCGCGTCGCCATTTATTCGATTAGGCGGATTCTGGGTTGATGACGCGTGGGGCTTTGCGTTGGGTTGGAATTACTTCTTCCTTATGGGTATGTCATACTCAAGCCTTTTCAGCAATTTCCGTGATTTGGTTGTCTGACAGCTCTTTTTATCTTCTTGAATACAGCATTCGCTATCCCATACGAGATCACGGCAATCAATGTGCTCCTTACCTTCTGGACAGACAAGGTTCCTATCGCGGCAGTTGTGGTGATTTGTTTAGTGATATATGCGTGCGTTCCCTATACAGCCGACCCAAACCTGGGTTAACAGGAATTGACTAACTTATGATTGAAGTGGGCTCAATGGACTTGCAGTCCGGTACTTCGGAACAGCCGAGTTTTACCTGGCCATTTTCAAGATTTTCCTCATGATCGGACTCATTTTCTATACATTTGTCACCATGGTCGGTGGGAATCCAGAACATGATGCCTACGGATTTCGCTATTGGAACAAGCCTGTAAGTGGACAACATTCGTCCTTTATCTTCATTGGCTAACAAAACGCCGCAAGGGTGCATTCGTCGAGTATCTTGCACCAGGGAACACGGGACGGTTTTTGGGGATACTTTCATGCATGATCCAAGGATCTTTTACGTGAGTATATTATTGTGAACATTGAGTGCCGTTTAACTGATTCCATTATACAGCATGGTTGGCCCAGAGTATATTTCCATGACCGCCGGTGAAGCAGAAAATCCTCGCAAATTGATGCACCGAGCTTTCTCTTCATTTGTCTGGCGTCTTTTGTTTTTCTTTCTTGGAGGCGCTCTCTGTGTGGGAATTGTCATTCCATATGATGACAAGCTCCTGACCTCCTATCTCGCTGGAAGCAAATCCGGGACTGGAGCTGCGTAAGTCTACCCCCCTCCCTTTTCCAAACTCCAGGATGTCTAACTTAATTGACTATCAGATCTCCCTATGTCATTTCTATGGTTGAATTTGGAATCAAAGGCCTTCCTTCCCTGGTCAATGCCTTGATTATGACATCTGTTCTTTCCTGCGGAAACAACGTTGTGTTCTCTTCTATCCGTACACTGCATGGTTTGGCAGTTGACGGGAAGGCCCCAGGCTTTCTTGCAAAGGTCAACAACCATGGTATTCCGTACTACGCTGCCATTACATCTCTGGCCTTTTGCCTTCTCGCCTTCCTGCAGCTCAGCAAATCGTCATCCACCGTCCTGGATTGGCTTGTTGGAATTTGCACCGCGTCATATCTGATCAACTACTTCGGAACCATTGTGACTTATCTACACTTTTATGCCGCCCTTCGCAAGCAAGGGATTGATCGAAAGACCCTGCCATATCAAGGAATTCTCCAGCCATATCTGGCCTGGTACGCATTGTTTGGTACGTTCATAATGACTCTGATTATCGGCTATACCGTATTCATCAATGGTGAGTGGGATATTACGACTTTTGTGACGAGTTACTTGATGGTTGGCTTCTTCCCCGTTGCTTTTGTGTTCTGGAAGGTCATCAAGCGTACGCAGTACGTTCGGCCAGGGGACGCGGACCTTCAACTTGGCAGTGTCAAAGATGACATTGACCTATATGAAACGCTATACGAGCCACCAAGGAGAGGGAAAATCTCCGGTTGGCTCAACAGTTTCTTCGAGTAACCGATAGGTTACTATTTGTATTGGAATAGTTAGCTGTTGATGCTTACATATATTGGAATTTGCTTTCAATTTACTATAGCAAGGGGGGGAATAAGCTTGCCATCTTGCACAAAGATCCAGTGTAACAGATGTCTTAAAAGAGCTAGGAGGTGGATGGAAATGCTAGTTTTAGTTAATCTAACAGCCAAGACATTGCAAGGGGAAGACTAAGTTGCATTTGACTACGACTCCCAACATACGAAACAATATGAACAATTGCAAGTTGAATCGATTTCCTCTATTTACAAGCCAACAATATCATCTGCGTTTAGAATTAAACTCGCGAAAAAGAGTGGTTCCCTCACAAATTCCTCTGCTCTAATAAACTCATCTGTAGTATGCGCTCGATTCAAATTCTCGACCAAGTTCACAGGCGTGAATCTGTAAATATTTTTGGTCAAAGCCCAATAAAACTTGGTGTCGGTGTTGGCTGGCATTAGGTATGGAGTGACGATAAGCTCGTCACCTTGGTCTAATGGTTTCAGAACGTTTTTGATGGTCCCGGACAAGATTCGGAAAGATTCAGCATCAACCGGAGAGACGGGAGCCGGCTCCAAGGCATCAACTCCAAACAGGCAAATTTTTCGTTTTTCTTGGGAATGACACGGGGATCGAAAGCCTTCAAAGGCCATACCGTGCTTTTTTGCAATGGGACTGATAAGATTTTCATAGTGTTCTTCAACCTGGGAGACGGAAGTTTCCACTGCAAGCCGCAAGTTGATCAATGCCGATGCGGATTCGGGGATTGCATTGATTTTGATACCACCATTGATCTTTCCAACAGACTGGCTTGTCCTGAAATAATATCTCATATCATCCAGTATTTGGGCCAATTTTTGTTGAGCCGAACCGTCGCCGTGAGCTACCTTGCTCAATTTGTCCCTGACCGAAATGGGGAAACTAGATTCTGGAGCATGCGCAGCAGCGCACTCCAAAATCCGAACATTGGATTCTTGGTGGTCACTTTTCCAGGGAATGGGTGATTTTCAATCGCCACCAGAATCTCCGATAGGACGCCAATGACATTGTGATCAGGCGGATTGCTTGCATGGCCACCAGTCGAGGTGACATTAATCCCGACGTCGAGATAACCCTTTTCCGCGACGGAGACCATTGCGAACGATTGATTAAATTCTCTGTGGATTCCCATGGATCCCTCGTCCATGATCAGATAGATACCGTCGTCACCATACCGATCATGAAGGGAATTCGAAATAGGCCTTGCACAATTCTCTCCGCTGATCTCCTCATCACAACCAAAAGCCAATATAACCGTTCTTTTAGGTTTAAACCCGCTCTTGATCAACAGATCCAAGCTCTCAATGATGGAAATAAGATAGCCCTTGTCATCAGTCGCACCACGGCCCCAGATAAGTTCACCATCGTAGTGGCCCTCATATGGCGGATGGGTCCAGTCTTTGACATTCTCAGCCAGTACTGGAACCACATCTTGGTGTGCAAGCATGAGAATTGGCTTCGCCTCTGAGGCTGGAACGCTGCCTTCCCATGTCAGGATCAACCCGTGGGTATTGGCATGATCCAGCTTAACATTCTGGAGGACGGTGGGGTATTTGGATTTGATGTAATCCTCCATTTGGTAAAATATATCCCATCTTTTGTCTTCGCCGATGGGGCCTAGCTCGTCATAACTTTCGGATGGAATTCGAATCATGCCAGAAAGCTTGTTGATGATTTCTCGGTGATATTCGGGCGATTCTACCTTTTCTCGCACAAATTGTTCAACTTTGGTGTTCTTTGGCGATAGCTTCGGCACCTGCTGGCATATTCCAGATTCTTTTCCCGGGGCATATTTGTCCAACCCATATGGGGCGACAAGCTTGAGCGGATTGCCGAGGATTGCGACAAGCGCTGACACCAGACCAAATGCGAGCGCACCACGAATCAACCATGAACTGGTGGTGGCCTTATCTTGTCGCTGATTGGTTTGCTTTTCCATGCTTGGAAATGTTAATAGCCAAAAGAATTGGAAGGGAAATAGATGAAAGCAACACTAAGCTTGAACAAGGGGGGTTGACTCGTGCCGGCAATTGATTTATAAGCCGGTCTAACTCAATACATGGCGAACATGTATCTATTGACATCCACATACTCGTTTGAGATCCTTTTAGTCAATGGGAAACAAATGCAACCATTTTGCGCTCATTGCGGCTTGTGGAGCTGGGCTACGAAGGACTAGGTCGCAAATAATGCGCGATCAGATCCAGTCGTCTGTCGCCTAGAACTGTCATTTACATAATTTCTCCGTTTACCCGATTCCCTATCTCTTGGCCATCCCGTCTGTTCATTCTGACTCGCAACCAGGTGGGTATGTCTGGGTGTCGGGGAGATAGGGGCCCGAATTCGGCGCTAGGCGAATTGACTCAAATCGAAGCCTGCGGGGAAGCAGGGATAATACGAACACTTGGGTTTTTATTTGAGCTTCCACTTTTGGCTTAGATTGGAGCTAGCGTCCAAGCTTATCGGTATTATTACATCCCTCAAAAGCAGCATCATCATTGTAGCCGGTACCGTAACTCCGCATGATTGACAAAATAAAGAACATAAGCGATATGATCCCGCGGGAAAGATTTATCTGTTTCCCGTGATACAAGAAAACAGCTGATTCAAGTCTGCATTTCCTATCCAAAAATTGAACTGAGTTTGATGAGCTGGCGATTTCATACATCGCAGTCATGTCCGATATGCCACCTGCTTAGCAAGACCCCGCAGTGGGGCCGAGTATGTAATTCTCTAGAAACAGTCGCCGCTAGACATCCAGATTTTTCCTACCTTCAAAATCTACAATATTCATTGACTGAACGAGTCTGTCCGCCTCCAAACTTGCAAAATGGCGGGTTCTAAGCTATCACGAGCTGCGAACGAATTCCGAAGTGACACTTTCACCACACCGACACCGAGCATGCTGGAAGCCATGGCAAACGCTACCATGGGTGATGATGTCTATGAAGAAGACAGTACCACAACTGAATTCCAGAGTGAAATTGCTCGATTGACCGGGATGGAAGACGCCATCTTCATGCTGTCAGGGACTATGGGGAATCAAATTGGAGTCCGCGTCCATCTTAATCAGCCTCCGCATTCAGTGCTGTGTGACTACCGCGCTCACGTATATGCTGAAGAGGGGTCTGGGTTGGCGGTATTGTCTCAGGCAATGGTTACTCCAGTTCATCCCGCAAATGGTATATACTTGACCTTGGAAGATGTCAAGAAGTGGGTCACGCTGGGTGATGATATTCATACTGCACCGACAAAAGTTATCAGTCTTGAGTTGACAATCGGAGGGGTGTTGACTCCGATTGAAGAGATTCAAAAAATTTCTGATTTTGCACATGCCAATGACATCAAGATTCATTGCGATGGTGCTCGACTGTGGAATGCATCTGCGGCCTCTGGATATTCGCTAGCCGAGTACTGCAAATACTTTGACACTGTTTCAATGTGCGTTTCGAAGGGACTGGGAGCGCCCATCGGTGGAGTCCTTGCAAGCACTAAATCGAACATCAAGCAGGCTAGATGGTTGAGAAAACAACAGGGAGGTGGTATTCGTCAGGCTGGCGTTCTGACATCTGCTGCTATGGTGGCACTGAAAGAAGTCTGGCCAACTATGAAGCAAACCCACGAAAAAACCAAGAGATTGGAAACCGACTTGGCAGCCTTGGGCGTTGTGCCTCAGATTCCGGTCGACACCAATTTCTTTTTCATCGACGCCGGGAGATCGAAAATTGATATGGGGGTATTGTTGGAGCAATGCAAAAAGTTCAATGTGAAGTTGATGGATGAGCGAATCGCTTTGCATCATCAAATTAGCGATGAGGCAATTGAGAACCTCAAAGCTGCAATCGCGGAAGCCGTGAAAATCACAAAGGACTTGCCTCCAGGGTATGTCTCCCAGGTCCAACCAGCTGGATATGGGAGCACTTCGAAGATGAACGAGTATAGCTAGCGGGTTTCTCTGCATAGAGGGCTTTCATATCAAAAGGAGACCGCAGATAGACTGATTATCTTGGTCTTTGCTTCTTGTATTTAAAATGACAGTAAACATTCTTTTTCTCTCCTCGATTACTTTTGCAGGCTGCTTAAAAGCTCGAGAGAAAACAATCTGTATCTTAGTATTGTGATGTTTAATAGCCCTGAATCGATTGTTTGCAAAAGCCTGCTGCCTATGGATGGACCATTACTAAAGGTGGTAACTCAACGAGGACGCAGATAAATTAATTTCTTGTAGTAGACTGGAGCAAAACTAATGATAAACTAGGACCCAAGGGGATATCTAGGTAGAAGCTTAAGAGCTCTGTGTCGGGTCACCAACTGCAGCAGCTGGTGCGTAGTCGCTAAAATCGTATTCAATGTCGTAGTCTTCCTCATCAACGTCTCCATCGCTCATTTCGACATCTTGAAGATTCTCGCCCTCGTCAATTTCGTCGGCGGTGAACCCATAGTCTTCCTTACGGAGCTTCTTCCAAGCTGCAATTGTCTGTCTTCGCGTGAGACAGAAAGGCAATTTGGACAGAGGAACACATCCATCCTCAGTAACCTCAACAGTTTGGCCAACAGAGCTGGCAGTGTCGGTAGCCTTATCCATGAGAATAATATGGATAAAGAAAACCATGCCAGGCTTGGCCACAACATTCTGACCACGCACAAACATCGGGAAGTCCATCCATGTCGGCGAGAAAGTCGCACCCAAACTATACCCGCAGCTGTTGAAACGTTGGTCTCGGAAGCCATTCTCATCTGCAACTCGAGCATAAGCTTCGAAGACGTCGCCGATCTCTCGGCCCGGTCTGAGGGCCTCCATAGCTGCCTCCATTTGAAGAACATTGACTCTGTGCATTTCTCGTGCAAGCTTAGTGATGCCGCCAATTGGAATAGTTCGCATTAGACAGGCATGGTAATGCTTGTAAGAAGCAGCGTGTTCCAGCGTAAGCTGGCGATCGATTTTGTCCTTTCCAGTGGAATACCGAGTCAGAACGGCTTTGTTGCCAGAGACAAGAATATTTTCATTGGCGGGATCATCACCACCACCTTCATAGACGGTCCCGACAATCTCTCGCCACAGATCCCCTTCATAGGCACCCGGCTTAGCCAACTTAAGCGTGCGAACGAGGGCGAAATCGGCCAGATAAGCAGCTTTTCGAACCTTACGCATTTCGGTCTCAGTTTTGACAATTCGCAGCTCTCGGGTAAATAGGTCGCTATGATCCACCAAAGTGCAAATGCCTTCGACCGCTTGTTCTAGGGCTTTGCCCAGGCGATGGGTCAGTGAGCAAGAGTCTGGCTCATAACCAATTCGCTTGGACGGGGAGTTAATGCCGAAATCCGTCAGGACCTTTGGAACCAATGAAACAGGATTGCTTCCGGCATCATCAGATCGAATAAGGACATCCTTCTGCTCCAGAATCGAGGTATAAAGTGCCTGGCGCAAATCGGGGATTCGAGTAATCAACTTCATAGAGCCGTCGCTGTGGAAGTACATGGCTTGGAAGAAAACGTAACCGAAAGTGTCGAAACCAGTGAAATAGTACAGCGACTCCTGCTTGGTCATGAGGAAGCCATCGAGGTTCTCTCGCTTCATGAGTTCCAAAGCCCGGTTCCGTCGCTCTTGGAACTCAGCTTCAGTGAAGTAGAGAGCTTTCTTGAAGGGCTGAGCTTTCTTCATAGTGACCATTCTGTTCAACTCGAGATGGGAAGAGACTTTGTGTTCCAGTTCGCTTGCTTTGCTTGCTTCGAAGGAACGTCGAACAAAAGCCGCCTTTTATATTTAGGTGCAACTCCTATGATTGGAACACGTTGGCAGACAACCCGTCTGTTGGAACTAAGTATTGCTTTGAAAAGTTACATGCACATGTGTTGCTATGATTGCAATGCTAGCGCAATACCGTGGTCAGTCCCCCGTTATCGGCTCCATCGGTTGGTTTTTCCACATATAATAATCATGCCGATTGGGTGGCGAAAGTGATTGACAGGTGCACAAGCGTGGATCCCATGCGGGGTTAAGAAAGCTAGAACACGAGGTACATAACCCGATCGTGGCTACATAACACGAGCTGATAAGAAAAGCGGGGCCATAGACAAGACTAAGAGTTTCCCGAGGAAAACACAGTTGATATATACCCAGTCTAGAAGTCCAATCCAGCGTGGATCATCTAGATCATCTGATCCTTATCGTGTAGGAGACGCGTCCGACCCCCCGAAACTTCCTGTCGTCCGTCAGGTAGTCTGGACTGCCCCTGACTTGAATAGTGGTCAAACGATATTTCAAGAAAATAAAGAATTCCGTTTAACTATGGCTGCAATTCCAAAGCTTGAGTGAGCGGATACTATAGCTTGCTTTCTACGGTCTTCGACAATCTTTTGCTATCTGGACTATCTTCGTTCCTCTGTTGCTCTATTGTCTTTTGGGCTTCTTGTTCTAGTGCCCTAGCACAGGTTCTAGGCCCCAAGTTCTTCCCATTGACAAGTTGGAGGCTCGCAAAGGAGGACTATCGAGGGACATGCGCACGAACAATTCATCGCTTCCATAAATAATACGTCCAGCAGTTCGCATAGTTCTAGTGAGATCTATAGTCGCTTCGAGTTTCTGTGCGATTATATATTTCCCTTCGATTAGGTTGCCTTGAACTTTTATCTGTAGAAATCGTGATAATTCCCAGCTTGTTATTGCTTTCTTTTTCAAAGCGCTTGTTCCAGGCACAAGTCAGCGGAAAAAATAAGTTCCTGTTTTTGCCACCACCTCCAATCCAGCCATTTATTATTGCTCGAGGCCCACAAACACCCCACGTTCCAAATTGCACAGAACGAAGGTGCCCGATACAGCAATTGCATGCGATTTCAGGAAGAGAATATACAATTCTCAGAATGTAAGCATTTTAATCAAGGGATCAAAATGGCCTCAAAGAAGCCCTTTGGTCAATTGGGGTTGCCTGATCCACTCGACCCACATGCGCAGATTTGAGCGAGAACCCCAGAGATCCACCTGATCAATGAGAATATCTGCTCGATCCCACTCACCAGGCACCTTGGGAGATACCGAGAACCTTGGTGGTGGGGGCATTGATTCCTATATAGTGAGAGGAATCCAGACAGGTAGATTTTCACCTCAAATCGCACAGCAGAACATTAATTGTTACGTATACACACTTCATTCTCTCTTTCAAATTTACTATACCCTATCTACTTATTGCATACTTCTAGCAATATATTTTACCATGTGCGGGGGCGAAACAGGTCGACCCAGCTTTGGAGGAACGATCGCTGTGCTATTCCCTCAAGAGAATGAGCTAAATTCGAGTTTCTCATCTGATGTGTCATTATCCTCCTCACCAGACTCGGTCGCCTCTTCGGCTTCAACTTCTTCATCAACCTCATATATATCCTCATATTCTCTTTTCTTCCGCGACACCGGTATAGGGCGTCATACAACCAAGGCGATTTTTCGGACCAACGATACAAACACCTATAATGCACTTCGGGGATGCAAATATCTTCACATGAGAATAGAGTAAGTTGCTGTCGTTATTACTAGAACCAAAAAAAGGGCTCATGCGTTGAAAAAGGAAATACGGAGATCTCTCGATGACCACCTCTGCATCACCACCGCTCCACCGCTTCCGATTGGATGTCGCACAGGATGTGGCTCACCATAGCTCCGACTCTCAGGCTCAATTGGAATTTGAGCTTCCGCAGCGGCTTGATCTGGGTGTCTCGGAGAAAGGCGTTGTTGGCCGACAGGTTACCGTGAGAGAGGAGGGAGGTGCAGTTTTGGGCGTTGGAGTGGTTGGATATAACTGATCGGATTCGAGCATCTCACTACATGGAGTTTTCAATAGCGCAATGAATATCAAACATGTCCGCGAAAGTTAAAAAAGGCCCGTAAAATTGTGGTCATGTAATAGACTCAGAAGCTGCGGACAGTATTAGAGCTTAAGCAGGTTTTCGACACCAGCCGTGTAGCGCTTCTCAGCTTCTGCCCAGTTGATGATATTCCAGATACCATCAACATATCCGGCTTTGTTGTTGAGATACTTGATATCGGTTTTTGTCAGTGTATTAGGACATAGTGAAGGTGTCTTCATGCCCACCTGGAGGTAATACGCATGTTCCCACATGTCTACGCCGAATACCGGCACATCAGGTCCAACAATCGGGTCCTGATCCTTGGTCGTGGTGATTTCGAGTCGTCCACGAGGACCCCCGGAGCTCACGAGCCAGCCCCATCCACTGCCCTGGAGACTAAGCAACAGTGCGTTAAAGGCCTGAACAAAGGCAGACTCTGAGCCCCATTGCGAGACAACGGCTTCACGAAGCGTCGGTGCCGCACTTGACATATCATTTCCAGGCGTGCCAGGAGGAGCCAGATTCTTCCAGAACAGGGAGTGGTTTATGTGGCCACCGCCATTAAAACGAATCTTTTGCTGTAGTCCAATCAAAGCCGGGACATCGTTGGACCGAGTTGCCGAACTGTGGGCCGAGAGTGCAGCATTGAGGTTATTCACATAGGTTTGATGATGCTTCTGATGATGAAGCTCCATTATCTGCTTGGAGATAATGGGCTCTAAGGCCTATGGACATGTGAGCGGGCGATATGATGGAGGACCTGACATACTAACATTGTAGGCATAGGGAAGGGATGGAAGAGTGTGGGTTTGTGAGGCCATGATGGTCTTTTTACAGGTAGAGAGAGCTTGAGGTAGAATGAAACCGATCAAGGTAATATATGTGGATTTATCTCGTCCCAAGGGTCCTCTTATGTTAGAAATGAGGTAAGTCTACTCCATATGAAGCCCGGCTATTACATACTAAACGCTAATGGCCCGTAATCACCTGGCCACCAAGGTTGATACCCACTCTGGATGAGCACATTTGAGCGGAAATCCGAAGAACCGTGCATGTTGAGCCCTGACGCGTGATATTGAGCATCTTCCAATCTTGAATCCATAGAAGCGAATATGTCCCGATATATGGATTTTGAGAGCTAGAACCAAATGGTATGTACCTTCATACTCTTATGACTTCGACTGAGGGAAGCAAACTAGTCCCAATACGGCAAGATCGAGGTCGTCCCACCTTCTGGAACTACCGCGCCAAAGGCAGTTATTAGCAAAGTCCGACGTAAACAGAAAAGCTGATTTGCCCCGCCTGGTATTTCCTGCGGGCCGCGTAATAAATGCCCAAGTTTTTAACGAGCGCAACCACTGCATTGACGACTTGCGATCCCAAGCTTTTCATTGCATCTTTTTAATTACTTGTCATGGCCAGTGCGTAAGGCGCCCCAAATAATCTTGCATGCAGCTGCCAAACACGGCAAGTAGTTCGGTCACCTAGACCAGTAGATGGAAGCGTTTGGAGCAAGGCCCGTTGGTCCTACTACATGGCTTTACTTGAACTTCAAGCGAGGAAAAAGATACACTTGCGGGAAGTTGCAAGTAAACAAAGCAAATAACGGTTAATGAGAGTGGGTAAAATTCGTGGACGGGTTGCGTTACAGACATGTTCACCGAAATATCCACCGCACATAAGCCGCCCGTCAGCCGCCCGTCGGACAAATACTTAAGCCACGAAATATCTCGTTTCCTCTTTAGGAATGGCTCTTAAAGATCCAAGTAAGGCAGTTGTTGCGTAGTTTCCGAATCTGATCTCGCTATCGGGGAGTATAAAACAGGAGCTTCCCCGCCACCTATGCCGCCTCGGTCAGACCTAGAAACCCATTTCCCTTGCCTTACCCAGAATGGATAGCATTATATCCCAAGTCCAGGCTTTGGCTGAGAATGCCAATGAAGCTACTATGCGAGATATCCTAGATGGCCTTCGTAATCTTGCTTCATCACTCGAGTCATCACGGGATACAATGGAGAGAATAGCTTACATGGTATGTTGCACGGATTGATTTTTTCCCCAGTATTTCCTCCAGTCCTAATTACCATATTCGGAAAACAGCACTTCCAACCTGTGCTTATTCGGGTTGGCCTGGACTTGAAAATCTTCAATAGGCTCAGCGAGGTTGAAACCCCTTTGAGCGTCGCTGAGCTATCTGGGGAGACCGGCGCAGCCCCAACTCTACTTGGTAAGACCTTCTTCTAGTCTTAACTATGAGGAAAATAAAGGCTTCATAACAACGAGAGAGTCTATTGCTCATACTGACTTTCTGCATCCAAGGCCGCATACTTCGGTACCTTGCTTCCGTGGGTGTCATCAGAGAGACCGAGAAAGACATGTTCACAGCAAATAACATCACCAAATATTTGAGTGACCCGGGAGTTCAGAGTGCTATATATCATAAGTATGGTTTCACTTTTATTGGATGAGTTCCGCCCCCTTCTGACAACGCAACGCAACAGTGTGGATACCATTGCGCCTGCTATTTTCGCTTTGCCGGATTTTCTTGCGGAGAACAAGTACCAAGACATTAAGAGTCCAGTTAATACTCCTCTGCAGAAGGCATTTAACATGGATGTACCAGGATTTGTTTGGGCACTGACTCAACCAGAGAGACTGGGCCACATGCACCGATACATGGAGGCAGAACAGCAAGGAATGCAATCGTGGTTTGACGTCTACCCCATAGATGAACGATGTCGTGATTTAGAACCACAACAGGTTCTATTTGTTGACGTTGGGGGCGGACTAGGTCATCAAGCCGTCGCTTTAAAGAAGCAACTGCCCGAGGTTCATAACCCTGCCATTGTGCAGGACTTGAATGTCGATGCCAGTGATTTTATACAGCATCCAGGCGTGGAGCCTATGAAATTCGATTTCTTTCAACCCCAGGTTGTTCAAGGTATTCTCACATAGGGTTCAATGTCTTGAAAATGGGCTAATCTGACGAATCGTAAAATAGGAGCCCGGATCTATTACTTTCGGATGATCATGCACGACTATACAGATGAACAAGCTGTGGCTATCCTCAAGAACACTATTTGTGTCCTTGGGTCTGATTCTGTCATTCTCATTGATGACATGGTTCTCCCTGATTTGGGAGTCCATTGGCAGGCTACCCAGTTTGACCTTACTATGATGACAACGATGGCCTCGCAAGAGCGCACAGCGGGGCAATGGCATACTTTGATGGAAAAGGCAGGCTTGGTGATCAGAAAGATATATACTTACTCCTCGAGGTGTAATTCTGTAATCGAATGCGTTCCGATTTAGCAGCAGGAAAACGCTGGAAGTGGTACGTGGAAGGATGACAGAAAGAAACGACACAGTACGAAATGGAATGACCATTGAGAGAAATCTATGTGGTGAATGTAAAAGATAATGCGCTTAGCTGTAACCAAAAGATCAATCCTGCTATCAACGGGGTCCGCGTCCATAAAGCTCGGCAGGGTAATATGGCTGGAAATTGGTCCCCATTGGCGGCTGTCAGAATGGCCCACTCGATGTCCACCTCCCACCTACAGGCCACTCAATGATAACCCGCTCCTGTCAGTTTCAGGAGATAATCACCAGTTTGAGGACATTGCGAATCAACTCTCTGAATGATGAATTAATGCCTAAATCGCCCCTTTGACGAGGATGTGATTATTAATACCCCCAGTTTGCGGGGTCGCTCGGCCCAGACATGTTGAGGAGCCTCGGCAATTTGAATAGGAGCTCTTCCAACCTCAAACAAAAAGAGAATTATCTACCCTCCAACCCCAAGTACCAGCAGAGCCCGAGTCAAAGCTCAACCAAACCACTTCTCTATACAAATTTGTCAAGTTCTCGAACAAAATGTCTGCCGAAGAACAGGTCAAGCTCGACAACTTCCCAGGCATTTTCGACCTTACCGGCAAAGTTGCCGTAGTGACCGGCGGATCGCGAGGTCTGGGTCTTCATGCTGCATCAGGGTATGTTCAGTACTTTCAAACCTGTCAATTCTTCGAGCTAACTCGTTCTTACCGAGGTAGTCTCCTCCAAGCCGGCTGCTCCAAGGTCTATATCACCTCGCGAAAGAAGCAAGCTTGCGATGAAGCTGTTGAAGCTTTGAACAAAATCCCAAATCGTCGCCCCGGTGCCAAAGCAATCTCCGTGCCTGCTGACAGCTCGCGCATGGACGAGCTGGACCGATTGGTTGCGGAAGTGAGCAAGACAACTGACCATGTCGATATCCTCTTTGCCAACGCTGGAGCGACCTGGGGAGAAAAGTTTGACACGCACCCTGAGTCGGCCTTTACAAAAGTCATGGACCTGAACGTGAAGAGTGTTTTCTACAGTGTCCAGAAGTATGTTTTTCATCTACCGTAATGAGGACTTTTACTCATCTGCTACTAGATTCGCCCCTCTTCTTACCGCGAAGGCAACTCGCGACGACCCCTCTCGCGTGATTGTTACCGGCTCTGTCGCCGGTATCGGAATTGGCAGTATCGGTGAAAATGCCACACCCAGCTACTCCGTCTCCAAGGCCGCTGTGATTCATCTGGCAAGGAATCTGGCTGTTGAGCTGGGCCCACGACACATCCTAACCAATGCTATTGCCCCTGGCTTTTACCCATCTAAAATGGCCTCTGGGTTGATGGAACTTAAGGGTGGCGTGAAGCATCTAGAGGAATTTTCACCCAATCTTCGTTTGGGCCGGCCAGAGGACATTGCAGGACTGGTTGTGTTCTTGAGCTCCCGGGCGGGTAGCCACTTGAATGGAGCGGTCATTGCAACAGACGGCGGGGCTGTCCTGAAAGGGAGACTGTAAACGCTGCTGATCATATCGATTCACAGCCATGGGTGATTCTCTGCCCTCATTGCCCGGGCATTATCACGCTGTTTGAGGGATTGAAGGCCAGGTGAAAAGGCCATATTTAGCTACACTCTCAAGTACCGGTATAAGCTAGCTTTATTTTGTGGCCATCTCTCCATGTGCTCGTACTGTACTAGGGGATTTGTTGAGAGCTTTTAACGTCTATGAGGGCACTTTCGAGACAACTCTTTGGGTATGATGGGCAATAGTACAGAAAACGGCCCCTCACGGAAATCACTGCTAGGTGAAACATGAAATTTACAATCATATTCTACTAAGCAAAGCGGCCTCATTCCTAGCTACTCGCGACGTCCTCATATATAAACCCTTACCCCTTACTCCTTCTGAACTGACTCTCGATGATTGCAAACGTGGTCAAACAAACCATTATCTCCCACTTCTTAGTCTCTTCGTCACTAGGTGGATTGTGATCTTGTTCGCTCTTTGCCGTATATGCGATGAGCAAGCTACCTTCCTTGATTTTCCAAGAGCTGCTTCCTACCCACTTTGCCTGGAGCTGCCCATCCTCCTCATCAACGCCTCCAGCGCGGAGTTCCATGCTTTTCAGCCTCCCTAGTGCACCATGTGATTTCCGGTATGTGTATGTCATCCTCTGTGCCCCGGTCCCGAAATCGAAATAGTATATCTTGTGACTATACTTCTCTGGACGTTCTAATCTCTCCCATATCATCTGTTTGCCCTCTATCTCTCCGGCTGGATCTCCAAGCCCGATAGTGAACCCGCGAAGATGCATTTTCGCCACCCCGAGGACTTCTCCGTCCTTAGAGTCTCCTTGGTGGAGTATGAGGTCAAATTTGTGCTTCGAGAGAGTCTCGTGGGTCTCAATGTAGTACACAGACTTGGCCTGAGGAGCGGGTCTTAGGATATTGTACGCCTGAAGCTTCCCTTTTGACACGAGCTCGTAGAAATGCCCTTGGCCAAGATTTGTGGCAGCCGTAATATCCGACGTGAGGGTGTCTGAGTCCATCGGCGATGTAGTTGTCGCCATCTTGACAGAGGGGTAATTGGGAGAACACAGAGGTAATGTTACTATTTCTGCGATCGAAGTGGATGGAACGGATGGAGAGAATGAAGCTGGAGAGGCTGTCCGGTCAATCTGTTTTATCAAGACAGCACGTGGGCGTCGAAGGTGCAGCTTCAGGAAAGTTATGCGCTAGACCACATATGGTCAAAATCCGCGAAGGCTGATCTAGAGAATCTACAACGTGATTAGGTAGAGGTAACGGGATCGATCTTCTAGCTGAGTTTACAGATGAGCGGACCACTAAACCTACTGAAACTGCCAAGGGTAAAACTTACCAAGGGTAATAGACTACCTACAGTATGTACTAGTTTGTCTTGGCAACTAGGGTCCGAGGAACAATCGAAGAGTGTTACGGACGTATTGTAAAGGAAAAGAAACCATGTCTCCCTCCATATGTACTGCGTACCAAATTAACCCCCATATCCTTAATCTAATCACAGTCGCTCTGTGTGTCGAAGGAGCAGAAAGATGGAGTCTAGATCCTGAAGCGCAGGGTCTCAAAATGCCACGGGGAAAAACGAAGATCTACAAAGCCAGAGCTCACCGATCTACTCAAACAGCAATGCCGGTCAACGAAGTGTCCACTTTTCTTGCCAGCGTGTCCCCCAACGCTAGACACCGGTCAGCAGGCAGAACGCAGAAGTCATTTGTGGATTTTCAATAGGACTTTTGGCAGGACTGGCAACACCGAAAATCATGATATTCTGGAACAGAATTCGTACTCATTGTTTTAGATTTTACCAAGACTTGCCTGGCAATCATCTTGGCAACAACTTGGCGAGTGTTGGAAGTTTAACCTACCTCGCGCGGGTCATCTTACAATTGCTGCATGTTGAGGGTGGAGTAGAACTACACCAAAGGGTTTTGCTAGTACGTAGACGTGGAAACACTTGAAAGTTGACTGAATTGCTAATAATAACTAGATGGTAGTTCATATGTTCTCTTCGTTATCAAAATGGTAGTGTTCAATAGTCATGAAAAGAGTCAGGTAGCGCCATGAAACCCCGTAGTGCCATTTTCCCTTCCACCGCTGTCAATCGGTGGGTATCCGAGATGCCAAAGTCGTAAAGTGAACAATCTGAAAAAGAAAAAAAAAAAAAGAAACTAAGATGCAGCAATCGCTTCATGATGGGAATGCGCGGAGTTGATGATTTGTTCATGTCCGAGCAATTTTGGACCTGCTGTGGCCCAGGTAGAGGAAGTCGCTCGGAGACGTCGAGGTAGGCTCATTAAGCTGGGAGTCTACTGATGAAGTAGACAGAGCGCGACTGGTTCGGTGCAGGGATGAAGGCCCCATGGTTGGGCTTTGGTTGGAGGGACTCGGTTGGGACGACTGGTCTTCCCAAGCTCGAGGATCTGGGCCGGATTCAGTGGGAGATAGGACCAGGAACCTGTGGCTGGAGGCCGCTGGGGTTGATTCGGGAGCCGAGAGGACCAGGAATCGGTGAGTAGGGGTCTGGGTGTACATTTTAAGATGGTTTTGTGTCTTCGGGGTAAAGGGACGGGATGCTGCTTTGCCTTCGAAACTTGTTGGTACAGGCAGGGGAAAACACGGCTGAGACTGGGAATCGAACGGGGAGATTCGATCTTAATTATATATCCACAAAACAGATGGGCCGAATAGGAACGTTGGGGGGGGGGGCGTGTTGGTATTATTCATGAGCCCGAATCATGCCGATCCAGCACATCATACATAATGGTCCACCGAGGGAAGAAAACAGTAAAATAGGTGGATACCCGAAGGTCATGCAGGTCAGCTGCCCCAGTCGATAACTGTGAAAGCTTCACATGTAGCTAGATCGCCCCAGAAAAGGGGGATCCTGAGGCGGCCAAGACGTCACTATTGGATAAGTCTTGCTCATTTCTTTTTTTTGAGCTCTTGGCTCGAAGTTTTTAGTCGTACCAGGATCGGCCTGGGCTGTCCCATGGTCATTTTCAGAGCCCTAGCAAATATGTGATACTGCCTGCCAAGCGTTAAGCAATAATTGTTTTGAAAAAGAACAAGACCCGTCGCAAACCGAAACTCTAGGACCTCGGGTGCGGGGCCTTGGACCCGGTGAGCGATAGCAGTGGGTTCTCACAGGCTCCGGCTATGCAGTTGCTGGTTTCAGCTCCGGTTTCTTGTCGTTCTGCCCCAAAACCAATCAATCCGCCGCGTTGCGCCCATTCATAGGCCGCATTCACGCTGCTCCGGCTCTTTCCCAAGGGGGCCCCGCATATTTTGTTTACGTCTTGCGGGAAAGGGATTATCATGACATCATGATTATCGTGAGCGCTCGCGTCTACCCGAGTACCAATGGCTGATCTCGGCTTCTCAAGAAAAGAAGCGCATGTGAGAATAAAAAGATAATCGCTGCTCGTGTTCTGATTTCCTTGTTGCCGAGAAGTAAAAGTAGATTCACGTGGCACAACACTGCTGCACAACAAAACCAACTGAAAAACCAACGGCGCTTAATTTGGGGCAGGGACTTCCTATTAATAGTCGCTGGGTGCTCGCCCTGGAGTCGATCTCCCGGTGCTAGGGTGGCTGAGTATATAGGGACAGACCCCGTCTATGCCAGTCGCTCGCCCTACAAACAGCTCAAAGGCGGATAACATATCCTTTTTTGTTCTCAAGCGGCGCCGCTATACTACCAGGTCTAGACCACAAGGGAAAGATACCGCTTGGCGGTATTGCATGCAGCTTATGCGGGTAGACGCTCAACTAGAATAATAGGAGTGGTCATAGCTTCGCCCTTTTTCCTGTTTTAGCTCTCGGCATATTTGTTATGCCTTTCTCAATAATTTCGGAAACGCCTCGTTACCATGCATCCCGCAGCAATTTGATCGCTTCCAGCCTGTAGATTCCACAACTGCACCGTTGTGAGTTCCATCCGTTTTCACATCAAAAGGCGAGGTGGTCGATATCAATGTAGCATTTGAAAATTCATGCCCAAGCTTTGACTTTCTGTTGGCTCCTGGACCCAATGGCAAGGGTGTTTATCTAGCCAGCTTGCTCTAAGCCTGCCAGAGGCGGTTCTGCTTGCGGCTTCTATGATTCCCAACCAAGGAGGCATTCGGCAGCCCAATCCACAAAAAAATTTCTTTATGATTCACTAAAGCCGGATAAGTTGCAACCAGACAACGCTGGCAAGTCCCATCCTGCCTGTAAAGTCAAACTCACACCAAGGGGATAGTGGTAAGGAGACGCCTGGCCATGGTTATATCTCCTATATCTCCCTGCTTTAGTATGATATGGCCCCAAAGTTGGTCTGGCGTGCAGTCTTATTTGCCAGGAGGCGAAATTGTTGGTCTTTTTGGATATGCAACCCGGGCATCGCACTAAGCGTTTTCAGGTATGATGTCAAGTGCTCCCTCAGGGGAGAACAATCCGAGACTTAGTTGGCCAACTACATCCCAACAATTCATCGGCCGCTACTCTGTTTCTAAATTATCAGCCAGGGCCTTGCAATCCATCTGCCATAACGATCAGCGCAACCGGCAGCTTGCCTTGTTGGGATGCGCGCCGTGTTTAAGAGTTTCCAACTTAAGAAAGCTTCTGTCGCTTCACAATTTTGGATGGACGAGACTACTGACTCGCCCGTTAAATATAACAGCGCATGTGCACTGACTCGAGTGGGCATACACGGGCAGAATCTACGGCTTGATTTATTTCGAGTTTAAACGGTCCGTTGCCCTACGCCCCATAGTGTGACTGCGCCGCATAGTCTGCCGATTTAAACTGCATGCACAAAATCTTATAAAGTCGGTCTCTATTCCCCTCCTCAAACTTTCTCTAAGCCAACCTACACATTGATCATTTTCTTCGCTTTGGGTCCCCTTTCCGGGCAATCCAAGCTTCCATTTTAACCTGCTGCTTTTCCTCACCACCATAATGTGCTCTGTGTACATCTACATCTATGATTGTGGCTGTGAGAAAAAACAGGGGTAAGATTCGGCAACTCTCTTTCATTTCAAGCTGATAGCTAATGCGTCCAAGGGGGTTAATTCGCTGTGCCAAATATGCAACAACAGATTGCCCCGGTATCAAGGAGCACATCCGTCGACGAGACGGGTACAACTGCCCTTGGCATCAACCAAAGTCAGTTTTGAAGCGATCATCTCGTTCGCATTTCCTTTCGCTAAGAAGACAGTTGAAGCGCCAGGAGAAGCGCACGTGCGGGGTTATAGTCTGCTTGAGACCGTTTTCACGGACAGCCCGCCCGACGTCTTGTCCTGCTAGCGGGCTTCAAAAATGCTGGATCGTTTCTGTTGTTAGCACTGAGTGGCTTGCAGGCGGCGTTTCCGTGTCTGGGGTGGCTTCGCTCTTTTCCTTCCCCTTTAGGATCGTTCTTTGTTGCTCGAATTCATTTTCAGGGATTCGGTTATCCCTTTTTGGTTTCGATTTTTGTGTTTTCATAATCTAATGGTTTATTAAACTGGTTTTATTGGGGTACAACGTCTGTTTAGTTGTCAACAGCAGTATTCCATTTTGTCTGGCCTACAGCTTCCTGCCCATCCACTTTCTGGTTCATACTTAACCCGTGTTGAAATGACCCTGAAAAGCCGAAATAGAGAAGATGTCCATCACTCCTGTTCTACTGCTAGGTCGTGCGTAGCGGCTCGATTTCGAGCCCAATTAATTTGAAATTGTGATTCATCCAGGACCGTTGCCGTGATCAGCGATGGATACCATTTCAATAGCAAGTCACGCAGCTTAAACCTGCGGGCAACGTCATATAGGTGTGAAATTGTAGCAGGGGTATTCGCATCACGGCTGTTAGGCATCCAATTGGATTTAAGAAAGGTGGGTTTCGGTGGGGGGTCGACAAATGCGCAGCTGGGAGAAGAACGAAAAGATTTCGTGGCTTATTAGCCGCTGCAGGGATCTTCGGAGACCGATCTAAGCCAGGCATGCGCGTCCGTAGGCCGTTGTCAAAGGTCCGCGATGTACGCGAGCGGAGAGCAAGGGTCATCAAAGTGCCGTCAGGAGTTCACTGCCCTCCGAAGGACACTCCATACTCCATACTTTTTGTTCATAATTGAGAGGATATTGTAAGAGGTACGTCTCCTCCCAACATGTCTTGCCTTCCTTGTTTCAAATGGCTAATTCCATCCTAAACTCTCGAGAGGGCTCTGGGGTCATGAAATCGTCGATCGACGCCAGTGACGAGACAGGCATGCAACCATGGCGTGTGTGATGCGGCAGTTCAGTTTAAGGCCGAAACTCCGTGCATTAGCTTGGGTCCCGCCCACCTTAAGATGGGGCTAAGTCAAGGAACAAGGAACGCTAGGGCTGTTTACCACTTTGAGAAGGAGTCAAGATCTTCTTTTTCTTTGGTGTTTGTGTGATGACTGCACTGAAGTCCGGCAAAAAAAAAAAAGGTCTAGGATCTCCGAAAACAAAGAGCTGTCTTAGCGATTCACATCGTAATGTAACGTACGCGGTCGGTCGGCTGATATCAGGATTAGAGTGCTTAGATCGGGTTTAACACTCGAATGTTCTTAGGAAATCGGTGATCATCCTCTTGTTCCTTCCTACGGAGTTTACGGGAGTTAAAATGTGCGATGCAGTAACTATACTTCAAATATATATCCAGAAATTGCCCTGCACATGTAGTGGACATGGCCCAAAGAGGCTTGTCTCTTTCATGGTTATGACTGAGTAACATAATTATTTGATTATTCTATTATTTTACATCATGCAATCTACGAGCTGCCGAAAGTAGCGATGGCTGTTTTTGTTTTCAGGGTGAGCGATCACGTGTTCCCGCGTTGAGTTCCACGAGCTCCGCCGCCTCGACGACCAAGCTTCACCCACGCAGATGTGATGTCCATCGAAGTCGACTGGGGCGCCGCCACCTCTGGCCCGGACGGTGAGGCACTGGCGGAGCGCATCCGCTCATTCGTCCACGACAAATTCCAGGAAGTGCCTCTACCACGCTTCATCCGGTCCGTGCAGGTGCACTCGTTCGAGTTCGGGACGATCGCGCCAGATCTCGACATCAAAGATTTCTGCGAGCCATTTGCCGATTTCTACGAAGAAGACGACGATGACACCGATACCTCTGCGGCATCTGAGGATCTCAGCTCCGAGCACGGCCACCAATGGACGGGCCGTCACTCCGACCTGCACGATTTCGAAGAAGCTCAATACCCCGGCAATGAATTCCAACCCTCCGCACTCCGCTCCCCGCTACCGCTGGGCGACCATTTGAATCACCATTTCATGCCCCGCGCCGGTACACCTGGTATCCCCGGCGGCACGTCGACGCTCGGGTACCACCTGATGTCGCTGGGCGGGCTATCAGGCACGCAAACACCACTCGCGGCCGTTGCAGGCGGCAACCAGTTCGCAAGCGGGTGGTCCGACTCCGGCGCAGGGAGCAGGAGACAATCTGGGCTCCGTACGTCCAACATGCGAAATGAAACCGATATCGACACGTCCAACACCTCCGCATCGCGACCCTCCACGGCAAACACACACCATACAGGCAGTAATGCCTCAAATCGCAACAGCGCCGATATGGGTGATGCACAGCAGCAGTTGTCCGAGCCACTCCCCGGAGCAGGACAGCAGCTCCCCATTCCGCCGCGTATGCGCGAACGGCGACCCGAAGATTTCCAGGTGCTCTGCCACGCCAAATATGCAGGTGATGTGCGCATGTCTCTGACAGCAGAGATTCTGCTCGACTACCCGATGCCCAGCTTTGTGGGCCTGCCCTTGAAGCTAAACGTCACTGGCATCACATTCGATGGCGTGGCCGTCGTCGCGTATATCCGCAAGCGCGTCCACTTTTGCTTTCTGTCGTCGGAGGACGCAGACGCGCTGCTCGGCTCGGAGGCCCAGAGCCAGAACCCCAGCGAAGATGGCCGGCCTCGGTCTGGCGGTGATCAGAAACGCCAGGGGGGTCTGCTGCAGGAGATTCGGGTCGAGAGCGAGATTGGTCGCAAGGAGGACGGCAAGCAGGTCTTGAAAAATGTTGGCAAGGTGGAACGCTTTGTGCTCGCGCAGGTGCGGCGCATTTTCGAGGAGGAATTGGTCTATCCCAGCTTCTGGACCTTTCTTATATGAATCTTCTTATTCTTCTTTCCCCACCCGATTCTAGATCAACCGATGTATTAATTACGAATTAACGCAAATGGTGTTTATGACCCGAGATTTAATTTCCAGAATGCAAGACATTTCCCTCCACGTCAACTATCAATGCATCCTTAATAAATGCGAGGATAACCTCTGTATCATCCTCCAGCTCCTAACACAATACTTCAACCTCTACCGCGTCCCGAGCTCCCCTATAGCAGCAAACAAGGCCGTAATCCAGTAACGGTACTTATGATTCGGTTCTCCAAGAAGACCCGGTTGTTGGTGGACAAGAATTTGAACTCAAAGAGAAGCGTAGATACTCTTGAGTTCATAATGGAACCGATAGCCGACCATTGTGCATAATACCGAAACAGTGCAAGCGTCAAGAGGATCTCTACGAGTCCTTCTTGTCGTTCCGCTCGCCCTTCTTGCCGGCGACCTGATCGCCGAGGTTGTGGTATTCGCGGGTCAAGCCCTCGCATTGCTTCTTGAGGGTCTCAATATCGCGGTCCTTGGCCTCGAGCTCTTCCTTCAGACGACCAATCTCACCAACCGAACCCGCCTCCGCGACGCGAGCGGAGTCCTTGCCGCCGGCCCTCTTGTCACCCTCCATGAGCTTGATGCGGTCCTCCAAGCGAAGGACCTCGAGGATCATGATATAGGTGCGGTTGAGGATCAGGGAGAGGAAGAGCGTGAAACCACACAGGTACATGTTGCGCTGCGAGTAGAACTTGCGGGCCTGGACCTCCATACGGTCGGTGCCGAGGTGGGCGGCTCTGCGAAGCGGAAGAAAAAAGAAGTCAATACGTGTCTTCCGATAATAAAATGCACTGCTTACCCGAGACCATGGCCGTCCTTGGAGAACGCAGACAGCTCCTGCTGCACTCGGTACACGCGGTTGACGCTGTCAATGAACAGGATGAGAATGAAGATAAATGTGATCTGGAACCCTAGTCAGATTTGCTTCATATAAGGTATAGCAGGCATTTATTACCTTCAAGCCATACTGCAGCTTTGCAATCACTGGACTCTCCGAGATGAAGGCGAACAGCTTGCGCTTAACGGTGAAGGGTAGAGGGACGATGAGTGCCATAAAGACAACCATCTCCACCACCAAGAGGAGGAAAACCTGTGAAAAACGGGAAGTTTAGTCCATGGTTCAGGGTGAGAGGTACGGGACGTGCCCGGGTTCGTGGAGCAGGCCGCAGTGGGCACCAGGCTGCAGCGATAGCCGGGAACAAAAAGACGGACTGGGCAATGGGAGGGGAGATTCCAGGGGAGCGCAGGCGAAACATACAAGGCTGTAGTAGAGAGTCATGGTGTCGCAGGGACAGGTCGGACGTCTAAGCTTGAGGTTGTGGTTGGAGCCAAACGGGGCGGGCTGTGAAGGAAGCTTGACAGCTAGAGGACAACAAGTAAACAAAATGCCCAAGAAGCGAAATCGGCTGGCGGAGAGGTAGCTGCGCACGAACCGGTCTAGAAGAAATACAGTGCTGGTCGTGGTCAGCAAGGGCGTGGGAGAGAACTGCGAGGTGGGAAAAAAAGGCAGGAAAGCAGAAAAGCTGGTCGTTGATGGGGGAACTTCCACAACTTGGCCAGAAGACGTCATCGTCTGGAGACGCACGTGACCGCCAACGTTTTCGATCTATATTTATGGAATGATGGCCAGAATGAATCCTGTGGGATTCCGGACTCATTATTAGTCACTCGGTTGACTTGTTACAATTTCCCAGCCGATTCTACAAAGTAAAAGAATGGAATTTATTCGTTCTTTGAAGCTCTTTGCTGCTCAAAATGCTCTCTTAATTTGGTATGTATGTGCACGACACATTTCAACCCTCCGCCTCATACGAATTCGATTTGTGTTTGGGCTCAAACTTGAAGTCCTTGTGAGCAGGGCCCAGGAACATCTCCCTATAACACTCAATTAGTATCGAGGCCAACACTTTCAATTGGCGAAAAACCTACGTGATCTTGATCCAGTCCTTGTAGTTTCCACTGGCCATGAGCGTCTCCAGCTCATTCCGCCCCTTGAAAGCCGGAGGTCGGTCATTGATACGCGGAGGAAGATACTCGAGTAGACCGATGGGGGTGTAGCGATAGGCAAAGCTGAGCCATTCCAGCAGGAACCGTCGAGTCGTGCCCACTCCATGCTCATCGGATCCCCATGCTTCCAGACCGTACTTGGCGAATTTTTCGATGAAGCCCAAGCGCTCCGAGGCGGATTTATCCAGGTACTGACCCGTCTGGATCTCCTCGAAAATCCACGGTTTGATCAGCGCACCCCGGGCTACCATTACCGTGTCCACGCCGGCATTGTTGACATGGTTATCATAGTCCACGTGGGAGTAGCAGTCACCATTGCCGAGGAAGTATGTCTTTCCTCCATTGGGCTGATGGCGTGCGTCTGGCTCGCGGATGGTGTCGGTGACGATGTCCTTCTTTTCACCCAGACGCTTGATGAGCGCGGCGCAGTCCGCGATATATCCCCAGTCTGCCCGTCTTGTGTACCGCTGCTGCCTGCTCCGTCCATGTAGAGTAATAGCTGCGGCTCCGGGAGGCCCAAGATCCAGGACACTTGACTCGTAGCCTCCCAGAACAAGGCGCTCGACAAGTTTCTGCGCAGTAGGAGCGTTGTCCTTCGTTCCCATGCGGATCTTGACAGTAATTGGAATCTCCTGCGACACGGTGTTCATACCGCGGATGATCTTTTCCAATTTCGAGTGATGGTCTAGAAGAGCTGATCCCGCTCCGTCGCGGAAAACAAGCTCGATCGGGCATCCGCAGTTCAAATCGATGACTCGCAGATGAGGAGTGAACTTGGACAGCACCTCCGTGGCCTTGAGTGCCTGCCAAGGCTTATTAGCAGCAATCTGCGCACCGAATTTGCAGTCCTTGGCGTTGTCGTAATCCTGGACGATGTTGTCGCCAGGGGTGATAGTTGGAGGAAGCATTTCCGACTCGTGCGCCTTCAGCAGGGTCCATTCCGACTTTGAGCCTTGGATCAACGGCATGCTCATCGCCATCTCCGAGTAAGTGAATTGCGCTCCTAGATCCCCGCACAGCCGCCTGAAGGGCATATTGCCCTGCGTAGTCAGAGGTGCCAGAACAGGAGTCTCCGGACCAAAGTAGATACGTCTCTTCTCCGAAGGCAAAAAAGGCGGTTCGGTAAACTGAGCCCGGAGCTCCTCCTTTTCTTCCTTTGCTTCGGCTTGCTCAGCCCCTTCGCGCTCGGCCTGGGATCGGCTATGAAGTTGTTTCTCCAACTCGCGACTCGTCTCGTTGAGGAAATTGTTATAAGCATCCGCCCGAGGTGTCTTCTCCCTCTTTCTTGCCAGCGCAAGCTTATCATCATACGAAACGATATTCACCAGCCCATCGGCAGTCGCATACGGCACGCGCGGAACCGCCTTTTCCTTGCGGGCTTCGTCCTCCACCAGAACCAATTCCTTCCGACCATCCTCGGTATCTCTCTCTTTCGAGTGCGATCCAACCATACGGCATCTCCAACCGGAGTAGCACTTCCCAAGGGCATCCCAGACTGGACAGAGGCCACCGAACGTCGTGAGATCCTCCCGCTTGTGTTCCTTCAAGTATGTGCGCAGGTCATGTTCGAGTCGGCAGGTATCACCAAATCTGCATTCACCTGGCGAGAATTCGGGTGCGAACATCCTCGAGGCACAAAGACTCTTTGCATCCTCGGACCTGCCGAAACTCCGGTTCGTGTTCTGGCCCTTGTTTTTGTTCTTTTTCTTTCCCTTTTTCCCATCCTCGCGCTCTGCATGCGATGCAGATTCTGCTGCATCGTCAGCACCACTGGCATCTTCGGCGGGTTGAGGTTTGGGCGTCGGGGGAAGTAGGTATCTAGGCTTTGTGAGCAACAGTCCACAATTCTGGAAGGTCGAATATTGTACTCTTTTTTAATAGGCGCAATGCCTCGGTCGCGCGGATCGCGCGTATCCTCTCTCACCTCTTCCAGCCGGGCTTTTTTGGAGGGAGGCTCTTCGACACCGGAGTTGCCGTTGGCAGCGTCGCGCTTGGGGATATCTGCGGGCGCGGCATTGTCGACCGCTGGGGTCTGCACCGGTGCAGGTTCGGAGACCATGGCTGGTGTATCTGTCCGTTGACGGTTGAAACACAATCGTCCGAACTTTAGAGGTACGTAGGAAAGGTGAAGACAATGGCCACTGGATATCGCAAAAAATTGAAGATGTGGAGAGCTGTTTGCACTGTTTGCATCGGAAGTATACCGTCCTCAAATATTGATTCTTATACCATCCACTCGCTTTCCTGCTATCTACTATTATCGCTTTAATTCCCGGACGTAAAAAGACTCCTCACCCCCGAGACAGAAACACTGCCCGCCTTGTCCTCCAATGACACCCTCTTCACCTCCTTGCCGTAGACCACCAACATAGCCGACACTCCCAGATCCCCATGGGAAATAGTTACTTCATCCTTCTCCCGATCAGTGCGCATCACAATAGAGACGCCCCCATTGCTCGTCTGGTCTCCACCAAAATACTCAAACTGAGACTCTTTGACATCCCAGCTGGGGAACACCTCGATAACCACATGCGGCTGCCAATGCTTCACCCACTTGGCGTTTCCTTGATAAATATCTCCGCGGGGCACAATGGCTCCTTCGCGGACATACACAGGAATAGACTCCAGATCATGGTGAACATTCACCGTGCTCCCACCCTCATAAACGGCCGTTTTGTTCCAATACTCGAGGAACCGCGTTCCGCGCGGGAAGTAGACGTCTCGCTGGCCGCCAGCTGAAATGATAGGCGCAACCAGGAAGGACGGACCGAAGGCGTACGAATTTGTGGCGTTGAGAACAGCCAGACTATCATCCGAGGGATATTCAAGGAACAACGCCCGGATAACCGGGATACCGGTCTGGGTTGCTTCCCAGGTACACGATTTGATATAGGGAATGAGCGAAGTGTGGAAGTTGGCCGTCTGCTTGAGGATAGACACCAGTCGCGAAGAGTAGTCGTACCAGGGTGTGTGGCCCGTTCCAATCATGATCTCGTACACAGGCGAGAAGGCGCTAAAGTGCATCCACCGTGCCCACAGTTCCTCAGTGGGCTCGTTGCCCTCGCGCACGTAGCCGCCTGTGTCAGAGCCCCATTGTGAGAAGGCGATTAAGCCCGCGCGGATGCCGGAGGCGACTGTGTAGGCCAGCCCTTGGAAGTTGGAATGCGAGTCGCCGTTCCAGACTGCCGTTCGGGCACGGGAGCGGTCGAATGCTGAGCGGGCGAAGTTGTAGAAGTTGGAGCCCCAGGTGCGTTTCATATTGGTGTGGACTAGGTCCTCGAAGAGTGGCTGTTGGATGTTTTGCTCGTAGACTGTGATTGTGATGGGACTGTGATGAGATTGGAGGTTTTCGGGTTTGTATGTAAAGGAGACACTTACACGGCATTTCTCCCTCCTCGCCACGGTCGATCTTATACCCTTTCACACCCAGCTCGGTAAAAGCCGAAAGACGGTCAAGGAAGTAATTGTACGCCTTCGGGATGGACAGGTTTAGGGCTGGTCCTTCGAAGTTCTCTGCAGTATAACCCGGGAACAACCAGTCGTGTGCAATAGATGCATTGTATAGTTCCGTATTGAGGAAGGCCCTGTTGGCAGCCCAAACCTAAAACATACCATATTAGACTCATTGTATACTGGTCTCTGCGATATGCGAACCCACCTGGAAATCAAATCCCCACGCGGTCAAATTGGCAATGAACTCTTTAGGAGTAGGATAGAACTTGGGATCAAAGTCAAAATTGCCCCAGGACATATTTCCGGTTCCATACGGCCCTAAGATAAGAATCCATCAGCATCTCGCTCACACTTACCAACCACCCGGATATAGATAAACACTCACGATCCGCAAAAAACGAAGTCGCCCGAATGCGATTATAGTAGAGATGATTAACAACATCATAATAATTCTCCTGAGCATTATGCACGCCACGATGGAAGTCCTCCTCGAAATCATCCGACCAAAAGGTCGGCCCAAACCCGGCATCGGGAGGCATTTCGATTCTCGCCGAGAGGGCTGTATACTCCTGGATGACAGACTTGAAATCACCCTTGGCGGCAGGCATTATAATATAGTAGACCAGGCTGGTGGTATTAAACACGAACTGGGCCTGGCCCGGAACAGAGAAATCGAAGGAGCCCATGCGGTTCGTGTCGGCGTAGACGCCGTACCCGGCTGATGTGAGGAAGAAGGGCGCGCGGGCGTTGGACCAATTTATACCGACCTCGTTGCCGGCGCCTAGGAGTTGGAATTCGACACCGTTGTTGGTTATCTGTTCCGACCATGGGTATTCCCAGACGCCGTAGAACAGGTCTGATGGTGCAGTGGTGAATCGAGCCCCTGTGAAGGAGGAGGTGCTGTCGACGGTGACTTTCACGACTTGTGGATTGAGGTGCTGCCATTTGATGTGGCCGCCATTGTGTGCAATGGTGCCTGATTCGGAGGCGGAGATGGGCACTGTGGAGGTATTCGATGGGCCTGCCAGAACTGCCGAGTTGTGGACTGTGACGCCATTGTCGTGGAACTGGAGCGAGAACAGCTCATGTGTGCCGCTGGTAGCACCTAGATTGGCGCAAGACACTGCGACCAGAAGCGCGGATAGGAGCCCCATGATGCCTGCAATTGTGTGAAGAGCAAGTTGTACCCAGGGAATGAGTCGAGCTGCATAAATAGAGCTTTGGAGCTGGAACTTCGGTCTACATGATAGGCAGGGGAAATGAAACTCCGCCAGAGCTGAGATCGACAGGTATTTCGCATGTTTGTAGTAAGTCTGGCGAGAATCCTCTCGAGTTTCTCCGTCCGTATAGATCCGACAATGCCCTCGATCGAGGTTTAGTAGCTCCACTGTTGAATCCTTGTGCGGGGGAAGGCTTTCGGCAATTGAATCAGCCTGAATTACATTAGTTAACTATAGTTAATATCCGTGATTACAAACAGGGGGCTTGTTCCAGGAAACAGGGTCTTGGTAGGCAATGGAGTGGTTCCTTTCGGTGTGATATTTCGATTCGGCGAAATTGTATATCGAAACACAAGTCCCGAGGGGGAAATGGGGGTTCACGAGTTCAACTATCCTGACAGAATCCTCCCGTATGAGACAATTCACCTACATAAGTTAAGAAACACAAAGCCAACATACAGAGGAAATTAAGAAATGCTCTCTGAACAACTTGGAGAAAAACACACAAGGCAGATCCTCACTTTACAGCCAGAGGATAATAATGATGACAGAAGAAGGAGATGTAAGAAACACACACACACACACACACACACACACACACACACACACACAAAGAAACAAGGGACATTAAAAGCAAGGGGAAATTTATTCGAACAAAGGAAATAAAAGAAAAATCGAAACAGGATGCTAGATAATTAATCAGGCAATCAATCACCTCGAACAAGGAGGCAAATCGATAGCTCCATGCATAGACAAGACGGAACAGGACAGGGACAAAAGCAGTTGTGGGTATCACATGGTATCCAAACAAGCTGAGGATTAGGAGCTTGAAATCTTTTTCTCAGAAGATCAAAGCTTAAAGGAATTGCTGGACTCATGCAGCTAACTTCGAAGGTAATCGGGACCGTGTAAGTTGGCTGAGATGGATGATCTGGTCTTCTGTGACAGAACAAGAACAATAACTCAACACCCCGACTCCGGCAAAGACCGAGGATCCAGGTCAAGATCCAAAGAATCTACCGGTTAATCACCAGCCCTGGACTTGGCACGTCGCCGAAAGAAGTCCATAACCTTGCGCGCTGCGCCAGAGCTGCCCGAATGATGTGACGGATCGCGCTCATACTCATAGGCGTCGGCGAATTTGCGGTTGTTCTTCTGCAGGACGCCAGGCCCACGACCAGACCGACCAGCCTGCATCGACTGGCGGGGCAGACTGTCGTAACCGCTGTTGTAGTCATCGTAGTAGTTCGGTGTCGACTGGTAGGTATAGTGATTGCCTGAGTATTGGTCTCTGTGTACGTCCTCCGACGACACACCCTGGTCGTTAAACTGGGACCCGAGCACTGCGAATTGTTGCTCGATCTGAGCTTCGTAGCTGACCGGCTCATTGGTAGATATATCCTCTCCGTGACCCTCGCTGACCATCCCCATAGCGTCTTGCGTTCCGTAGCTGGTTGCACGGTTGCGGGTAGACTGGGTTGGGCCCGTTGCTGGTCGTTGCTGGCCACTAGGATCCACAGTGCGAGGTGTCTGGTATGGATCTTCAGATGTTTGCGATCGACCAGAAGAGGAGAGTCGGAAGGAGAAAGATGGTGGAAGAAGGGAGAACCGCCGGGAGCGACCCTCAGTACCAGCCTGACTAGTCTTGCGGCTATGCGAATATTGCATGGAGCGCCTTGAATCCATGGACGATCGAGAGTCCTGACTGGGAAGAGCTTCCTTCATGCTGGTTGGAGGGTAGCGCTTGTCATTTCGTGTACGGGGTGCGCTCGGTTGTGGACCGCGTCCACCCAAGATCGAGCCGGACCGTCCGAATAGTTTCTCGCCAATGCTTGAAACGGTGCTCGACCGCTTGTGGCCCTTCGGTGGGTCCTGGCGAGGCGTCGGGTTGAAAGAGGACGGCAACTGCTGTACACTGGGGCGGCCAACCGACGACTCTTGAAGATCCATTAATTGCTTGCTCCTTGGCTGTGCCAGACGAGCCTGCGTGTTAGTGGCTGTGACCGTGGGTGCCACGGGTTGACCGTAAGAGCCTCGAGATGGCAAGCGGCCAGTATGGAAAGAGGCCATCGAGCCACCTGTGGTGGGCCGGGTTTGCACTCCAGTGGCTGCGGCGTTGTCTGTGGCTGCCCGAGGCAAGACGGGACGGTCTGAGGTAGCCGTTTCGTCCTGCGGTGAAGCAGGGCCTCGACTCGAAGACTCACCGAACTCTCGAGCAGTCTGTGATTGAGGGGCAACATATTCGACCTGGACTGTTCTCCGCTTGGCGTCTCGAGGTGTCTTGGATTTCTCGGTTGGTGATTCCTGCGAGACATCTCCTGAATGATGGCTGAGACCACCAACAGGCGCAACGTTGCCATGGTGTGACTTTGGTGGCTCACGAACAGAGGCACTGCGGTTGAGAGACGGTGCTTCTTGCGATTCGGCGGGTACTGTCGAGTTGGCAATGTCCGCAACGTTGGTCGTACTGCTAGTGATATGAGAAACGATATGCGCATACTCGCTCAGCCAGCTGTGGCGGGCAACCTCGAACAGGTCTGCTCGTTTCCGGGGGTCAGGGACCAATATCCGTCTCAAAAGATCGCGAGCATGTGGGGAAACATATTCCGGGAAGGTGAGAGGTGTGGTGACGATGTATTTGTACAAAAGATTGATGTTGTCGCCGTCTGGGTTTGCCGGGTCGTCGTCGAAGGGGAGATATCCAGCCAACATCGCGTACAAGATAACACCGCAGCTCCAAACATCGACTTTGCGGCCGGTGTACAAGGAATCGCTGACAACCAGTTCGGGGGCTGCATAACAAGGACTACCGCAGCTCGTTTGCATCAAGTCACCTCGTCGCAGGCCATTGGCGTTAGGTTTATCCAGCCGCTTCCGCTTGACGTATTCTTTGTTAGTGAGGTTGTATTCAATTTCTTCGTCGAGCTGATCGGCTGGGTCGAATGTGTTGGCGAACCCAAAATCGGTGATGATGATGTTGCGGTTGCGGTCGAGCAGCAGATTCTCCAGCTTGAGATCTCGATGTACAATGCCCTTCTTGTGCAGGTACCCAACACCCGATACCAATTGTGCAAACAGCCGCCGTGCAGAGTTGTCCTTGAGATACCGCTGGTTTAGGATGTAGTCGAAGAGCTCTCCTCCTGAGGCGTACTCCAGGATGATACCAATGTGACGGTCCGTTTCCACCATTTCATGAAGGCGCACAATGTTAGGGTGTGAAAGATCCCGCAGAATCGAAATCTCGCGGTAGATCTTCGGTAGCCGGGAGGGATTGGACCCCAACGACTCTCTCCGAATGAGCTTGATGGCCACCTGGATGCTGCCATCGCGCCTCCAACCCAGTTTTACCTTGCCAAACTCACCCTCACCGAGGGTCTGTCCGAGAATGTAGTGCCCAAAGGTGGTCTCCTTGCGCTTGACCGTGTTCCCATTGTTGTAGTCATGGCGGCTGCGGTGTCCAGCAGCACGGCCACCATCCTCCGAAACAGCCGGTTCGACAAAGCCTGCAGGCGATGCGCCCGCCTGGCGCACCTGTTCCCGCTCTCGGTCCACGACAGGGTCACTGACCACGACAGCATTGATAACTGCGCTCGACTCCTTGACCAATGGCTGACCAGAAGCGTCCTCCATGTCAGACTTGGGGCTCCTTGACTTCCCACTAGTCTCCCGACTCGACTCCGACACAGGTTCCTGCCGCCGTGACCTGCTCTTCCCATTCCGATCGTCGCGTGAGCGGTCGCGGTTTTCCTTGCGGTCGGAGCGACTCTTGCCTTGCCGCGAACCGGAGACTTTTTCCGACGAGCCGGCACCGTTCGAGCTGCGATGGTGGTGGGTGGACGATGTTCGCGGCGGCGGAACCGGCGGCGCGCCTAACACATCCGGAAAATTGGGACGTGCATGTTTAGGGGACGGAGCTGAGGAAGAGACAGGCGATGCGTGGGCGGGGAGAGGCAAGGACGGTTGGCGCGGAGTGCTCATAGCCGAAGAAGCTGCAGGGACTGGCCGGGAATGGCTGTGGAGAAATTAGCGACCGCGTCTCGCGCGCCTCAGTGCTCTACCCGTACACACCTTGTCTAGTGTTCCGCAAAGCCCTGACGAGGCCTGCTTGTCTGACAGCCCGCAGCTTCTGTGAGCACTCGGCACGGAAGGGGGGGGGGAGCTGGCAGGACGACGAATGTGCACACGATTTGGGCGCGTGGTTGTTTAAAACACACGATTCCTCCTCTAAATGAGTGGCCGACCACACTAGGTGAGCGGTCGAATCGTCAAGTAATCGAGGGCGCACTGCAGATAGCCAAGTTTCGCACGTCAGTAGAGCATTCCTGGTGGGGAACTTATCGGCAAGAATGTGGAAAAATGCCACAAGATATCAAGCATGAGGGAGACTGACAGGTCAAGATCGATCGGAAGAATTCCTCATGCACCAATGGAGGCAAAGGAGAAGTCGCAGCAGCGATCAGAATGCACAAAAACACAGGGCGCGCGACCGGGTCCAGCGAATGACGCGTCAAAACAAGAACCGAAAGAAAGAAAGACGAAAACCAGAAACAAAAGAGGCCGGTTGAGATTCCCCCTTCCTAGACGAAAAAAGTGCGACAGCAAACGCTGCAGGTGTCTTAGACGCGATTGCGACTCAGCGATTGCTCAATGGGCATCGTCGAGGGGTGGGAACCAGGGGGCGGAAGGGCGACGGAGAAGAAAAGGGGGTCGGGGTAGGTGTTGGCGGACGCAAACACAACAAAGAACCCCCAGCAACGAAAGGAAAGAAAGGAAAGAAAAACGGCCGATGATAGAGAGAAGGGGAGGGAAGAGGGAAGAGGGAAAGGAAGAGGACGAGAGAGGGAGAGAGAGAGGGAAGGAGAAGGAGAAGCGATCCGAGCCAGGGAGGGAGCGAGTTAGTGCCGCTTAGTCTGGGGGAGAGAGGGTCCGAGTTGGGATGGATTGTTTACTCTCTCAGGCACATGAGTTAGAAGTGAACTACTCACTATCGAGTATGATCAATCGGCTAGTTAATACACAGCTAAAATGATCAGTCGACACGGGTATTTACTACTCTGCCTCCCTTGCCTCGATTGTCCGACCGAGGCCCCTGTCGGTGTACATGTGTCTGATGCAGGGCACGACTGTGAGGGAACTACTAACTACCAGAAATTACACAGCAATAAGAAAATCCATGGAGAATCACAATTACCATAATCTTCGCAATAATCATCACCATCACTATGCCAACAAGGTCACTCAAGGGGCATCGCCAGGGCTGCACCGGCCGTTTCAAAGTGGTGCAGTGGACACCAGGGCCGATCGTCATCTAGATTGCAGAGAAATGGTTGATGATTTTTTGTAAAAGTTCTGCTCAGCTAGCCAGTCTGATTGCCAATAATAGTTATGTGTTTCGTCTAATGAATCATAACAATAAACAACCACGACTGCCTCCTATTTTCCGAATATCTACGATCTGGTTTTGCAGGACCCGCATCCCACGGGAGCCATCGTGGTCGACCCAGCGGTTCCCCCGATAGCGACCGCTGGGTATTGGCGAGTGAGCGTAATCGGTTCTCGCGGTGTTGTGGGCCACAACGGACAACTGTCAAAGCGGCTGATGCGTTGGCACGCAGTCTGTCTGACCAATATGAATTGCATAACTCCCTAATCGATCGTCGATCCAGGGCCAATGGGTGATGGGCTGGTCAACGGCCGGGCGGGCTACTGTATTAGGGTTCATCAGCCGCCAATGCAATTGCGGCGCGTATCTCAGCCGAAACAAGGATTCTTACTTCCTCGGTGCGCTGCATACAGACAGGCGAGGAAGGAATTTGCCGCCCTGGTATTTGCTATGTACTCGCTAACTAACGAACGAACCAACCAAGTTGACTATCGCTTGCTCCCCGACATAGGCGTACCGCCCAACGACTGCGTCCCTGAAGCATCGTACGCCGGAGGCGGCGTGGGATTCGGCGATGGGCGGCGAGCTACTGGGTCCGCAGCAGCTCTCAGGCCCGAAGGCCCACTTTCCATCTCGGTGTGAGCACCAGAGGGAACTTGTCCGCCATCACCGCCGCCGACAACCACCTGCTGTCCATCGCGCATGCGGCCCACCACCATGCCCTTCGCCACGGACTTGAGCAGCGCGCGCCGGCTGACTCCGCTGGCGTCGATGTACACCAGACCCACGTTCTTGATGCCGCCTGTGAGGTTGGAGGCGACGCTGCCGGCTTCTGCGCCGTAGCGATGGCCGACCATCGAGCTGGCGGCGGTAGATCCGGAGTACAAAATGGTGCGCGCGCTCTGCTCGAGCCCGTCGGCGAGAGTGGAGAAGGCGATCATTGACTTGTTTAGCACGCCAGGCTTATAGTCTGGTGGTGGGTTCCTCTTGTCGAAGCTCTTCTTGTTGGAATCCTTCTCCTTGCCCCGAAGAGATGCGCCAATGTTCTGCGCAACTTTGCCAACTTGTCCGACGGTCCGGGAGGAGAGATCCGCTGCGCCGTTCGAGAAGGTTCCGATCTTGCGGATGCGCGTGTGGGTGGTCTCGGAGAAGGTCAGTGGCTTCGGATTCGGCTTGGTCTTCTTGGCGAAGCTCTCGGCTCCGCTGGCAATGACATTGGCCAGCTTCGATGTGCCGGTGACTACAAGGCGCGATGCCATGGCTGATGTCTGGACAATAGTCGAGTCCTGGTACGCCGGATGCCGGGACATGGCCAAATATTCTTCAGACACATTGCTCACACTGACCTGGTTGCCTTCTCCATCGGAGGGCAGTTCAATTGTCACCGGTCCTGCGGAACGAAAGCTGTTAGCTGCGAATCATAATGTCTGTCACTCAGATATACTCACTCTTCGATCCATGCTTCACATCCGGGTCCTCCACCAGGTCATACCCCTCTCCCAGCTCGCCGACCACGCTTCCGTCCTCTTCGTCCACCAAAACTATCTGGCCATGCCCTTTCTCAGGACTGAAATCCGTGTTCGACGATATATATCCTTCACCCGGCTTGTAGTCGGCTGGATTGTATGCAGCATGACCACGATTCTTGGGCGGTGCGGCGTGTTCCAAGAAGGCAGTACACTGTGCCAAGATTGTCTCAAACGTATCAATCTCATCTTGCGTCACCTTATCCGGTCCCGTGCCGACGCTAGGGAATTGGATTCGAATGAAGGCGCCCGCGTCTGGTGCCATATCCCAGCGGGGGATCAAGTAGCTGGTAGGTGGTTGGTGGTAGATCTGCGTGGTGGCGGGCAGGGCCAGATCTAGCTCTGGAGGGAGGTATAAGTGCAGATAGAAGTCCTCCTCTGGTGTTTCGGTGCCTGATGTCGTTGGTGCCGGGGTGTTGGTAGGGACCATTAGCAAGGACAGAGTCTGAGGGCCCGATGGCGTGAGATCCTGCTCTTCGCCATCTTGTAGGTGGAATGCGCGAATGTTGTTGACACTGTACAGCAGGCGGGGATCATGTGTTGCCATAGTTAACAGTGGAGGGGAGAGTGTCACTCTCCAAGTCAGTGTGGGTTGGTTGATAAGGCGGATAAGGCGATGACGTCGTAAGCCTGATTCACTGCGAATCCAAGGATAAACAAGAGAACCAAAGAACAGTCCAGTAAAATATATGACAGAAACAAGAACAGCCAAGGCCAAGGAGGGGTTTTGTACTTCACTGGGCGCTTAGATAACATGCGCCACATTGTTGCACTGCCACATTCACATCCGTTCCTGTTTCCCTATTTGCCCTACTCACCACTGGGTATGGCCCTCCAGGTCCTGTCCGATCTTCACTTGGAGAACCCCAGCGCGTACGATCTGTTCGAGATCACCCCCAAAGCCCCCTACTTAGCCCTCCTAGGCGATATAGGCGTCGTGAAAGACCCCGGATTCTCCCACTTCATCGCCTTCCAACTGTCCAAATTCGAGATTGTGTTTTTGCTACTGGGGAACCATGAGCCCTACCACTCCAGCTGGATGACCGCAAAGGCTCAGATCACCCAATTCTCCGACTCCCAAAAGACTGCAGGCAAATTGGTCTTCCTAGATCAAACCCGCTTCGACATCTCTCCCGATCTCAGCATCCTCGGCTGTACCCTTTTCTCGCACGTCGACACTACCCACGAGGAACGGGTCAGTTTCGGCCTGAATGATTTCTACCTAATTGACGGCTGGACAGTCGCCGGCCACAATGCCGCGCACCAGGCGGACCTGCACTGGCTCAACAGCCAGGTCGCGCAGATTACCCAATCTGAGCCACACCGGAAGATCGTTGTCTTGACGCATCATAGTCCCATTACCCGTGATGAGCGCGCGGTCGATCCAAGACACGTTGGAAGCCCGCTGTCGTCGGGCTTTGCGACCGATCTCTCCAAGGAAATTTGCTGGACGCACCCGCAGGTTCGGTTGTGGGCGTTTGGGCATACCCATTATAATGTCCGCTTTGTGGAGAGGGAAACGGGGAAGCAGGTTGTTAGTAACCAGCGTGGGTATTACTTTGCGCAGGCGGAGGGGTTTGATCCGGAGATGGTTGTTGATCTTTGAGGTTACACATATTGGGTTTATACGAGCGCCCAATAGCGCCTCTCCAAGGTAATATATAATGCTTTTATGAACCCATAGTAGTGTGATATTTTCCTGGATTATTGTAGGAAAACGTTTGCCAAGATCTTTAACAGTTCCCCACCATAGATTTCGAGAATCCGAAGCGTTACACTGTGAAGACCGTGTTGGTTCAAGATAAATGATAGATAAACCAATTCATAACGAGCCTGTGCGCAGGGTTCTTGGTTCTAAGTCCTAGCTCATTTATCCTGCATTTATCTGTCAACCCGAGGCCGCACCTTCAAATGCGCAACGTTTACACGATCTGCCTCCTTATTCAGAGCCTCAATTTCCGCCTCGGCCAATGGAATACCTTCCGATAACCGTCGCTCCTCAGTGATTATCTCAAGCTCCCCAGGGAAATAAATCTGCTCTACGCCAGCCGCCTTTTCGGAGTCGACGACCCTTTGATAGAGGTACTTCATTCTCGACTTGAACTCATCCATAGTCATAAAAAGATCCGGCTTAACAGCAACCAGAAAATGACCGACGTCGGCTGGTTTGGACGGGTCGTAGGGGCCGGTAACATGGCCTGCGAACGCAGCTCCCGAAAAAACGCCAGAGAAAACGTCCATCATAATAGCTAAGGCGGAACCTTTCGGGCCACCCATCGGCAACATGACACCTTCGAGAGCCTTTGCTGGGTCATCAGTCGGATTCCCCTCTCCATCGAGCGCCCAGTCCGTGGGGATCTTCTCGCCCCGCCGAAGGGCCTTGTACACCTTGCCGCGGGCGGCCACGGATGGCGCCATGTCAAGAATGAACGGCCGCCGCGGGTTCTCAGAGGGAGCGCCACAGGCGATAGGTGACACGCCCATCAACTTCTCTTTGCCGCCCCAGACTGGCAGTGCCGGTGACGAGTTCGTAAAAACCAGAGACATCATATCGGCGTCTAACGCCTGCTTGACTAGCCAGGCCGACATGCCGAAATGGTTCGAATGCTTGATGGAGACCATCCCGATGCCGAACTGCTGCGCCATTTCGATTGCGCGCGCCATCCCTGCATGCGCCGCGACGAACCCGAACCCGTTACGGCCGTCGACCTGCGCTACGGCTGGCGTCACTTGCCGCAGCTCCGGGGTAGATGTGGCGTCTAATGCTTTGCGGCGGATTCGTTCCATGTATGAAGGGATGCGATTGCTGCCGTGGGTGTCGACGCCGCGTAGATCGGCTTGAACAAGGCAATTGGCTACAATACTCGCATGCTCGGTGGTGGTGCCATTGGCAACTAGAATTTGTTGTACGAATTCCTCGAGATCGGATGAAAGGACAAGGCGTAGAGATCCGACGTGCTCTGTGGAGGTGGACATGTTTTGGAAGAGTTGGAGCCGTGTAGTTGAAAGGTTGAAGGTCGAGTACTGGTTGTTGGAGTATTTGTACCAATTACTCGAGGCGGATGGGTGCCGCATCGGAACTCTCCCGATGGTGGAGAATGGCCCGTGCAACGTTATTCCACGGAGAAACATAGTTTGTATTCGATAAAGATAGCGGCTGTTCTACCAACTTGTTTGTTCCATTCTTACAAGGGTCTTACAAGGGTCTTTCAAGGCAGGCGATCCAGCCCCGTCCCGCTGCTCATCGCCCGGTCCTACAAAACGCGAATCAGTTACCAGCTCACCGGAACAAAAAGAAGGGGGCACACTTACCAAGATGAATGTCGGCACGAACATCGACATAAATTTCACCATAGCAGCCATCGTACCACGCCACACCGGCCCCGTCGCCCTGCCCAAGATATCCTTGACGACCTCGCGGGCAAAATCTGCAGGCATGCTTTTACTCTGGACATCCTTCCCGAGGCCTCTCGCTTGTATCTCCGGGAGCGCTTTCTGATACAGCGACGTGTCGGGCAAGGTCAGATCGGCATGCGACATGACATTCGTGGCAACGGAGCCGGTGACCAGGGAAACAACGCGGATGTTGAAGGGCTGCAGCTCCAGTCGCAGAGTCTCACTCCAGGACATAAGAGCGGCCTTGGAGGCGTTGTAGATACCTATTATTATGACTGTAAATACTCATTCATTCATTCCTTTTCTGCCGCGACCACGAAGACGGAAGACTAACTCATCCAGGGGGCATACAAGAAGCCCGAGATGGAGCAGACATTCACAAGGGTGCTGCCCTCCTTGGCAGCGAGGAGCAATGGGGTGCAGGCCTGGGTGACAGCAATAACTCCCCAGAGGTTAACATCAAAGAGGCGCTTGGCCTCATCCAGAGAGGTGTCGAGGGCGGGATAGACAATTGACTGGCCGGCGTTGTTGATGAGGAGGTCAAGCGAGTTGCCATGAGCGGCCAGATCCTGACGCACGGTCTCGACGGCAGCGGCGATGCTGGCCGGATCGACGACGTCGAGGGCGATGAGAGTCACATTGGGGAGCGTGGCTAGATGGCTCATCTTGGCTGCGGAGCGGGCTGTCGCGTACACTTTGAAGCTGTGGGCGTGGAGTTCCTCCACGAGCGCTGAGCCGATGCCGCCGGCGCTGCAGCCGGTGACGAGGGCACAACGAGGCATAGTTGTCTTGGTGGCGAGTGCTCTTATTGATGAGCAAGCTGGTTGATGGATATTTCTGTTGATGGAGGTTGCACTGAATTGGTTGTTTTGTTATGGGAGGGCCAACCCAGAAACGGAGGCTGTACTTGAAGCATTGATAATTCAATGGATGATATGCTTTATTCCCGGGGTATTTCTTTCATTTCTTGTATGCACTTTATGGCTGGTACTAATCGGTTGCCGCCGGACTCACTTTCGTCCGACCACTCCTGGCCTTGCCTAATTTGGTCGCAGTTCCGTCCGTTTGTACGTATTCAATACGACAGTTTCACCTCTTGGAATCTCATCTAGTAGCATGTGTCAAAAATCGACGGCACGATTACCCATTATGGAATTGCAATACACGAATAAATCAATCTCTGATTAAGATAAATCTGGGAATGCCCAACAATTTAGGGGGCGAGATAACTAATAAAGACTAGTGCAAAATAGGAAATAATGAGGGGAAAAATAGAGGGGTAGACGATGTATCCAATTCTTGACAGTATGTTATAGTCGGTCTGCTTACTACGGTAGGCTAAGGGGAAGACGCGCCTAGATAGGCGGCGCCCTCACTAGACGCTTGAGTCCAAAACCACGACGTGGGACAGGTCCTAGACGGGCCGTGTACTTGAAGCATTGATAATTTAATGGACCATAAATAAAAAGAACATTCTCGAAAGTACTGATTGACTGACGACCACCAACATTTAAAACTGTCTAAATCTGGCCGTTCTTCCAAATTGGAAGTGCAATTCACGAAGGAATAAATCTCTGACTAAATAAACCTAGGGATGCGCAACAATTTAAGGGTGAGATAACTAATAATTGACTAGTGGAAAATAGGAAATACGCGGCGTGAGTCCCCACAAACGAAGTGCGGATTTGTTTTACATTGTCCACAGGGCTTGCACGTCATTAGTTTTGGATGGAGATTCAAATTGGGAATATTTGTTATCAAAGCTCTGTGCGAAAAATAAAATAAAATAAAAAGTGGCCTGATAGGACTCACAATAGTATCATTCAGGATGTAGTTATTCTATAAAGGCTCAGAGACCATGATGTTGAGATTGTTTTCGTCGAATAACCGAACAGATCTAAAAACCCAGTAGCGACTCATCTGCCTGGTCCACCTCAAAGTCAAACCGGACGAGGTCTTCCCTGTACGGAATGAAGTATTGACTCGTTACTCTAGATAAGGTTAAACATTTTATGACATTTTGACAGGATACTCTCACCTTTCATGCTCACTGCTAGCATGGTATGCATCCAAGGCCGCTCGGTCTTCGTGGTAGCTGACCAGGGAATAATGAAATCCCTTACTCTTTTCCGCTGGGAAGGTAATTGATGGGCCACCAACAATGAGTCTCTGGTCTTTGACACAAGACAGAGACTTGAGAGATTTGATCTGTAAGAGGAACTCTTGTTTGATTTCATCGCCCACATCAGCGCGGAATTTGAATAGAACTATCCGTGGATTAGTTTGTGGACTTATACAAGTTGTTTTACGGACCTATGTGGACGATCGTCATGGTGTTTGATTTGAAATGATGATGAAAAACAGTAATTCAGAAAACAGCACTGCCTTTATACGGGGAAGCTCGGATGTCTTCCGTTCTGCGGGACCACCCCGCTTCTTCCCGTTATCCTCGTTCTGTCAAAAGACTTTTCGTTTAAGATTGCTAATTCATTGCTCTGTACTCTTTGTCATCTTCCCCTCTCCTGTCTATTTCACAAAACTAATTATCGTTATAAGTGTATGAGTTACATGGACTCCCCACGCCGTCCTCGGAACCCTGCCGCCTGCCGCCGCTGCCAGCGCCGGAAAATCCGCTGCGACGGAGCCTTACCTCGCTGCGGATCATGCGCAAAGGTCAATGCCAATTGCATAAATGATGGCAAGCAGGAAGTCAGCCGCGCGTAAGTAAAAGCCAATTGGCATACAGCCCATTCCGCTAACTGCAGTCAGATACATTGCCAATCTGCAGCAAAGAATAAAAGAGCTGGAGTCATTGGTAAACGAGCGGGATTCAACCACCCAGCTCGAGAATGATTCTCAATTAAACGATTTTTCCCACGCTGGCATTGGAGATGATGGAGTCAATCGGCATGACGAGACTGCGGCTTACAATGCTACAAATCGTCGATCACCAACTCCACAGCATCAAAGTAATGCACAACCATCCCGGACAAGCTCCAGGCAAGCCCATGAAATTGGCCTAGTATCTCTTTCGGCTGGAGGTGAACCCAGATACATTGGCCCCTCAAGCGGATACTTTCTCGCAAACCTCGTCTTCTCCAGTGCAGGACGTCGAACACGTCCACAAGGGAATATAGGCAATGTTAATGAGCCGATGTCCTTGTCAGCCGAGCTATTCAACAGCCCAGCATCCTTGCCTACCCGCAAGGAAGACGCCATTGAATTAACCTCGAAATATTTTGCTACAGTTCATCTCATCTACCCATTTCTGCATGAACCATCTCACATGCAGCGGCTGGATGAGATGTACTCAATCGGGGCAAATACCCCCGATCCTTCGGTGACGTTTCATGTGTATATGGTGCTTGCAATAGCAGCGTCGGATCTATCTCGGCGATTCAAGATCCGTCTTCCAGTCGAGGGGTACTATACAGCCGCGACCCAGTTCTTTGATCAGGCATATGCTGAAGGTACAATGGAAGGGCTCCAGAGTTTGCTACTTCTTATGGTCTATGCTCTGCACAATCCTTCATGTGGGGTCAATATATGGAGTCTCAATTACCAATGCCTGGGGTCACTTATTGATCTGGGCTTACAACGCGATGTGCGTGCATCTTCGACGTTCCCCATATCCTTCTTTCAGCAGGAGATGAGAACCCGGATCTTTTGGGTAGTGTATACGCTAGATCGAACGCTTGGAACAATGATGGGACGGCCAATAGGTGTCCGGGATGAAGCCTGTGAGCTCCGAGTAAGTTTCATAATTCGGACGTGGAAGAATATCATGCTCACAATATTTTCAGTTCCCATCAGACATTTCAGACAGCTGTCTCACAGAGACAACAGCCCGAGAAAGGACAAGGGACAGCCCACCCTCACATATGACCTACTCGATTCACCTCTTCAAATTAGCGCGCATGAATTCCGAGATCAAGTATATCATGCACAGCATCTCCAGAGATGCTCCGCGTTATGCATTACCCTCAATACCAGAAATCCACCTCTGGCAGTCCGACATGATAAAGCAACTCGAATTATGGCATTCGGAGATTCATAGCTCAGCTGGAATGGAGTCGATATCCAGGATCTGCGAGACAAAGTACCACGAGATGATGATTTTGATTCTACGACCCAGCCCCGGCATCCCAGAGCCTTCGGAGGAGTCTCTATCCCTGTGCTTCACACATGCAGTGGAGCTTGTTCGTGGCTTTGGCGAGCTCTACCGCCAAGAAGCACTCCAGTACAGCCGGCTCATTGTGCACTCACTCTTCCTGAGCACGCTGATCATACTTCATACACTGTGGCGATTACCTCAGATCGCCTCGCGGGTTCAGATCGATGAGGTTGTTGCCGATACAGGGATCAGTTTGAATATTCTCAGCAGTATTGGAGAGTACTGGACTGAAGCCAAAAGGGCGAGGGATTGTATTCACGAGTTGACGGGAGTAACTATCCAGCGCTTGGTTAAAGTGCGGAGTGTGGAGGCATCGACTGCTGTGCTTCGCTCAACCAGAACTTCTTCTTCGAATGCCATGGCTGGTAGGCACCAGCGGACACAAGAAGCGGATGTGATTTTGGATCAGACAATTCAGGATGATTCCGGCATGGGACCAATGGCTAGTTTGTTGGATGGCGAAGAACTGAACACCGAATCTACGAGCTGGTTGAATGATCTGATGCCGGGAGGCTGTATGGATTTCACTGGAGCGCCGAATTTTGATAGTCTCATGTGGGAAGTATATAACGGCACACAATAAACATGAAAAGTTCAATAGCGGGCAAAAGCACTTTGCCTAAGAGGAGATACTCTCGACACTCCACAATCAGTAGCTCTACCACGGAAAAACAATAGCTGCTCCCATCATCATTCCTGCGGCGGTGATCCCAAGCACAGCGCCAATTCCATTCCAATTCGAGGGGCTTGGCTTAAGTCTTGCTGCCGGGTTAGACGTGGCTGCCGCGCTCAAATCCGTCGGCTGATGCACGAGCGTCAGAGGGGCAACTACTGTGACGGCAACAAGGGAGGATAAATCGCTTGATTCAAGGGTAGTGGTCATAACCCGCGAAGCGGTGGCATCTCCAGTGATTGACATGATATTTGCTTCGACGGTGGTGCCGTACCACCAGATCGATTTGGATTCAACCGTGCCCACGTCAACCTGTGGCAGCTGGGTTTGGCACATAGTCGAAGGCGTGTAGTCCGGCACAATTGAGTAGCAATCATCTCCGTTAAAACCAGGGGTCATGGACCTAGGGAGGAAATGTGGTTAGTCCTATCTATTCCGCGTGCGGTGTCCAAAAGGGGAAAAAAAGGCATACGTTGGGCAGCACAGTACAGCAGTCTCGCTTGGGGCGAGGACTTGGAGGAACACATTGTTAGGCACGTTCGGAAACAGGAAGACGTCTGAGGCCCTATCCGAGGTGGTAGTTGCTCCAATAGCCCCATTCCACTCGACTGTCTTAGTCCCATTGCGCGACGCCGTTGCAACTGGACCCCATCCGGAGGGACAGTCGAGACCTGGAGAGTAGTAGTTCTCGTATAAGGCGTATTTGCGAATGTCTTTAAACCACGAGGTTGCGGTTGGGAGATCCGTGATAGTACCTGTTGGCAAGCAGCCCCAAGGATTGGTGGGCACGCCACAGGAGACTTGGCCGAGATTAAGTTCTGGAGCGCTGGTGTGGGCGATTCCGAGGTAGTCCGTGTGGAACGACTGACAAGAAGCGGGTGGGGTCCAGGTCGTGGTGAGTGGTCCCCAGTTGGCGAATGTATATTCGGACAGAACCGAAACAGACGGCATGATTGCGGATCTGATTCAAGATTCCCGTAAACAGACAGTCTGAAGGATGGTTTGCAAAAAGGAAACTATTCGAACAATCAAATAGTCAAACTTCGTTTACATTTAATCAGAAAAAGAAAAGGGGCTCAGCTCGATCTTAGCGTGGAGGGGTGATGTACGGCAATAGAGCCCTAGCTCGAGAGAACAATCCCAGTTCAAGAGTCACCGTAGTATCTCGGTTGATGTCTTAGGGGTTACTACGTGCAGCGAGGTACAGGGAGGCTCTTCGCTGAAGGCAAAATAGGCTAATCTGGGGCGAATCGCGCGGCTGTGTGGATCCGACTAGGGATTTAGGTGCGTTCGGGCCTACCTACCGAAATATTTCTCAATTGCCATCCCTATTGGTGGCTTTGGGTTCGCCTAGAAAGAGAGTACCTTAAAAATAACAGTATATCCTATAGTTGTCTATTCAAAAATAAATTAAGTAAAAAGGTAGTGACAAAGTCTCCCCAGGGATGTTATAAGACAAAGGGTCGGTTTGTAAATTGTTAAGCGTTAAGAAAATAGATTTACCAAAGACAGAAACAATAATGGCCTCGTAGTGCATGCCACCACTACTTTTTAATGTTAACTAAACCTGTCATTGTTTGGTTTCTGAAGCATATCACTTGGTAGTCTACAACCAAGTTGATGCCTCAGGCAAAATATTCATAGGCCCCACCAATTGATCGCTTCCCCAGTTCGCCGCCGCTAGCCGAGGTTGTTCTACTCCCTTGTGATTCCCTCTTCCTCATGTTGTTGCTCTTTCTCTTTTCCACCAACTCCTCGCTACAGCTGCACTAACTGCCCTTCCCCTCACTCTCAATGGCCTCCATCGTCCGTGCCCTGCGGCCCCTGTCGCGCACTGCCACCTCGGCCCGCCTGGCCCAGCGGCCACTAGCTGGCCGCATGCCGCTGCAGAGGTACGTTTAACATCGGAATTTGAGTCGGGCTGCTTAAGAGAACACTATGCTAACCCATCGGGGCCAACAGTAAATATGCTTTCTCAACCACTTCCCGCCGGCGGGAGGTCGACCTGTCCAGTCTCACGCCGACTCCGATCACCCTGCTCTCGGAGACGGAATCGCTGATGGCGGAGTCCGTATCGAAATTCGCCCAGGAACAGATCGGCCCGAAGGTTCGGGACATGGACGAGGCCGAGACCATGGACCCGGCCGTGGTGGAGGGGCTCTTCGAACAGGGCCTGATGAGCGTGGAAGTGCCGGAGGAGTTCGGTGGAGCGGGCATGAACTTCACGGCGGCGATTGTGGCCATCGAGGAGCTCGCACGCGTCGATCCCAGCGTCAGTGTGCTTGTGGATGTGCATAACACTCTTGTCAACACCGCTATCATGAAGTACGGTGATGCGCAGGCCCACCGTACTTGGCTGCCTAAACTGGCTACCGGCACTGTCGGCTCCTTCTGTCTGTCTGAGCCGGCGTCTGGATCTGATGCCTTTGCTCTGCAGACTAAGGCCGAGAAGACTGCCGACGGCTACAAGCTTAATGGTTCCAAGATGTGGATCACCAACTCTATGGAGGCCGGTATCTTCATTGTCTTTGCCAACCTGAATCCGTCCCAAGGCTACAAGGGTATCACTGCTTTCATTGTTGAGAAAGATACCCCTGGGTTTTCCATTGCCAAAAAGGAGAAGAAGCTCGGTATCCGGGCTAGCAGCACATGTGTGCTCAACTTTGACGATGTGGTCATTCCCAAGAGCAACCTGCTCGGTGAAGAGGGCCAGGGCTACAAGTATGCCATCAGCGTACTCAACGAGGGCCGCATTGGTATTGCCGCCCAGATGACCGGTCTAGCTCTTGGAGCATGGGAAAATGCTGCCAGGTATGTCTCTCTATCTCCGTATTTGCGTCCGCCGAGCTAACCTGTGAAATAGCTATGTCTGGAACGACCGCCGCCAGTTCGGCCAGCTCATCGGCGAATTCCAAGGCATGCAGCACCAGATTGCGCAGGCGTACACCGAGATCGCCGCTGCCCGTGCGCTCGTCTACAACGCTGCGCGCAAGAAGGAAGCGGGCCAGGACTTCGTTCAGGACGCCGCCATGGCCAAGCTGTATGCGTCACAGGTTGCCGGCCGCGTGTCCGGCCAGGCCGTTGAGTGGATGGGCGGCATGGGCTTTGTGCGTGAGGGTATTGCTGAGAAGATGTTCCGCGACAGCAAGATCGGCGCCATCTATGAGGGCACCAGCAACATCCAGCTGCAGACAATCGCCAAACTTCTGCAGAAACAGTATACAAAATAGACGTTCGTCGATCATGATTTTTGACGGCAGCTTTTCTGTTCAAGGGCGCATTGTTGTATTTTCTTGTATAGTCTCACCAGTTGATAAGGTTATACGATGATTTTAGATTGGAATTTGATCAAAAACAAGAAAATCTCACGTTCCCCACCAGCCTTATTCTTCCGATCCCCGACGGACGGAGTCGGACACGGACACGGACCCCATCGCCCCCGGGTGCATATCTGACACACAGACTTAGCATACCTCGGGCCAGACACCAATCCGGTTAGCCCCATTTAAGGCTGACCTAAGACCTCCCAAGGCTACGAGTGACCTGCACACTGATCGCCTCCCGTAGCCTGGCGGGTCGCTGCGGCTTAGGACCCGCTGGTTTCCCTCAACCTGCATTGCCCGTGTGCTGCGGCCCCTTCATTCTCGACCCTGGGAGCCAAATAACAGGATGCAGTGCACAATGGAGCGCTTTCTATATTTATTTGGCTAGGGATTGGAGACAAACTATTGATTACAATACGATTCCAACTCTGGGAGCGAGTCTGCATTATAAAGTGACGCTTCTATCTATACTTGTACCGGATGGCCATCACCGCCCCCACCTGAACAAGACATCGCGCCGATAGAGTCCGATGACCGAATCTAACGTCAACATATTTAAAGCTAGCAACAAGACTCTCTGCCGCTCGTCTACCATAACTGCCACCATAAAATCAAAATGTCGGCTACTATTGACAGACTCAGCCGCGTCCTACGGGACCCATCCCCCACAAACGCTCAATATCTTCGCAACGCCCTTATCTTAGCTGCTTCCGTCGCGCTGGGGACAGCCATTATGCTCCCCACCGCAATCCGCGACTATCGCATCTTCAAATCCTACGGCGAGGGTGGACCCCCGAGCAATATCCTCGGCTGGATTGTTGTGCGCGGCCTGTTCGAACCCTTCCGCCGGGAAATGTTCAGCACCACCGAGTACGAACGTGCCGAACAGCAGCAAGAAGGATTCCTGGCTCTATCAGCAGACCAACTCAGCTCGAGGAGTGTTTCTAATCGACCTGTTGTGGGACCGCATGTTGCGCCGCAGAGGCAGTTGACGCAGATTCCGGATCCTGCCATTATGGAGGTGTGTTTATATCATCCAGCCGTGCTATCATTACAGGGAGATTGACGTTGACAATAACACAGAAACTGCGGGAAAAATTCTTCACTTTCGCAAAGCGAAACGCTCACGTTGTCAAACTGTCCGAGTCTCTAGCGGAAGGGCACACAGAAGCAATCTTCCTCGCTGATCATCTGCCCGCCTCGCCGATCTTCAAAGCTACAAGAGGGGAGATAGCACATGTTCATACAGGCAAAGACCATTCATTGCATATGGTTCTATCACCCGTTGATTGTATGTATTTCCACCTCATTTCTTCCCTCAATTGATTCCAAGTACTTATCTCTGATACTAACGTAACAATCAAGGCAAAAAGCTTATCGAAGCAGGCTGGGCCCAGCGACACTCTTTCTCAGGTTCTTGGGCAATGTCTATTTTGAGCTTTGGGACACGATCAAATATTCCCTCCGAGTATATGTTGGTTTATGCGCCGCGTACAGAGGCGGAGGTTGAGACTGTTATGGCTATCGTTGTGGCGAGTGTTAAGTTTGCTACTGGGGAACAGGACATAAGGTGATTATGTTGCTAGCTTTTCTAAGCAAAGAGGGATATTGTTGCATATGTATATAGCATTATTGTCTCGGGTTGGTGCTATTGAATAGTCAAATGTGTCTTTTTCTTTAACTCCCTACAATGGGTAATATTATCAGTATAGACTTATTGTCGATTATATATTTCGATCTGATACAATAATCAACAATGGCCCAACTAGAAATGAGCGTATTTGCAGTCGGGTCACCGGTACAGCTCTGATGTGAAGCCACCTTGATATCACTCAACATTGCTCAATGTTGAACGAGAACTTGTGCGTCAAGGGCAAGTCCACACTTTGTGTCAACGTTTGCGTTGTCGCATCGTATCTGCCACACTTCGACTCGGTGACATCAAGCAACTTGATTGTTGAGATCTTTACATCCGGTTGGTAGCCGAAACTGCCGTCCATTTCCAGGACACCCTTGTTATAGCTGAAATGAAGCAGACTGGTTTCGGTCGGCTCCAGCGAATCGCCGTCATCAAGATACAGGTCCCCCGAGGCACGCCCATGAGCGCCAGGAGCGATTATAAGCTCAAAATCTTCTCGCCGGAGCGCTGTTGTTGTGTAGGCACTCTTGGTGCGCATGGGGATGATGTTGCCACCTCGGATGTACACAGGAATTTCAGAGTATCCGACATTATTGCGAGTCATGTTAGCTCCCTTTCCTTCGATCTTTTCAAAAGTGTCAAAGTCATAGAATGTGTCCTTTGGCATGTAGAAGGTCACGCTCGTCTCGTTGGGCGTTGTGACAGGACACACCAAGAAAGCATCGCCATGAAAGAACTGCAAGTCAATGGCGAATGTGTTGGCATCGTCGGGGTACTCCCACATCAACGGAGTCAACATCGGAGCGCCAGTTGTGCTCTGCCGGTGGAAATTTGTGTACATGTAGTCCAGAAGCTTGTACCTTGTGGCAATGGCTCCGCGAGCAGCATCCGCAACAATCGGCCACCGGTAAAACTCTTGGTATATGGTGCTCTCCTCTGCATGGTTACGGTAGAATATATTCCACGCTCCAAGAACCGCCCAGCGCGCGCAGAGAATGGGGTTGGTGTCGTAGTTGAAGCCGCAGACGTCGGAACCTACCATTGGAACCTGGAACATGGCGACGAATTGGATCATCTGGATGATTTGAAGGCGGTAGTCACTGTCAATGGAACGGTTGTCTCCGAACCAATGCCTGAAGAGCAATGTTAGTTTTGGAAAAAGAGTAAGCTAGGGTAAGGCTTACCCGACACGTGTGGAATCGCCGGCATAAGTTGAACGCGTGATGCTGTGCAGAATGTAAGCAAGGACAGCTTCGAAATACCAACGTATTCGAGAACGAACATCAGCGGCCTCTTCCCCGGTCGACGTTTGATCAACGAATTGCGACTATGTCTACCCATCATGCTCCCGTAAAAATTATGGACGTCATACTCTGCTAGGCCGTTGGCGTGGTGCAAGTTGGTTGGTAGGGTCTGTGAACTCAGTGGGCCGAAATAAGCTCCAATATCGTACGGTGGGGAGATCAGATCACGTCCCGGCAAGCCCTGCATGGATCCTTTTGGGTCGGAAGAGCCGGCATCCCTTTTCACGCGGTGTGACCGATTTAGAGCATATTGGGTTTCAGGGACGGCTACTGCCGTTGTATTAGGAACCGTCCAGTGATCTGAGAATGAAGCCATTGAGCCACATCCTTTTGTGTGGATTGTCCGATTTTGCGCCTCAAATACGTAGAGACCCTCGTGTGTATAGAGTGGATACGAATATGTAACTTTTGAGTTCGCAGGCAACTGAACCGTGAGGTTCCAGGCCCCATTCGTGCCTTGCATATCCGGTGCATAGAATGGCGTGCTGTTCCCTATCGATAACGCACTTCCAAGTAAGAGGAGGTCATCTCCGTCTGGAACCTCAGAGTCCACCATGAAAGTAACAGTAGCCATGCAATGCGGCTGAAAGTTCTCGGGAAATCCTGGTATCTTGTACGGTGAGTACATTCGCACCGGAGGCGGACGTGGCGGGTCCCGACTTTCGATAGAAAACTGCTTTGGATTTGGGCATGGATAGTCGCAAAAGTTAGACGCTTCGTTCATATCTATCCAAAGCCCATCAATGTCCACACCGCTATCAGCGTTGAAGAATGTGTCGAACTGCTGGTCCCAGAAGGCTTGTGCGTTGGGCGCGAACCAATCGGGGAAGTTAGTCGGCCCCGGCCAGACAACGCCTGTGTATAGGGTGCCATTGTCCTGCTTCATGAAGGCGTCTTTGGCAATGCCGTCGTGGAAGGGTGGATAGTCTCGAGAGGCGACGGCAGGGTCTACCATCATGATGTAGTGCTGGTCATGGTCATGGAGATAGTTGACAAACTGCTGCATTCTGCTCAGAGGAAAGCGCAGTGGGTCCAAAGAGAATGTGGAACGGTAGTCCATATAGTCGATGTCGTTCCAGATGGTCTCCAAGGGGATGTTTGCGGCACTGTAGTTTGCTACTACGGCGGCTGTCTCATAGGTGTCTTGGTAGCCATATCGACACTGGTGGAAGCCAAAGCCCCAGTACGGCATTAGAGTTGGATAGCCAATGATTTTAGCGAACTGGACTGAGACATCTTTTGGGGTTGGCCCAGAGAGGAAGTAAAAGTCGAAAACGCCTCCGATAGTGTTATACTCCAGAAACTCCTCTGTGTCCACCCCAAGATTGATCTTCATCCCGTTTGAGTTGTGGAGATATACCGCATGAGTACCATTGCTCCCGCGATGGTCGTAGTAGATCGGATAGGAGCCGTACAGATTGGAATTCTGCGGCATGAATGGCTGACCCGAATTCCAATCGACATGCGAGTAGTTTTGCGAATCATGGCGGAAAGGATCCGAGCTCTCGCCCAGGCCATAGATGTTTGGATTGCTGGGCAACGAGGTTCGAAGCCTGAGATACTGTGTCTCGAAAACGAGTGTCTGGCCAGTAGTGTTGAAGAGGACTTGGCCGTTGGACCTGCGAGTGACGGAAAACGAGAAGGGTTTCTGTTGCATAGAAAATACCAAGTCTTCAGGTTCTGAGAACTTCCCGGACTCGGGCATCGCTAACAAGTCATTGGGGATTTGATATACACGCTCATCGGCATCGTAGATTTTGACGTGTAACCGATTTTCTGCGGGTCGTTAGTTTCCACTGACATTTTTATCAACCAGTACCCACCTGTTTGATACTCAACAAGCAGCTTCAAATCCTTAATGTCATCTCCATATGCGTTGCACGGGCTGCCCTCTAAAGTCAAATCCGCAGTAATCGCCTTGCTATGGTGCTTTACATTCGCGGCAGCGTACCCAGGACAGCTGCTTATGCCTTGAGCCAAGACAGCAGTTGTCCCCAAGGCGGCACCAAGCCAGAAGAAACGCATCATGTCGGATTGCGTAACAAGACTATTTTCACCGGCCAAAAATTGTATGTATTTATTTCACCCCTTTATTTAACTACAAATTGAGTTTTTGTAACCTGCCCCTCCTCGCCTGTATTCATTCCGTTCACCGACGCTCTAGTGTAACCTGCCCCTCTTCCCCGCGGGGAAGAAATCCTTCCAGGGGCTAACCTTGATATTGGGCCCCTTCTACCGACTCGCGGGCCCTGAATTGCTAATCGTTTACCCCTTTCCTATTAGGATCAAAAATTCTTGGACATATGATTATACCATAAGCTAAATAACTTGCTAACTATTAACTAGCTAATTACTGTTTCTTATACCTGTTTTGTATGTCTCGCTACGATTCCATTAATTTTGATTCATCCTCTATGTAATCCTTTGAATTATGAATTTTGAATAGTTAACTAGGTCTTCTTGCTTAATTCTGCTCAACTTACCTTCTTCTCTATCCAAGAGGAATTGTTTTCTGTATTCTGTTTAGAGTAGGTGAAACTGGTGTGGGGGGATGTGGAAAATATATCTTGAATGTATGAGGTTGGGTAATTGTTCGCTTTAAAGTCCGGGATTGACCAAATCCCCGCACAGCTACGTGCGCCCCAACATTGTTACTCGGACACCCCCGATGCCGAGATGAGGGGTAGTGCCCGGGTTAGAACTTGATGGCTGATCCCTAAGCTCTTTGAACTTATCAAGGTACCATCTTCTTTTTCGATGATCTAGATACCTTACTCTGCCGGTTACCGGCAAAGGGCCTTTTGCGGGGAGCTTAATGACATCTCTACCTGACTTTGGGCAAGCTCTGCCACCAGTGAGCTGCCGCTCACGCCGAACCCTACAATCAAAGGTTCATTCTAGACCACCTCCACGCGTTCCGCTCCTCTCCCACACAGCTGCAGAAGTGTTGATTGGCTTTATAGATCTTCCATCCAACGGATAGCGAGAAAAGTTTTTATCGGCGCGGGTCGCGATTTGTCTCTGGAAATTCGAAGTCCGCACGCCGGGGCGGGTAGGTATTTCTGTCCTCACCTCAAGCGTATGCTAATTGCTTCGCGCTGATCAATGTTTACAGACCCTATCCTAGACCGAGCATATCGGCGATAGACAATACCGATGCATCCCCTTCGTATGAGACATCGGCTGACCGGCTGTTGAATCTCTTGGTGGGAGATGAATTCGACTTTTCTGGGAGCCTTAGGACAGGAAGAAATCCCATTCAACCATATAGCAACACTGCGAAGGACATCGGTCTGGACTTCGACCTTTATGAGGCATCCTGTTCTGATGCTGCGATCCACTCGGCAGATCACTGCGTTTCCATCATTAAGGGGCTGGATCCTGCTCTGAGAAGCTATCTACTCGAAAGCTTTTGGAGCCGCTTTAACTCATGTATACCCGTTGTGCACAAGGAAGCTTTTCTAGCCAGCCTCGCCGAAGAGAATGGAGAGTTTTGCTCTCCGGAACTTCATCTCGCAACCCTCGCCATGGGTTTTCGACGCGCAGATCACAGGCGTCCAAATGTCCAGCAGCTTTCACTTCCTAATTGGGATTCAATTCTGCACAAGAAACTCCGACTGATTATAGATAATCTATCAATAAGGAATGAGCCACGGAGTACCACACATGCGCAAGCTGTCATTATTCTTGCTCAACTAGAATGGGAACGAGGACGAGACCACTCAGCGAAGCTCTACCTAGGTTGGTTTTCATCTAGCGTATGGCAAGAAATCCAATATTCATGATCTGCAGGCACTGCTTTCACCATGATTGCAGAAATACAGAATCGTCAACATGATCTTGCCACGCCAGTTTCAGATGACGAAATCATTGTCCAGCGTATTGCCTTGCGTGCGGCAAGCCTTATGGATAGGTGAGTATCCACGCGTACATTTCGAGATCCTTTATGTTGAGTTGTCTCGCTCGTTAAGTCATAGAACTATGTTCAATCATCACTTCGACACCGCTCTGGGCAATCGGCCGAGGCATTTGTACTTTGCTACATCTCATCACCTTCGCAGCAATCCGTCATCGTTGACAACGAAGCAGGATCTTAGTTCACAGATCTACAATGCACACTTGGAACTCGTCAGCATTGCCACAGATTCCATAGAGCAACTTCAATCGCAACTGGTCCGCTCCACTGAAAACCCTTTCTTCCAATTAACAGAACTGCACAATCGTCTACAAAGCTGGTATGGCAGTCTCCCGAGCCGCCTGCGCTGGAACTATCAAACAAAAGAGTCTACTCCAAGTCTCTTCCTTCTCCAGTAGGTCTATACCAACCACCCACCACCATTTTCGCCCAATAAAAGTGAAAAGAAAACAAAAAAGAAGAAACGATATTTGAAAGGTGATAAAGCAAGAAACAGCTAACGCGATTACGCTTACAGCCAACTATACCATGCCGTCCTGATCTTGCTATATCGTCCTTTTGCGTCCCAGGAGGCACTAATGAGCATTGTCGACCGGTTTACGGGCGCCAACATTAACCAGCTATCCGAATCTATTCACAATATCCTACTTACGAATGCGATTCGGATAGCGGACCTCATCTTCGAGTCTCGCGAACAATTTGAACCCGGCGCTATCTTTCCCCTATCGGTTCAGCAAGGAGCTCTTGCAGCCGGAGTTCTTTTAGCCCACATATCACGGATAGAGGGCAACGGTATAGGAGATTCGGGTCTCCGACACCTGAAAATTCTACAACAGTTTTTCATTGACATGTCTGCGATACAAGGACCAGCTGACAGGTTGGCTCGGACTCTGCGGGATATCACTGTAGCTACGAGCAGCTGTGGCAGCCCTACGGAGGGATGGAAGGCTCGCACCCCTCGGCAGAGCATAGATATTACGAACTCAGACACAGAGCGGGTTGAAATTTCAGTTAGTCGCCCCAGCGATGCCATCTGGGTCAACAGAGATGACGAATGTGGCGGAACCAACCTGCCAGGACAGCGACACGATTGCGGAGCTCAAGAGCAAGACATCACTGCCGCTACGTCTAAGGATAATGACGCCCCGATAGATGGAAGTCCTTATGGACTTGGTCCAATAAGAGATTCAGACCACAGACCAGATTTGTCACCTGCTTCAAATAATTCGATCGGCCGCCGCTCTCACAGCCAATCATTGCTCCGGGGCAACGACGCAATGAATTCAACAAGCATGCCTTCCGCACACGCCATGCAACCAAGTCCCACCCGCCTAACACCTGTGGATATGTCCTTGGACCCAGGAGGGTTATTTTCTCCTCGGTTTTCCCCTGGAACAGACCCCTTGAGCTTGCCCGTGGCTGGTCCTGACTTGGACGCCTGGGACAAGGAAGCTGTCAGCGTATCCTGGTCTGATACATTCAAAGCGCTTAGGGCAGTGCATGAGCGATCTGGGTCGGAGAAGACGGTTGCTAACGAGTTCGGTGATGTGATGGGGGGCGTCTTTAAGCTGTGGTGATTTGAGTTAGGAGAGATGTATAAGCGCTTTAATGGGCGTAACGCAAGCTTACTGGGTCTATATTGCATTCACAAATTTCTGTTTTCTCTCCCGGCCCAACCACTGCTATTTCCCCCACCCTTCTTCCTTTTGATCAACGGGTGTATTCTATCTGGCAGTTGACAGCCTCAACTCTCTGCAAACATACGAGCCATATTGAACCCTTCTACGCCGTTTGAGGAAACCATTTGATCATAATGAGGCAAGCTGAAATCGAAAAGATCGTAGTTGGGCGCCCCCTCGAAGCATGATTGCCAGAACATCTTGTCGGTTCCCGTCAGAGATGAAGACTCAAACCCACAAGCATCTTGAATCTCCGCAGCTGTAGGAGGCGAATTCCACGGCCTCATCAGCATTGGCTCCACACCGGGATCACGTAGCTGCTGCTGAAAATCCTTTGGGCTTTGGGCTACGACATGCCTCATTTGTGCTGTCTGCTGCTCCTCAGAGACAGATAAGTCAGCATCATGCCGTTCTGCTGCCCTAAGATAGTCTAGCGCTTCAACCTCAGTTCCATAAGCGCCCCTTAGAGAAAGCAAAAACTGTTTACACTGCTGGATACCCTGGACAGCGGCACATTTGACGGTTTCATCTGGCGACTTGGTATCCAGTAGATGTATCAGTATAGCCGCAGCGACGCTGCCGACAGCCGTCGTCGATAAGTATGGCGATAGACCGGCCTGATAGAGCCCCCAGTTAACGCTCGTTAGCTCCCAGGCAGCATGACGGAGGACGCGCTGGGATGAACCCTGCAGCTCGTCCTGTCTGTTACACCAGGTTGAGCTGGGGGATAAGGCTTTGAGGCGGTACAGCGCACTGACCGCTACATAGTAGACGACATGGACGGTTGCTTTGTGCACGATCAGGCTGCGGCCGTGCTGGGTATTGTACGGATTTGATGTAGCGGCATGCGCCTCGTAGTGGAGGTTAGGAGGCATCTCACGGTACCACCTGGCGAATTCTTGCGCACAGTAATCAAGACGGCTAGATGGGGATGGGGTTGGATACTCGTTATAATCCTCTCGATTACTGCCTTCTACCTGTTGGCGGATTTTGAAGGTCGTGGATAGGAAAAGAGCGATAGAAACACAGAGTTTCATGTGTTCTATACACAATCCAGCCAATGCATCCTGTATTGGCCGGTCCTCGAGAACACTGAGAGATTGCGTCACCTCGGGCAGATGGACAGCAGCAGGGACATTTATCTCATCATCAAAGTCTTCGGGTGCAAGCATCGAAACACCGCAGTAGGTTGTCCTGGCTGGACGACCTAAGGCTAATGCATTCTTCTGTTCGCGAGCAAAGGTGCACCACCACACCCGGCGGCGAAGATGTTGCTCTGTTGTATCGAACCGCGACTTATCGGGCTCCAGGTGCAGTCCGATCGAGTAGGCCAGAGAGAGTGCAGTTCCCGCCCAGTACCATGGATCTTTCTTTTCCTTTCCCGGATACCAAGTGCTCATGAGTATCGCGGTCTGGACGGCGACGAATGTGTTTGGCTCCGTATTGCAGTCGAAAAGGACCTGGCGAAATATCAGTTCCTGGACAGTCGAGAATATTAATGAAAGAACATTAAGTGAGTCTCACCTTGGCCCGATTGAAAAATGCACGACGAGCTGATTGTTTGGAATCAAAACCTTCTCGTTTGATGATCTCGTTCTCCACGAACGTCACCCCAGCACACATGACGGCATGGAACAGGAGGAGAGCCATTGGTCTCTTGCCCCTTGTTTCGTTGTCCAAGATCGATACGACCTGGGCCTTGTCCAGCAAAGGCAAGAGTGGATGGGTGAACTCGAGGTAGCGTGCGAGACACACATCGCGGAATGTGCCCGTGGGCAGCGAGAAAGCATTTTTCTCGAAGAGATATCGCAGATCAGCTTGGTCCAAGCTCGCGGGAAGAGGTATGATGAAGCTCGGTAAATTTGGACAAGCGATGTCCTTCAGAAGGTCTATTGTTGAATGGGAAGGTGCAAGTCTTTCCTCTGCTAGACCGACATGGCAGCCAGTCGCAGGGCCTGGCGTCTGATTTTCCAAGATCGTGTGATCCTCGTGCTGACCAGCCTGTTGTGAGATTATTTCTGGCGCACTCCGTCCGTCTCCTCCCGGCAACGGGCCGGCAGGGGCATTGGACTTGCTAGCTTTTGACACTCTGTTTCATCAGAGCCACAATCAGCTACAATAATTTTTCCATATCCAATTTCGCCTCCGATACATACTTACGGCGCCTGCTTCGAGGGACGATGCACTCCCTGGAATCCAAGTGGCAGTTGGTACATGGGGGCCCATTACGAACCACGTCGCACCGCACTTTGCGAGACCTGCACAGTGCACAGGCTCGGCCCGCGCGCTTTTTGACCCTTCCATCGACAGTTCCAGGCTTATCCATGCTGACCAGCCGTCCGGCATGAGCGTCACTTACTGCAGGAATAGGCGTTTGATTGAGGTGCGGAGTTCTGCCGAAGTACCGACAAAGAGCCGACAGCAGTCACTAAACTTAAAAAGGCTTAGTTAGCGCTATGCAACAGAAAATCAAGTTTGATAGCCGTGGTTATCTAACCAAATCTACATCATCCGGCGTCCGATGTGGAGCATAGGATCACAGATAGATAGCCGAAACGAATCAAAGCCTCGTCGTCTGGAGTGGATCTTTTGGGAAAGAGAGGGAGGGTTGGTCCGCTCACAATTACCCCAGAAAGAGGGGGTTCCGGGGCCCCGCATACATGTAATATTCCAATATTATATACTGACCCATGCCATGTTTCGTTTCAATGTTTTGGAGGAAAACAAATCGTCACGACCGACAATGGCTTCTTCAGGAGAGGACATCGCTACAAAGTCAGAGCAAGAGGAGAGTCTCTCTGAGCTCGAGGGAGAGGTGAATGCCTCAGATCAGCACCAGGTGAAACGGATCAAAAAGAAGATAGACCTAAGAATCTGCGTTGTGCTCGGAGTGCTGTATACCGCCTCATTAGTCGACCGTGTCAATTTACCTGTGAGTGTCTCCTGCTCTAGCAACTTTTAAACAACGCTGACTCAGAAAATAGAATGCGTATGTCCATCTGATGGCCTCGTCCTCAAAACACAAAATCTGATCATCGAAAAGTTATGTCGCTGGAATGGATACAGACCTGGACCTCAAAGGAAATGCTTATGTTAGTCTTTCACTCATCCCTGTGGCGCTCGGGGATACTATACTGAGGCCAGTTGCTTCAAGTCCCTTTTGATTCTCCTATTCTTCCCGTTTTATATATTATTTCAGCCGCCAATGACTGCAATTGCCCGGAAGCTTCGGCCTCGCCGTTTCCTATGTGGAATTGTTATCTCCTGGGGTTTGGTAATTGTTGGACATGGCCTTGTCCAAACCTGGCAATCTATGCTTGCCCTGCGATGCTTGCTGGGAATTTTTGAAGCAGGTTTCTTCTCGGGTTGCGTGCACCTGTTGAGCTCCTGGTACACCAGAGGTAATCTTGCACCGTCGAACAAAAATAACTCTTTTAACTTGCTCATCAGCTGAGGTGGCAAAACGAAATGCTGCCTTCTATCTCCTTGGGTCTTTTATTGCAGGCTTCGGTGGTATCCTGGCATATGGTGTAGGTGAAGCCAATGCAAACTGTTCTTCGGGTGGGAATGCTAAAATTGCAACAGCTGTCGAGAATGAAGGGCGTCGGGGGTCACGCAGGCTGGCGATGGATCTTCATTTTGGAGGGTACTATCACTGTTGCCTTTGGTCTCGTGGCCTACTTCCTCATCGTCGACTTCCCGGAGGATGCGCATAAATCCTGGAAGTTCCTCAAAGAAGACGAAATCCAGACTGTCATTGATCGCATTAACAGAGACCGACAGGACGTAGTAACATCTCCCTTCAAGCTGGGCTCATATTTGAAGAATGCCTTGGACTGGAAGATATGGTTCTACGCTGCCAACTTTGGTCTTACATCGGTGGTCACATACGCTTCGGCTTACTTCCTCCCTATCGTCCTACAAGAGGGACTCGGGTTTTCTGAGGCCGCATCTGAATGTCTGAGTACTCCGGTAAGATTGTATTCAGCGCCTCTTCGGAAAATGTACAACACGGCTGATCGAGAAATGTAGTGTTATGTCGTCGGATCAATTCTTGGATTTGGCGAAAGCCTCATATCCGACAGAATCGGCCTTCGAACACCGTTTCTTCTCTTCAACTGCGTCATTGAAGTAATCGGGGTCGTTGTCTTGGGTTTCGCAAAACCAAGCGGTGTGAGATATTTCGGAGCCTTCCTCATTATCGCAGGATCCAACTCAAATATCCCCCTGTGTTTGACTTACCAAGCCAACAACATCCGGGGCGTTTGGAGACGCGCTTTCTGCTCAGCAACCATCGTTGGCGCTGGAGGTATCGGTGGTATCATTGGTTCCTTGACCTTTCGAGCCCAGGACGCGCCAACATACAGGTGAGTTTTGTATACCGGATCCTCGGAAGGGTTAGGCCTAGTTCGTGTGCTACATGCTAACTAGCCTGAAGACCAGGCCTATACACCTGTATCACAGCTGGGTGCTTGACGTTTCTCTCCGTCTGCACCACGACGACATACTTCTTTGTCCAAAATAAGAAGCAGAAGCAAGGAAAAACAGTGATTGAGGGTTTGGAGGGCTTCAGATACACATACTGAATGATATACATATCCGAGGTCCAAAGATATATTGTGCTTATAGCAGCAACGTCACGTTGCGGTATATAAATATCAGGGATTCGCGAGCACCTCTGTTCTCCCCTTTCAAAGCAGCATGTTCTTAAAAACCTATATCAGTAACTCTTTCAACCAGGAGATATAGTTCGCACTCTATCAAAACAGGAGTCAACAGCAGATAATACCAAAATCATCATGCCCTATGCTGGACCCTCAATCACAATTGGGTCATCAGATAATCCGTCGCGCCTGCCCACAGTCCCCATCAATAGCACACGGAGATAGTCAAACAACGCAGAGTACAGGAGTCAAAAAAGAGCGAACGGAATCAATATACCACTATAAGTTCAAGTAACGCAAAGGGAAAAAAAGATTTAAAAAAAATAAAACGAACAGTGAATCATCCGTGAATTGAACACAAAATTACCACCTTGAAGATAGATACATTCAACCCTCAGCAAGGCCTTCACAATTTTCCTCTCACTTCCACCCCGCTTCGTTCGTTTTCCAATTCCACGAGTAACATGCCTTCAGCGACATCTTCCTCGTCATCCTCCATCTCATATACCCATTTGACCTTACCAGCTCGAGGACTCCTTACTTCCAACTCCATCTTCATCTGTTTGACAAATGCTAGAACCTGATTGTCGGCAACTTTCTCTCCCTGAGCTACCAAAACCTCGATAAGTTTGCCCGACAGAGGAAGAACAACATGTCTCGGGTTCTTTGGATCTCCCCGGCGGTGTGACGAAGAGACGAGCGCCGATGCCGCAGTAGTTGTCGTATGGAGCTGCATCCGGTAAGGGATCGCGGTTTGCGAGGCCGGGGTTGTGTATTCAATCTCAGCGGTAAGAGAAGTAGGGAATTCATTGCGTAAAACGCGAGAGAGACGCAAATGATGTGAGACCTTTTCCGGGAGTTGGGACTTTTCAAGCGGCTCTAGTGTAATAGACCATGCATCGCCTTTTCGGAACAATAGGCTGGAAGATGGCACATTACTCTGCACAGCCGACCGTTGCGAAGGGCCAACTAACCCCTCCTGTTCTCGGAGCATCTTCGATATGCTATCCCCTAGGTGAAGCGTTTCATGAAGTTTTGATCCCAGCCACTGCGTGTCGGTTTTGCCTGCCAAAAAATCGCCATGAACCACGATACCTCGCAAAAGATTGATATTCGTCTTGACACCGCCTATCCTTGAGTCGGCCAATACGCGTCGAGCCTTTCTGACAGTTGCTTCCCAGGTAGATGCGGTAACGATGATCTTAGCCAGCAGGTTATCAAAATCAGCACCAACAACCAGTGCATTAGAGCCGGAAACATTGATATTCGTGTCTACCCGGATACCATGTCCACTAGGAACAGTGAACTCGGTCACCTTGCCGATGCTCAAGGCAAAATTACTGCTCGGATCCTCGGCGCACAAGCGGAGCTGGATAGAGAAACAGTTTGCAGGTGGGGGTTGTCTTGCGCTAACCTCAGGAAGACCAATGTCGTCTAGCGAGCGCCCCTGAGCCAGTAGGAGTTGTGCCTGTACTAAATCGATGCCGCTGATAGATTCTGTAATAGTGTGTTCAACTTGAAGACGCGGATTGACTTCGAGGAAGTAGAACTCTCCCCGTAGTTCACTAACAAGAAACTCGAAAGTCCCAAGTGACCGATATCGAATCTCACTTGCCATTCTCAGCGCTGAGTCGATAACTTGTGTGATCAGAGCTCTGTCTTGTAACGTTATCAATGCGGGAGCACATTCCACCACCTTCTGAAATCGTCGCTGCACGCTGCAATCTCGCTCCCATAAATGTCGGACTTGGCCTTTGCCATCGCCAATGACTTGAATCTCAATGTGATGAAACCCGTCTACTGCGGCTTTCTCAACAAAGACTGTCCGGGACGGCGACTCGCTAATTGCACGTTGAATGTTATGATCCAGCTCCTCATCTTCGCGTACGAGCCGAATTCCTCGGCCGCCTCCTCCGTCAACGGCCTTGATCATAACTGGGAACCCGACATGTCTAGCAAAGGTTCGTGCTTCTTCAACATTGGACGTAGGTTGGGACATGGCCTTTAATACTGGGACACCACATTGCTCCGCTAGCCTTTTTGCCTGGAGCTTGTCCCCAGTGCGGGCTAGGTTCTCCCACCCAGGGCCTATCACGACAGCCCCAGCTTCGAGCCACATGCGGTGCGCAAAATCGGCGCTTTCACTTAGGAATCCATATCCCGGGTGCACGGCGTCAATAGAGTGCTTCCGAGCTAGATCTACAAGAAGTGATATATCAAGGTAGGACGATGCCGATGGGATTTGAATTACATGATGCGGCCGCGCCAGATCACAATGAGACCGGTCGTCTGATGTGTAGAGAGCGAATGTCTCGACTGGATCGGGTAACTCCCGCGCAGCATGCAGAATGCGAACGGCAATTTCACCTCTATGCCAAAATTAATGAGCTAATTGAATATTCCTGCATTAAGTGGGATGCCATACCTGTTGGCGACCAACAGCCGCCTGATGGGCCGCGAGTCCGGGGATGGCGACATTGGCAAGTGGGGAATCCGGGGCAGGAACAGAAAGGGATGCGAAAGCAGCTTTACATGGACTGCACCAAACAGGTAACTGAGAAGATAACAGCTGCCCTAGGAGAAGTATGATTGATGTGAAAATTGTACACAACTGAATCATTTCTACCTTTCCTTATAGGCTGTTTTTGCAATTCTCGGCCCTCGGGAATGCCTTATTACCCTCTTGTATAACCGCTACTGGATCATCTGACTAGCTTCCTTCTGGCTTGTCTCTGAGCCCCTCGGCACTCGGGAAGGCCGATCGCCCCCTCAGCCGACAGAAGCGTGCCCCGGCTTTTAAAACCAACGTCAATGAGGAACGAGAATCTAATTAAATCGAAATCGATTTGACCGAGGACGAATCTGCGAACATGGCGAAAGACGGCGAAGCACCGCCTCCAAATGGAAGCAAAAGCCAAGCTACCGAGCGGCTCAACCAGGTCTCATCGCACATATCACCATCGACCGAAAAATCACAGAAGATAAAATCAAACTCTAAGGCCGCAATTTCCCGTCTCCCAGCGGACTATTCGGATGTCTTAGGCCAAATCGCCACCCTTCGCGGAATTGCGGCAAAGCCAGACCCTAACCACCGTGGCTATGTGCGACAGAAGCAAGCCGGAAAACTATGGGTGCGAGAACGCATAGAGCAGCTTCTCGATCCTAGCACATTCCAAGAAATTGGTTCTGTCTCCGGAACAGTGACATGGCAGAAGACCGCACCCATGCGAGAGAAGCCGGTTTCGTTTGTACCGAGCAATAACGTTCAGGGAGCGGGTATGCTTCGGGGCAGAAAGGTTTTACTCACAGCAGACGACTTCAGTATCAGATCGGGGCACGCAGATGGCGCAACTGCTGGGAAGACGGTCTACGTCGAGAAGTTAGCGGTCGCGCTAAGATTACCAGTCATCAAGCTGGTAGATGGCAGCTCTGGCGGAGGTAGTGTGACGACTATCCGCAAGGAGGGATGGAGTTATCTTCCCCATGTGTCTCCGTTTATACCAATGGTACAACAATTGAACATGGGAATACCCAATCTCGGTGCAGTTGTCGGACCTGCTGTATGTCATTCCAGACCTTCCTTTTTGTCCTATGAGTATGTGACTAACGATTACATTAGATTGGCCTAGGCGCTGCGAGGGTAGTCTCCTGCCACTTCTCCGTCATGGCAGCAGATATCGGCTCACTCTTCAATGCCGGTCCTAAAGTCGTGGAGGGCGCAACATTCGAAGAAGATCTTGATTTCCAGGACTTAGGAGGACCGATGGTACACTGTACGAACGGCACTATTGATAACCTAGCTGCCAACGAAGCCGAATGTTATGAGCAACTACGAAGGGTCTTAAGCTACCTTCCTAACTCGGGTAGCGAAGCACCTCCCGTGATTCCTTCTAATGACCCCGAAGACCGTGAAGACATCGGACTGCGCAGCATAATCCCACGGCGACAAGCCCGCATGTATAATCCACGCACTATCATTCAATCTGTGGTCGACAACGATTCCTGGTTTGAGATTGGAGCCCTATGGGGTCGAACCGCTATCGGTGGACTCGCACGCCTTGGCGGGCGTCCTATCGGTGTGATATCGCTCAATTGCGAAGTGAATGGTGGTGCGCTAGATGCGGCTGGTAGCCAGAAGCTGACTCGGCTGCTAAAGCTATGCGATGTTATGAACTTACCTATTCTACAGTTTATCGACGTCCGTAAGTGATATATCTATCAACAAAACCTATGAATTTGCACTGACTCTCTTTATCATATAGCGGGTTATGCCATTGGCACCGTTGCTGAGCGCACCGCCACTATGCGCTGGGGGGTAGAGCTCGCTAAGGCATACTTCAGTACCACAGTGCCGGTCTTCAACTTAGTGACGCGGCGCGCGTTTGGCGTAGCGGGTGGCGTCATGCTTTATTGCCGCGATCCTGTGATGCAGGCTGCATGGCCGTCCGGGCAATGGGGCTCACTTCCTCTAGACGGAGGTATTGAAGTCGGGCATCGGCATGAGCTTCGTGAAGCTGAGAAGGAGGGTAAGAAAGAGGAACGTTATAAAGAGCTGGAAGAAGAGTATCTCCGCCTGATGAACCCAGTCCGGACTGCGAATGCCTTTGGAGTGGAAGAGATTATTGATCCAAAGGATTCAAGACGGGTTTGCTGTGCTTGGGCCTCGCATGTCTACGAGGTGCTAATGCATGAACGGTTGCTGGACCGGGCGAATGGTAAAATCCGGCCCTCTTTTGCGTGATCTGTTGTATAAGAACGATACAAATATTGCGATGGCCTTTTAATGGCGTTTGACTGAATCCCTCTGGGTCAAACATTCAGCCTCGTGTTCTTATTGTGTTCCTCGCGTATCCTTGATTTGCTGGATGAGAGAAATGGGCAACAAGAAATTAAATGTAAAATCCTACAATAAACGTATTCTATCAAGATCAGACCCAGATTCTCCTGACGTACGTATAATTCAAAAGTGTCGGACTTTTCCCTAGACAATCCCCAAAACTTGAAGCAAATACCTTCATGCTATACAGCAGCTGCCCAGTACCGGGGATCTCAGTTGTATTCAGCACCTCATTTTTTATTGACCCGTAATTGAATAGATTTCCTTCAATTGTATTACTGTGGACTGAGGGACGAAGCTGTCATTAGTATGAATACAGGTCCATAATTACGTAGTTGAGGCGGGGTGGCTCCTAAGGAAACATGCCTGAATCGGGGACTTCTGGCAACAACCCTTCGTACCACAATACATGTACCGTATATGGATGGCATAATTTCTCCGGTGAAAATATCCACTTATTTAGTACAGTTGTTCGGCGTAGCGTGAGTAATATGCCAAAACACCCTCGGCGCGACCAGGTGTATAACCGCGGCTATACAGTAGGGGCCTTATCCCCGCTTGGAGAAGGCAAGCGGACCCTTGCTAAATAGGAAGGCCTTTATAAACCCGTAGAGGTGATGTTCTGGTTACATACTTATAAATTAAACCCACATACAGAAATGGACGTATTGCCTAACGCGATACTGGGAGGCGGCGCTTTAATGGCGCTGGCCATGTACCTAGATGCGAAATTCTCGGTAAGCAAGGACCTCGCCCAGATTCGAGGCGCACGAAAGGGCCAAGAGTTTAGCAAAAGCCTATTTGAGAAACATGGGGAAGACGACTGGTCATTCTACCATATCGTACATGCCTCCCACGCGGTACGAGCCACAATCGGGTCGGACGAGGCGCTCCAATTCGAAGGGAGAAGCTGGTCGTACAACGAATTTAGACAAGAGATTGGGCGTGTGGCTGAGGCATTGTCCAATGCTGGTGTCACCAATCGAACGGTGGTGTGCCTGTTTATGGACAACTCGCCCGAGTTCATCTTCACCTGGTGGGCGTTGTTCAAACTCGGGGCCATCCCAGCACCCATCAACACCAAGTTTAAAGCCGAGCACATCAGACACTGCGCCAAGCTTTGCGAAGCCTCGTTCCTCATCTGTACCACGGAGCTTTGGGGCGTGATTCGAGAGGCATATTATGACTGTCATGATAGCGTGCCGGATCATCGCCAAACAACCATCATCTACGATGCGGGGACGTATGCTTCTCCGCTGGAATCCTTACCGGAGGGGGTGGTGTACTGGGAGCACGAAAAATTGCCTCCGGCCAAGCCAGGAACCGACGACTACCCAAAATCCCAGAGACCTAAGATTGGTCCCCTTATGCCAGTGCAGTATTTGTTTACTTCCGGAACGACTGGCCTACCTAAAGCTGTATCCTATCCCGCTGGCTATTGCGCGATGCTCGCCAACCACAACAGATGGCCTGGCATGTACGATATACGTCGGAGGTTTTATATCTGTCTGCCTATGTTCCACGGCACAGCACAGTAAGGACACCACACTGGAATATTCTATGGAGTACTAGCCCATCTGACTATGCGTATACAGGGTAGCAGCAATGCCCGCAGTGCTGACCACATTTGGCACAGTCATTCTCGCTCGCCGGTTCTCTCGCCGCGAGTTCTGGGCTGACATTCGGAAATCCAACGCGAATGCAATCCTGTATATCGGGGAAATGCTTCGATACCTCGTCCAGTCCCCGCCAGACCCCCGCTTTCCAGATGAAAAGGACCATCAGGTCACGTTAGCGTTTGGGCTAGGGCTCGCACCGACTGTCTGGAAGGCATTCCGCGAGCGGTTCAACGTGGACTGGATTGTGGAATATTATAGCGCGACGGAAGCAACGACATCACTGGTCAACTCGACCTGGAATAATGCAGGAAATGGCAAGGTCGCACATTGGGGTCCTCTGATGAGGCGCTTTGGGCAAGATACTTTCTATATTGTCAAAGCAGATTTGGTCTCCGGGGAAATTATTCGAGACCCGAAGACTGGGTTCTGTATTCTGGCCAAGACGAACGAGCTCGGGGAAGCGATCTGCCGTATCAACCCTCCTATCCAGCGGAAGCATGACTATGTCGGGAATGGAGGGGCTGAAGCTACGGAGAAGAAGACGCTGCGGGATGTGTTCAGCAAAGGCGACGAATTTTTCCGCCTCGGCGATGCATTATTTATGGATGCTGATGGGTATATCTCATTCTCTGATCGCCTCGGGGATACCTACCGGGTCAAGGGTCATAATATATCTACGACGGAGGTTGAGAACTGCCTCAGCCGCCATCCTGATATCGCATCGGTTAATGTCTATGCCATCCCTATGAATCAATACGGGTACGAGGGCCAATTGGGTTGTGCGGCCATAGAATTTCATGCGAGATCATGGGATCGAGCGGACAAGATCCTCGCCGAGCTGGAGCAGTGGATGATTGGCTCTGAGCACGGCATCCCGGGGTATGCCATCCCACGATTTTTGCGTATCATCCGCGACGGCGCCACTGTAGCGCCCGATCAAGGCCCCAACCATGGAAGTGAAACCGAACGAGTGTCAACCATCATGAAGAAGGTCAAGGTTGGACTCCGCAAGGAAGGATTCTCGCCTGTTGGATGTGAAGATCAGATGTATTGGATTGAGAAAGAAGGATCTGGGTATGTTCCGCTAGTTGAAGCGACTGCGCAATCGCTTCGTACGGGGCAATTCCGGTTGTAATTTAGAGACCCTGCGTCAGTAGAACGGGCACATCCACTGCATATTTCTTTTGTCCCACCTGTAGATATTTTATATCCGTGGAGCGCAAAATGACACGTATGATATGCATGGCAAATACGCCAACAAGACAACTCTCAGCCCTAATCGGCAAAGGTACCCCGAATATTCCACATCCGAATCTTCCCTACTCATTAGCCACAGCCAACTGCTCCGAGCTGGGCTGGATGGCCATGTGCACGACCCAGCGGCGGGTTTGTAATAGGCCAATTGCGGCACCACCGTACACGACGGAAGATGGACTATATGGCATATATACTTATTCACGATTCATATGGCTTGAGAAGATACAATACTATGCGAGTAGCGACTTATGGTTCTACCGCACGGCTTGTTCTCATATTGCATATTGTGCAGAAATACTTGATATTCCCTATGCAACGCTAAGACAATAATGTCTTATCATTCTATTTATTAATACACCACGTTGGACTCGTTACAGGCAGGACAGGCTTGGGCTGCTGATTTACAAGGAGCATGTATCCACAGCGGCGGCAGGGGAGAGAAAGGAGGCAGAAAACGGACGCTACAGGTTAAGCAGCTTCCTGTAGATAATTTTCAGCTGGCGGGCTGAAGATCGTCGGAGGTGGAGACTGAGCACAGTACCGGCGCATCCGCTGCGGAAGTTATCCGAGTAGTGGCATGTCTAACTCTTCTTTGCTGTTCGTTTGCCAGCGACCTTGGTGAGTTGAGGCCTTTCTCTGTCTGGGTGTGACTTGCCCGGACAGATGTCAACATAATACGGTCTAGGAAAAAGTCAATGGGAGATATTATTATCACAGGAGCGGACTAGCACAACTTACAGTCCCGTACTATGTAAATAGAGTTCGTCTATCCCACGGTGGGTGGAGATGTCTCAACAATATATTCCCGTGCCGTCTAATTTGACGGCAGGTTTCCGCGCACCGAAACTCAACCCTGCGGAACCCAGTGGTATCCATACTGGTGTTGTTCTCGTTGTGGTGGTTGGGCCATTGGATGTTGATACGTTGGGCCCGGTTGCTGGTAGGTTGTAGCAGGAGCTATCTGGGGCGTTTGGGTGACGTTGGGTACAGACATGGACCGGGCTTGATGAAGGTACTGGGGATGTGTTTGATCGGGAGGATGGAGGTCGTTGGCACGTCGGCGTTGCAGATGCTCACCTACGGGGTAGTGGTGCGAGAAAGACGTCTCGGAGGATTGTTGGTTGGCGCTAGCGGTGTTGCTAAAGCTCATTTGAGCAGATGGAGCGGGCATTGACGGCGGCACCATGCGAGACCCCTGATGAGGTAGTTGGCCTTCTATCACATACGGGTCCAGACGGCCCGAAAACTCTGCATCTGACGAGTCACAGAGAGACGGTGAGCGCGTGTGGGCCATCTGCTGCCATTCGTGAGGGTGGGATGAGCGACTCGATGTCGATAGCCTCGAGGATGTCCGCCCCGCTGGTGTTGGGTGCGAGGTCCCTGAGAAATGCGGCGAGAGCATCGGTCCGGTCGAGGTGATGCTTGGGGCTGCGGTGCTGGGGGTATCTTCCATGCGCCATCCAGTTCGAAAGGGGCCTGTCTCACCACCAGCAGCGAAGCCCGATCCTCCGGTGATGGCGGCGAGCTGATGCTTGAGATGGTTGTTCTCTTCATCTAATGCTGTATTGCGCCGTATGAGTTCTTCGAACCGCTCGCTCCGGGTCCGCAAATCGGCGATTTGGCTTTGTAGAGTGGCCACTTGACCCTCAAGTTGTTCGATATGCTCCTTGTTCCGCTGACGGATCGACCGCTGGGCCTCTCGATCATTCGCACGCTTGCGTTCCAGCTGTTCGGCAGAGAGCGATGACACCTTCCGGGTCCCTGAGCGAGGGTCCCGCTTCTTTGACGAGCCCAGGTCCTTGTTACTGCTGCTCATAATGTTCCTTGTCCGGCCCAAGCTAGACACGCTGCGAGACCCGCGACCGAAACCGTCCCACTTGTCTTGCCCAAGTAATGCACAGTCGGAAACCATAGATTCTGTATCGAAACCCCAAAAAAAGGTCCAGAGGACTCGGTCAGCATCTGACCATCCAAGATCCGGGCATGTGGGGGAAGGAAGGCGATTTAACGCAGGTCCAAGTAGTAAAAATAAACTTGAGGCGAATCCTGAATCCAAGGCGGCAGAACGAATGAGCCTTGTTGGATTGGGGGCCTTCTTGACGGTGTACGACGGTGTCTCAATCTGAGAAAAGGGGATTGAGTGCCTTAAAATAAAGCCGGGTTGTCACCGACAGTCTCGATTACGTCCGGTTCTCCAGATCGTCACTAACAGCCTCCTCCAGGGAAGACAATCTCCCGATGCGGCGCAACCAACGGCCTAACGCCGGGTCCGACTGGTCCAATTGGGGGTCGGCTATACACGAACGGTGTGGGTATCCTAGAGTTATCGGAATAGCGCGGTTCCAAGGTGGACGATGATGGGCCGGCCCCATGGGCACAGTGCGCTTCCGGATTACAAATTATTCGACAATAATGCCAGCCGAGGAGAACTCTGTTAGGGAGGTCTCCTGCTTAGCGTTGGTGATTCGAGTTTCGTCCATGCATTTTTACGCTATGTGTTGGTCACGGCGCGTTAACCCAGTCCGCTCATTCGCCGAAACAGGGGCGGAAGAGCGAGCAACAATTTTGTGGTCTTTGCTCTTTCTCAAGTAGGTCCGGAGTTAGAAAACCATATATGACGATGACTCCGATCACTAGTCAAACGTTGCTAGGGCTTCGTCCCGTCGGAGACAGCGATCGGTGACTCCGAGCCGGGCAGATCGTAGGATAATCTCCAAACCCCGGTGCGGTCAGAAAACTCCCTCCCAGGGCCCCAAGCGCTATACCTCGAGGTCTTGCGAAGACAATCCCGCGAGGATGGAATACAGTTGCATTATCGTAGGCATCGATCAATAATGAAACATCGATCTGCGCCCGTAGTGATAGGTTGTATTTACAATCCTAATCGGGATGACCCAAGACCCAAAATCCAGATCAGGCAGGAGAAACAAAATTGTGACTACCGTTAGACTTCCAGTCGACTGAGATCTTGCTTGGACAAGTATAGCGCCTTGACCATCGCACTGGATCCGGCTAGGAACCATGGTTTAGAGGCGCAGCATAATAGAAGGTGATAGTAAAAAAGACTGGGATGCTTGGCAAGGCTGTACCGGAAGAAGCCCCCACGAATCGCTCCACGCCACCGTGTGCCGGCCCCATGGCCGTAATTTTAGAATTCCTTCCGGAATCCACAAGCCTGGTTGCTCAAAACCAAGCCTTGACCGCGGTGCAGAATCGAACATCTCGAACAACTTCATTGTTCTCCTCCACACCATACGTTGTTTAGACACGGCTGATCCCTGGGCGATCCCCTGGCGATCCCACGGCATTGTGCATATAGATACGTACATAGTGCATACATACCTTCCATTTACTCCATGGTCGATAAGTCGTGATTCTTGGGTGTGGCCAATGAGCATGGTCTTTTTAGTCTTGAGAGATTCAGAGCCGGGAGTTGGAGACGAGGGCCGATCCTTGTTTGATCTAAATCTGGGAACCACAGCTCGCGTGTCAACTCACAGGGAAGGTTCGCGATCGGCGGTTGCAGAGGCTTGTGGCAGTGAGATCACCGGAGGAAGCACGCCCGACTCCGATGGAGGGGCGGATGCCAGATTGCGATCGGGCATGGTAGCAATATGCCTTAGATACAATCGATGGGGCTGAAGACACACACATCTCTTCTGCCTATGCCGCCGAGTAGTACTCAAGGAAGGTCCAATCCGGCCCTGGCTATTTTAAGCATATGCAAGGCTTTCCAGATACGTCTGTTGGACCCATCGGCAGCGTGGCACATTGTTGGGTTATCTTGTGACAGAGCTGAAGTCTAGTTAGCAGAAAATCAGCCTTGATTGCTGTAAATGCGAATTAAGTATTGTTTGCAAGGGTTGGGGTTTGGGTACATCAGGTGACCGCGTGAGTAAAGTCGCGGGACGATTGAATGCCTCACCTTCACTGACTTGGACGCCAACCCACCATGGACCCGAGCTACAAGGCTCGCAAGGAGGCCTTCGTCTCGAACCTTTCGGGAAGCTCCATCCTAGAAATCAATGCCGTCACCCTCGTCGCTTCGGTGAGAGCCCCCTTGTTGCGCTTTTCGCAATCTGTACTAATCCAAGGTCCATCAGACATCAGTCCTTCTCTGGTCCGCGCTCCAGTCCCGATTGTTCATCTTCGCACATGCCAACCCCGCCTCCCTCGTGACAGACTTCCTTCTCAATGTCCTAGCGATCTTGTTTGCAACTACGGCATATTCGTCGGCGCCATGGCTGCTGAACATCCTCCTCGTCTCCCCCGTTCCATTCATCCTTTTGATATCCCGCCCACGGACCAAAAAAGCCAAACCTCCACGCAAGTCCACGTCCACGAAAAATGATGATGCTCAAGAAAAGGCAGCGTCCCTGCCCATCCACCCCTTCCTGACGACATATCGCGCTGCCATGATGATCGTCACCTGTGTTGCCATTCTGGCTGTTGACTTCCCCGTGTTCCCGCGTCGTTTCGCCAAGGTCGAGAACTGGGGTACATCTCTCATGGATTTGGGTGTCGGCTCGTTTGTGTTTTCGGCCGGCGTGGTCTCCGCTCGTGCGGTTTTGAAGGGCCGTGATTCGCGATCTGCCCGGCCAGCTCTCCCCAAGAGACTGATCGGCTCTGCACGACATGCAGTCCCTCTCATTGTTCTGGGTCTGATCCGGCTCTGGAGTGTCAAGGGACTTGACTATGCGGAACACGTCACGGAATACGGCGTGCATTGGAACTTTTTCTTCACGCTCGGCTTGTTGCCTCCCTTTGTGGAGATCTTTGACTCTCTGACAGCGGTAATTCCGTCCTACGAGGTCCTAGCGCTTGTCAGTGCAGCACTCTATCAGGTCGCCTTGGAATCAACCGATCTCAAGGGTTACATCCTCGTCTCTCCCCGCGGTCCAGATCTGTTGTCGAAGAACCGCGAGGGCGTCTTCTCATTCATTGGATACTTGGCCATCTTCCTTGCGGGTCGGGGAGCTGGAATTCGCGTTATCCCCCGCGGAATATCGTCCTCCAAAAACCCACAGCAGGCGCGCAAATCCGTGCTGACAAGCTTGGTGCTCCAGGCCTTGTTTTGGTCTACCTTGTTCTTTTTCAATTCCACCTACGCTTTTGGCTACGGCGCCAACATTATCGTGTCGCGCCGGCTGGCCAATATGCCGTATGTGCTCTGGGTCTCGGCGTTCAACAGCGCCCAGCTGTTCTTATTCTGTCTGACCGAGACTATCTTCTTTCCGGGGGTTCACCGGTTGTCCGGGCAAGACGGCGAGGCGGAGCGCGCCTCTTTTGCAACCAGCAGGATCATGCACGCGTTCAATCGCGGTGGTCTTGGGATTTTTCTCATTGCGAACCTGCTGACAGGCGCAGTGAACTTGAGCGTGCAGACTTTGGATGTCAAAGCGCCGCAGGCTATGGGCATCTTGGTGGGCTATGCTGCAGTCCTGACTGGTGTCGCGCTGGCAATGGACCGGTATAATATTCGCCTAGCCTTGTAAATATAGACATTGTCGCAAAGTGTACTTTATCATATATACCACTATCCTATCTTATTATTCTATCCACATTTACCTCCTATAAAGTTCAGTGGTGCAATTGTCACATGTGCTGACGTCGGGTCGTCTCCACCTTCCGCACCTGCTCGGCTTCCTCAACTTCTCCCATTCACACATCTCAAACACAACGACCGGCAGAATGAGTGCTGAGGATCGCAAGTTCCTCAACTACCCTCCACCCCGCGAGGGACCCAAGGTGCCTTACAAGAACGAGACCCAGTCGATCCCCGTTTTCCGCGGCATTCCACTGGCCATCGGCGCAACACTGTAAGTCGCAACAAACAGCTTACCCCGAGCTCATTATACTAACATAGCACGCCTGTATTCCAGAATTCATAATGTCGGATTAATTCAGAGCCACTTCTGGCGCAATGCAGGCTTCGATGTAATTCGCCAGATCCCTCAGCTCGACCAGTATGCCGCGCGCAACGACCCCACCGTCATTCCAATCCAGGACCACAGCAAGGATGAACCAGAGACATGGACGGTCTCTGTAGCTAAGAGAACGGGAGCCAAGGCCCATTATACCTCAGCCGACTACCAAGCGCTATATGCTTCGGGTGATTTGACCCCTACCGCAGTCGTGGAGACGCTGCTCCCTCTGATCCGGCGCGATGTCACGCCGCCAGGCAAACATTCTACTGCTTTCCTGGAGTCTCAAGTCGAGAGAATCCTTGCAGCTGCGGCTGCCTCGACGGAGAGATTTAAGAAGGGTCAGACACTGAGCCCATTGGATGGTGTGCCCGTCGCGGTGAAGGATGAGGTGCATATCACCGGATACAAGCGCACCGTGGGGACCAAGTTGGATTTCAAGGGTGGTAATGACGACACTTCGTGGTGTGTCAAGAAGTGGGAAGAAGCTGGAGCAATTGTTATTGGAAAGACTACTATGCACGAACTGGGGCTAGGTGAGTACCTAAGGTACTCCTGACACAAAACGCAGGACTAATGTTGAATTCCCAGACACAAATAACAACAACCCCAACTATGGGACTCCCAGAAACCCGCACAACAAGAACTACTACTGTGGCGGCTCATCTGGCGGGTCCGGGTACGCCGTCGGCGCGGGCCTGGTGCCCATTGCCCTCGGCGCAGACGGCGGAGGCTCGATCCGCATCCCATCGTCGTTCTGTGGCATCTGGGGACTGAAGCCTTCGCACAGTCGGGTCTCTGGAGCGCCGACACTCAGTCTAGCCCCGTCAGTGGGTGTCCTCGGACCCATGGCATCCAACATAGACGACCTGGCCTGCGCCTACTACCTCATGTCCGTACCAGCACCAGCCTCGCAAGACCCCGTCTCAGCCCAGTTCCCAGACCACGGCGTCACACCACCAAAGCCTTTCGCCCCGCAAACAAAAACCATCGGCATAGTCCGCGACTGGAACGACCGCGCCGAAGCTCCCGTGCGCGCTGTGCTAGACAACGCCCTCGACTTCTACCGTCAGCAGGGCTACACAATCATCGACATCACAATCCCCTACCTACCGGAAGGCCAGCGTGCGCACGTGCTAACCATCATGGCGGAGATAGCCTCCGGCGTGCACCCGAACCAGATCTCGAAACTCACCGCGCCGAACAAGGTGCTCGTCTCAATGGGAATGTACCAGATCACGGCGCAGGACCTGCTCGCCGCCCAGCGTCTGCGCAATCTCCTAATGACCCACCTCGCGCACCTCTTCCAGTCGCATCCGGGCCTGCTGATCGTCTCCCCGACGACCCCGATCCCGGGTTGGCACATCGACGGCGAGAATGACCTGTCCCGCGGTCTGTCGGATGGCAAATCCTCCGTTCGCAATATGGAGTATGTCTGGCTGGCTAATTTCACGGGCTGTCCATCCATCAATTGTCCCGCTGGCTATGATCCTGATTCCGGCGTGCCTATCGGCGTCATGGCGATGGGTGAATGGGGTACAGAGGAGGACTTGCTGCTTTTCGCGCGCGACCACGAACCTATCCTCGATCTTCCTGCTGCTCTTCCTCCTGTCGCAGGTGGCGATGGTGATACCTCTGGGACAACGGGCCTGCGTGCTCCTGGGACTAAGGATGCTGTTTGGGAAGATGTCATTGCTAGAGCCAAGGAGAAGATGGCTTCTGCCTGATTTGACCGGTGATGCAAGTTGATGATGTAGGGGTGGGTGTGTTATAGTTGTATACACCGTGTCTGCAGCATTACAATGTTTCTTTGTCGATAGTTCGTTCCAAATGCTAGTCAATAATATTCCTATTCTATTCATGTACCCAGGTCCTGCCACAGTGTTATGCAATAAGTAAAAGAGATAGGTATCGTAATGCATTCCCATCTAAGCTCAAAACTACCAAGAATAAACGCCAAAGCGGACAGTGGCATGGTCAGGCTCCGACCAAAAACCTGATAAATACACACAACACCACTTCCTGCCAATATAAAACAATAAGCGCCATGCACCAAACAACTCAAAAAACAAAGACTCCATCGTTTTCCAACACTCCACCGTCCCCTTCCCACTTTACTCTTCAAATCCATATACCCTGCAACGGATCCGGGATGAAGAATTCACACCCCAAACTCGCCGCCTCGCCGTGCGCCCGTAACTCACGCAAGATCTGATCCCCAGGCGGAGGACCATCGGTGAGATGCTCCTTGATATGAATAATATAAACTGACAGCCCCGCCAGCGGGAGAGGGGTCGAATCCGCCCAGCTGGCCGGGTTAGGGATCAGATCGCCCGCAATAGCAGTGCTGTGGCCATCGTGCAGAGTGAATGATTCAGCCCTCGCACTGATGGCAGGGGCTGCGTCGGGTATGTCTTTGTCGTTTATAGAGCTATTGCGGGATTGTGAAGGGGCATTCACGTTGATGTTCAAGTTCGCTCCGGAAGAATTGCTCTGCGAGCGCTTCGACTTCGGACTCACTTGCTCGGGAGTAATCTCGCCAGCGATGGTAGTCTCTTTGCGCTTGCGCTTCTTATCCACCGAGTCGTGCATGTCGACGACCTTCGCTGCGAGTATGGTGAGTTCCGCGGCGAGATGGCGCGGGCACATGTGTCCGTAGAGGTATGCATCGTCGACGCTGTCATTGTACGAGCATTCGATGAAAATTGCGCGCAGTGTGCCGGCCGCGATTTTGGGCGCAGCTGTGTCCCATACGAGCTTGTTATGTCCTTCCAGGGACACGGAGTCGGGCTCTACATCGCCGAAGACGATGATCTCGTTGCCTGTGCTGTGGTCGCGGAGGAAGAATGCTGAGCTCTCGACCGTTGCGAGAACGGAGTCTTTCTGGTTTGATGGGACGAGTCGGGGAGAGCGGGCAGGGGAGTAGAACCTTGATCATAACATTAGTGCAATTCCGTGACGTGGGAGGCGTGTCTCTCTCTTACGCGCCTGCTTCGGAGTGATCGACCGATATTGCCCTCGACGGAAGCATTAACTGCTCTGCCGCAAAGACAGCGCTGCCCACTCGATGATGTGCTCCGCTTTCCGGATGGTATTTCTGTTTGCACCGCCCGTGGCTGACACTCAGACATTTGGTCAACAGGCCGTTGCAAGCCCGGACATATCCTCTTCCGTCGCCACGACCAAATCTGGGATTGCCACCTTCGACCAAACGCTGATAGGTGAGGAGACCGGCTCCACCGTCTTCGTCTGAGAGGTTAGGCCAGATGACATCATTGAACATGTAGTTTTTCATAGCAGAGAGCACCGACGGTAACGCCGCAACGGGTTTCGGACCATTTCCAGCCTCCAGGATCGGCGTGTTGATCGCCAACCCGGAGATGTGGTCGAGGTGAGCGTGCGTGATGAGGACGGCGCCGATGAGCTCCCGAAAAATATGCGCGGCATTAGCCTCTGCGGTCTTGCAGGGAAGTTGCAGGCCAGTGAATGGTCCTTCCTGTAGGACATTCTGCTCATCTTTCGATGACATGTACTCGTTGAGCAACCGGATGATGCCAGCAAGGAGAGTACCCGCATCGACGGCAACGACTGAGTCGGGAGACCATGCTGTCGATGTTGACCGGACAAGAAGGCCAGTGACTCGGTCTTCACGGGGCCCACCGCTCGGTCCCTGAGAATGACAGTCAGCTTCTTATTCCAAACGGGCCTTGCAAACCACGCCCACGCGCATACACGTGAGTGTAAGGAAAGGTGACCTACCAAGACAATAACATGGAACGCAGCCTTGTCGCCCATTGTCCCCACTGCCCCGGGTTGTGCTGTGAAACAAGGGCAATCAGGAAGCGTAAGGGCGGGTAGAGTAGTGGAGAAAGGAATAAATGAGACACACAAGCTTCCTCGAAGCTGTATAGGTGGAACCTATTGTCTCACGGAGTCCTCCTCCCTCTGAGAGGCTGTCTTATGCTGTGTGGCTGGAGATAGCGTGAGGCGCTGGAAATCAAATGCGCGCACCGGGTTGCGATCTTGACGGTCAACAGGCGCTTCCATTCAAGATAACTTGATGTCCCCCTGCTGCTTGTACCAGGACACGTCTCAGGGAAGCGGTCCACTGCAGACAGACACCCGGCCTTGTGGCTCCTGGGGAGTCTGCAGCTCGCGTGATGGACCTTCCCCAGCCCGTACCACAGTCGCGGGCCACCTTGCGCAGAGTAGCACAGGGGTAATTGTGTCTGGGCCCGTATGGCGAGTGGGAATGGAGGCGTGCCAATGCGCGAGCAATCGGGGTATTTATGAAGCTTGCCGGTCACTTGACAGGTAGACCGTAATGCGACGCGCGGAATGGGGCGAGGATAGACCGGAATTGCGACAGGAGGTCGGGAAAGGCCTGAATTCAACAGACCATGAATAGTTAGCAGCTTGCAGACTTGAGGGAAGCTCCAGGTGTCTCACGGGCTGGGGAATTTGGAAGGGTTGCAGATGGTCAGGAAGGAAGTGGGCTGGAGCGCGATCAGAGCTTCTCGGCAGTTGGGGGCGGTTCTCCTTGGCGGCGCCCACGGGGATCTCCGTCAGCAGCGTGGGATCCAGCTGGGGCTAACGAGCGGAGAGGTGCTGAAAAGAAGGGCCATTTGAGGTTGCAGGCGTTGACAACGGTCCCGATAAGCGATGAGATCAGAGGTTATCGATAGTCGGGTCAATGACGCGGTGGAGAAGAGTGGATATGTAGATAGATCGTTCGGGGACTAATTAGTGTGATCAATAATAATAATGGCAATCTACAAATCTTGGTTCTGGGCAAAGAGAGACCGATAGGAGGTTAATTGACAATGGACTAGCCTCGTATACATGACTTCATAGAGATTGATGAGAATATAAAGAACCGCCCGACTCAAAAATTCCCTTATAGGTATCCCAGACAATCCCACCCTTTCCCTGCCGAGCTGAAGAAACGCCATCCGTGAAAACCCGCTAATAAAACGACAAAGAAATGAGAAAGGTGCAATGATCGCAAAGTATGTTCAGTAGCCAGATAGCCAAACGACTACAGAGGATGCTGTACGCGTGCGTTTTAGGTGTCGGTTCCGACCACGGTTTGGTAGCTTGGGAGATTCTGGGTATCTTCGGGCCAGTCGCGGGGAGCCGCGGGTTGGGACTCTCGGGCGGGAAATTCCAAGGAGGCATCGCTGCCTCGACGACTGCTTCCGGGGCTCGAATACTCCGGAGGTAGAATGCCTTGCTCATCCGGGGCCCCAGATAAGGGCGTTGGGGCAAGGCTCGTAAAGTCTCCATCATTGGTAGTGATCCGGCTGGAGCCCTCACCGGCATCCTCGTTGGAAGGAATGTGGGCCAGTTGGGCAAGAGAGATGTCGGTTGGAGATCGAACAGGGCCGGGACTAACGGCGGGAGGGAGTCTGATACTGGAGTTCGTCGCAGCAAAGTTCGCGTTCTGATACACCCGTTGCGAGATCTGCGAAGCGCTCTCGCGGCCCGTTTCGAGTAAGATGCTGCCTTGCTCGCTGCCATAGGGTGGGGGCGGGGCCAAACTCCCCGTCATAGGCGCCAGGCCCCATTTCTTGACGTTGGCTTCGATAAACACGAATCCCATTTGTCCGAAGTTCACATGGACGCTGCAGGGACCGTTCGCGCCGACCGTGGGGAACAGGTTCTGGGCGCGATAGTTGTGTGCCACGTCTTCGAGTCTCTTGCCATTGCGTGTGAAGAAAATCGTGCCCGCTCGAGGCCGATAACCAACACCGATGACATCGCCTTGAAGCAGTGGGGGGCCGTACGGTGTTGGATTGAATGGTTGGTTATGTCTGCGATGACCAGTCGACTGATAGGCTACCGAGACTTTGTGGAAGCCTAGCAAGTTGTCAGCTGATATAGAAGATGACGAAAATCAAGTGCACCTACCGGGCATGCGGAAGAGAGGATACGGCTTGGTGGAGAGGCCAACACCAATCGTCGTCGACTCCGGCTTATCGTAAATCTTTGCCTCCCAGTAGTAGACCTCGTTCTGTTTGGGGATCGGGAGGTTGGTCTGGACACTGCACACCGAGTCGAAGAATTCGATCTCTGTCCGACCTTCGACAAAGCAGTTGGCAATCTCTAGCTCGGGCTGGAATTCCCACGCAGAAACACCCTTTTCTTGGATGGCGAGGAACTGCGACAGCGAGATATCGGTTTGCATCGACTCGGCAGGATTTGCCTGAACGAACGCTGCGACAGTTAGTCATTTTCCCTTCGTCAATACACTAGCTGTGGGCTTTACCTTTGGCTCGCAAGTATTCCGACCGCGACAAATCATCCATGTCCTCCAGCGCGGCCTCCTCCTCGCGCGCGAACGCCTGCTCATCATCGTACTCGCCGGGTCGGCCGATGCGATCGAGCATAATCCGCCCACGGCGGGTGTACTTGAAGAAGAAGAAGACCGCGAGGATGACCACTGCAACCGTCGCCGAGCCAAAGGCAGACAGGATCCCGATCAAGATGCCTCTGCCGGTCGACCCGGTGGAGTTGCCACTGGCGACCAGGCGGTCGCCCTGAAAATCGAGCGATGAGATACCATTTTGTAGGTTGTCTAGTATTTGTTGCTGTGATGGCGATAGTCCAGTCGGTGTAAGTGTGGGTTGGGACTGTGAGGATGTGAAGCCGATCGGTGACGTCGCCGGGTTGCCAATCACCGTTCTAAGCGTCGAGGGCAGGTCAGCGAGCGCCCCGGAGCCCGACGCCTCCGAGCCCTGCATGGTTCATTTGATATGAAGCCAGAAGAGAAAGGATGCAAAGAAAGTGGGTGAGAGGGACGGAGGATGAAATGGGTGGGAGGAGGTGAGAGGGTGAGTGAGAGAGAGAGAGAGTCAGAAGACACAGGGACAGAGAAGGAAGAGGCGGTCGGGGTTATCTAAGACGCTTGCGGCGTCACTCACTGGTCCACTAAAAAGACAGGTCTCGGATGCAAGGTATACCTATCAGACCTCTCGGTTTGCCTTGTTGATATTTTTTATGTTTTATATTTCCAGGGCTTATCGACTCTGCCGACCGAGAATAATAAGGCCTGTCCTACATATCGTGTAGTGCATCCCTAGTGAACTAACTAGCCAGCCTCCTTCTCCTCCCCTCTCTTCTTCCTCTTTGCCCTTCTTCCTCCCTGTCCCCTGCACTCCTTACGACTCCCTGCTGGAGGTACCTCCCCCTACTCCATCCACACGCCACAATGCGCTCGGCTGCAGCTTTTCGAGACCACAACGCAAGTTTGTCCGACGTCATGGTCAACTCGGTCGACTGCTACAGAATCCAGCTGGCAGTGACGCCCACGTCTTGCGATAAATACCCAGGTTAGTGGGCTTCGACTTCACCTGGATTGACAATCACACTCCCCTTTTACCTCCATGCTCCCTTCTCACCCCACTGGTGATCGCGCGACCTTCAAGCTGACCGGCATCCAGCGAAACAACATGCGCGCAACACTGCCCGCAAGCTCGGAGTTTCTAGCGGACTCATCTTTCTGGCCGGAGAGCCTACAATCAATTGGCGCGACTCCGACCAAGGGCGTCCGTTTCGACAGCGCCGATACTTCTACTATCTGTGCGGGGTAGATGAGCCCGACTGCTCGCTGACATACGATATCGAATCGGACATATTGACATTGTATGTTCCGGACTTTGACCTTCACCGTGCGATATGGATGGGACCTACCCTCTCCCGAGAGGAGGCACAAGATCGCTACGACGTGGATCACGTTCGTTATCAGGCATCGCTGAAGGGGGAGTTGGAGTCATGGCTCGACTCGCGGGGGAAAGACAGCTTGCTGTATCTGCTGCACGAATCTGAGAAGCCCGAGGGCCTGTCGGTGGAATCACCGCTGGACGTGAAGCAGCTCCTACCGGCCATGGATGCCGCGCGGGGGGTCAAAGACGACTACGAAATCCGGATGATCCGTCAGGCCAACAAGGTGTCGGCGCTTGCCCACCGGAGGATTTTGGAGAATATTCAGGACATGTCGAATGAGTCGCAGATTGAGGGTCTGTTCCTGAATACCTGTATCTCCCACGGGGCTCGAAATCAGGCCTATCAGATCATCGCAGCGTCGGGACCCAATGCGGCCGTCCTGCACTATCAGCGGAATAATGAATCTCTTCGCAATAAGCCTTTGGTCTGTCTGGATGCCGGTGCCGAGTGGAATTGTTATGCCAGTGACGTGACGCGAACATTCCCGCTATCGGGCGAGTGGCCCAACGCCTACGTCCGGGATATCTATAAACTGGTAGAGCGCATGCAAGAGGAGTGCATCAAACAGATCCGCAAGGGCGTGCGCTTTTTGAATCTGCACAACCTGGCCCATGACATTGCCATCGACGGTTTATTGGCTCTCGGTGTGCTCAAGGGTGGCAGCGTCAGTGAGATCTACAAGTCGGGTGCATCCCGCGTGTTTTTCCCACACGGTCTAGGCCACCATGTGGGACTGGAGGTCCACGATGTGTCTGAAAAATCCGTCATGGCCATGTATCCGTTCATCGACCGCGGCTACTACGGCCCCATCCTATCCTCCACCTATCTCTCTCCTTGTACCTACTCCGCGCCGCTGTTGGAGCCGGGCATGGTTGTGACCGTGGAGCCTGGCGTCTATTTCTCGCCGCTCGCTCTGGCGGATGCACGCAAACAGCCTTTTGCCAAGTATATTGATTTCGAGGTTGCGGCGAAGTACGTTCCCATTGGGGGGTGCGCATTGAGGATGATATTCTGGTCACTGCCAATGGCTACGAGAACCTAACTACCGCGCCGAAGGGGGAGGAGATGCTTTCTATTATCCGGGGGTCCAAGTAGGACATGCATAAATGTATATATGATACCATACCCAGCATAGCATACGCCTTCACGGTACCTGCATCCCCGTTTCTCCGGTCACAAACGAAATAATTCCCCGAATTCATTGCCGGACCGAAGACAGTTAGTTATGCAAGTAAACCGGATCCCCCAAGTCCCGAGGGTGTGTCGATCAATTGATATGCCCCGCATATATATAGATCTGGCAGAGTCCTTTTCCGTTCTACACCACACCTCACAATGGAGATCGCAACGCCACCAGTACCCATCCACGAGGGCGCCACCGACAAGCCCCGAAATGTCGACACGGACCTGATATTTTGGAAACGTCCCGCGGACCTGTGCCTCGTCTCCGACTTTACCAAAGTCAGCCCGGAAGAGGGCATGGCTGCGATGAAGCGTCTCGAGGAAGAGCACCGCATTCAAGTTCACGACGTCCGCGGCCACGAGTCGGATTTCTCCCTGCAGCAGAACGGCTTCCAGTATGTCTGGCACGAGATACCCGAGCTCGGCGGTGCGGCGGATGAAGAGCAGGTGCAGCAGTTTATTATTCCCCAAACGGAGCAAATGGTTAAGAAACTGTATGTCTTTATACAGTGTAGTGATCCTGTGTAGTGAGCCTAGAACCAACTAATCCAACCACACCACGCCAACAGAACCGGCGCATCGCGCATGAAAACCTTCAAGCACCGCGTCCGCTGTCTGGCCAGCGACCCAGCCACGCTCGCCGATAACCGCGCCCCAGCCCACAGCGTGCACTCGGACTTCACGGTTGCCGGCGCGCTACGCAACCTCAGCACCACGATCCCCGACTCCGAAGAGCGCGAGCAGCTCCTCTCCAAGCGGGTGATGATCATCAACATCTGGCGACCCTTGAAGACCGTCACCAGAGACCCGCTGGCAGTCTGTGACTGGGGAACCCTAAATCATAAGAAGGACGGCATTGCCAACCGGCTCGTTCTGCCAGGGGGTGGAATGAATTGGGGAAGTATGCTTTCAATGAGTCCCAGCAGTGGTATTATCTGAGTGTTCAGCGGCCGCAGGAGGCTTTGGTGTTTATGCAGTTTGATAGTGAGAGGGCCGCGGAGGGCGGTGTTACCGTTCCTCACACTGCGTTTGTGGACCCTGCGTTTACGGATGGGCCGCCGAGGGAGAGTATTGAGATTAAGATGTTTGCGTTTTTTTAAGTCCGTTTGCCTCGCTGTTTTGGGTAATGTTGGGCGACTTATTCCCTTGGTTTGAAAAATCCCGACATAGTTGCCTGGTCGCCTGATGGTATCTCCGTCCGGCCCGGGCACGGCCGACCGTCGGCGCTGAGACAAATTATTGCCCGGCTCCGACTCAGCCGAGTTGCCTGTTTTTCCTTTACTTTTTTCTTTGGGTCTCATACTTGCGCGTCATTTTTTTTTTTGTTTGTCATGTAACCCGTCTAGACAGGATTTGCAATCAACCATTCCATCATCCATCAGCTGAGGTGATCGGGCTTCGTCATTCCCCCCAAGCCTAACTCAATCACGCGATGCACGTAGTACACCAGATAGCCCGTTGCCTGGGCTAACTCCGTAGATTGCGTCAGTCAAATGACGCTAGGCCATCCATCACGCCTTCGTTGAGTAACTCGAGTATGAACTATAGCAGTCAAAAGGTGATCTGCCCGGCCCGGGTCCACTTGGTGGGTACGTGCTTGCCTACTGCCGTGACTCACCCTGCCTAGCGATCTATAAAACCCGAACCACCCCTGCAGCAGATCTTGCCCTGCTCTTCTTTTTCTCGATACCTCATCTCATCCTGCCAAGGAGGTGATGGTCACTCCTCTTACCTAAAAAGTTCTTGTTCTGTTTCTTGTCAGTCATTTGGTTGCTTTCTCTCGTTTGGACATACACCATCTCCCGAGGATGGGCCAGAGGCACAACAGACGTCGCACTCGTCCTCGCTCCCGCAATAGCAACCAGCTACCGCATGATAAAGACACAGCCACGGCTACTCCCGTCTTCCCGGGTCCTGGTGCTCCATTAGCGGTCCCTGCTTCATCCATCTGGAGCCCCCAGCTCACCTACGCCGAACCTATCCCCGTCTCTGCTGCATACCCATGCCCTTCACGTGGACCTCCGGGCCTTGGAACCCCCGCCCCGCTCTGGCATTATGGGTATTCGACCTGGCGGACCCGTGAAGGCGTGCCGGACACAAGCAGCACGGTAGAGACGGCGCAGTGTCGAGTGTTCGGCGGCGAGCCGGGCGACGATGTGGCGTTGTGCGAGCGCATGCTGGAGTATTTTGGTGGACTCGACTATATCGACTCGTGAGTTTCCTTGGTGTCTCGATGAAATCCCTCAACGGCACGTTCCTGACTTGTGTCTGTTATCAAGAACACCGGACACCACTCTCGGTGATTGAATGCCCTTCCGTCCTCCAAAAGGAGAGTTTGGTTCGTGTGAATATTGCCTTCGCCGCGCAGTCTTCGGCATAAATGGAGCGAAAAGAACGAACATACTGTGATCAGCTTTCGATTCGAAATTCCATCAACAGGCCTCGCAGCGAGAAGGACGCTCCACAGCGTCCTTCCGCCCCGGATCGATACCGGCTGCGACGGCGAGAACACCAGTGTTCCCGTGGACAATATCTGGGTCCCCCGACTTGTAGCAATGAAGATACCCTGATGTAGGGTATTGGATTGGTCCACCTCGACTCGGCCATGTGGATTGTTCTGGGTTGCTAGTCCCGCGCCGCACCGTGGATCGTCTTTGGACTATCACCAGCCTCTGTGAAGTTATATTGGTCCAGGATTGGTTGAATTCGCGTCACTAATTAGTGGCGCTTGAGTTCCCGATTTTGGGCGCATAGTAACAAGCAGAGTGCAGTGCGGTGCTGGGAACGAGTGCTTCATGGCTAGATAGTTAGTCATTTTGTACGTAGCAGCTGTTCTAGCCAATGCCTTCCCGCTTCCTTTGAACGAGTAGTATAGTGACAGCGTGGCTGCACAATATAATTCAAGTTGCAAAGAATGAATTCGAACAATAGAAGACCATACTCACCGCCTTTGACCCTGGCAGAACTCGCAGGCGGTCAGACCTTAAAGGACACCGTCTACTGACCCGAAGTGGAAGTGAATCGATACTCCGTTCCTCCCCTGCATCACTCCTTTGTTTCTCTGCACTATTCTCGGGGCCAGCTTTGTGGTCGCTGATTTTATAATATTCCATTCCTCTTCTCTCCCACTGTTCCCGCGTCTCGCCTGTCCAGAGTGACACCAGCCTTGTCCAAAACAACGATCGTTAAATTCCGCGGACAGCGGCCACCGCTGTCTGTACCCTGAACTCGCCTCAGGATGTCGTCAGATTACACCTACGATGAGCAGGTATGTAGTAGCTCTTCATCCGCGGACAATCAGCTAACCTCGTGGCTTCGCGCCATCAGGGACAATTCTTCCCCTTCTTCATCCTGACCTTGACCGGCCTGGTCACTCTTCCTCTCACCTACAACCTCCTCAAACCAAGCAAAGGTAAGCTGACCCGGGCGTTTATGGCTACCTGAATACTAAAGTCGATGCGCCGCATACAGAGCTCGAAAACACCGCTCCCCGCATCAAGTCCGACTTCAAACCCCAACATGGCGACCTCATCGAGGCACAGAAGCGCAAACGCCTGCGCAAGGAACGCCGGATCAAGCGTATCGTCACTGTCATCCTGGGATACTTGGTGATGGCATGGATGGTTTACTTGATCCTCGTCACGGCGCGGTCAACGCCCAAGTTGTACGATCCGTATGAGATCTTGGGTATCGCACGGGTAAGTTGTGGTGATGACAGCCCGGCATTTCAATACTAACTCGCTATTCAAGAGCGCCGACGAAAGAGCCATCTCCAAACACTACAAGCGCCTCTCCCTCATCTACCACCCCGATAAAATTCGTCCCGACCCCGCCAAGAATGAGACCGTCGAGATGCTCAACGAGCGCTTCCACGAACTCACCCAGGCCTACAAAGCCTTGACCGATGAAGATATCCGCAACAACTACCTCCAATATGGCCACCCGGATGGCAAGCAAAGCTTCAGCATTGGCATCGCGCTGCCCAAGTTCATAGTCACGGAAGGCAATCAGAAATACGTCCTGCTGGTCTACGGAGCCCTGCTAGGTGTTCTTCTTCCGTACATTGTTGGCAAGTGGTGGTACGGCTCCCAAAGATACACCAAGGAGCGTGTTCTTATTGCTACCGCTGGCAATATCTTCCGCGAGTACAAAGAAGACATGACAGATGGTGATATCGTTAGCGTTCTCTCCTCGGGCGAGGAGTTTAAGGAAATGCTTCCGGGTGCCCAGGCGGATTCTGGACTCGGTAAACTGGAGAAGAAGGTGCTGGCAGACGACTCCTCGTTCCTCTCCGCCAAGGACCGCGAGACTCTCAAGAAAATCGACAACTCCGCTCGCCGGAAGGCGCTGGCTTTGTTGTGGGCATACCTTGGCCGAGTGGAGCTGGATGATGCAACTCTTGATGCTGGTAAGTTTGTTTTGTTTTGTGATTTTACGGGTGGTGCTAACCTGCCCTCAGAAAAATACGAGGCTGCTCCCATCGCCCTCTCCCTGACCGAGGCATTCAATGCTATCGCGCTGGCTTTTGGTAACCTGCGACCTATTATCGGTGCTTTCCAATCATCCCAAAACCTAATCCAGGCGGTCCCACCGGGCTCGTCGCCGCTCTTGCAACTTCCCAACTTCACCAACGCCGTCGTCAAATCCGTCGAGGGCCAACACACCAAGGATCATCTCACCGTCCAAAAATTCATGAAGATGCCCGAGGACGAACGCCGCAAACTTACTGTTGGTGCTGGTCTTTTGTCAGAGAAGCAATACACCGAAGCCCTCACAGTCGCACGGCAACTGCCTGCGCTTGAGGTCTCCAAGGCATTCTTCAAGGTTATGGGTGAGAAGGTCATCACACCGAGCAGTCTGGTACAGCTAGTAGTGAAGGCCCGACTCATCCCACCAGGATGCACCAACGTGCCGGCCGTTAATGAATTGGACCTGGAGGACGTCGACCCCGATGAGGACGACCTGGACGCACTGATGGGCCGTAAGGCGGCGAAGAACAAGACCCTCAAGATTGTCGACGGCAAGAAAGTCGAGACCAAGTTGGAGACAATCCAGCCACCTCTTGCCCACGCGCCTTACCTCGCTCGCGACCACTCTCCGCGCTGGCACATCTTCCTGGCAGACGCCAAGCAGGGCAAGATGGCCGTGCCGCCGTTTACCTTTACCACATTCGACAAGCCGCTCTTCGACGAAGCCGGCAAACCCACCTTCAACGTCCAGACACTGAAGATGCAGTTCCAGGCTCCCCCGCAGGTCGGCGACTTCACCTTCGTCATGCACATGCTCTGCGACAGCTATCTGGGGCTAGACAGCAAGGTGGAAATCACTCTGCACATTGACGACCCTGCCAAGGCAGTGGCCGTGGAGGAGGACGATGATATCAGCGAGCCGGACGAGGGTAAGCCTTCCTGCCCTTTTTTTCTGCGTGTGTCTATACTAACTCCCTTCTTCCAGACTCTATCGCCGGCCAAATGCATGCCCTCAAGACGGGCGGCGCACCACCCAAGAAGAAGACACAAAAACCTTCCGAAGACTCCAGCGAGGACAGTGACACCGATGGCGACGCAGGCGATACCAGCGACACCAACACAGAAACGGATGTCGAGGATTAATTTACTCGCATCTACGCTGCGTTGCGTTGCACTTTGCATTGATTGATGGGGTTTTTCATTTTTCTGCTCGGGCCTTTCCTGTGTCTGTGTATTTGTGTGTGTAACATGCGAGGGGAAATTGGGCATGGGCATGGGCGAGGGGATCGGATCTCTCTGTCTGTCTTGTCTCTCCGGTAACCTCGGGGGTTCTTCTTTTCCTTTTCTTTTTTTTTAAAAAAAACTTGTTAAATCGTTATACTATCTGTGTCTCTTGGTTTCTATTTCTGCTTCTCATATCCGTCCGACGTTGCCCATAGAGGTGGAATTACAAAGATTTTTTCTTTCTCCTTCTACAAGGGTTTCCCCGGTGTTTCGCGTACCCATGTCTTTTCTATTGGTGTATCATGTATCATTCCTGCCAAGTCTCTACAGGGTATCTATCTACTTGGTGCCATCTACTTGATCTATGGGTATCCATGCCCTAGCTACCATGACCGTGATCCCTTCGCAGTTCTAGACCTAGGTGGGCCGTGGCGATGAAGAGTGCTCTGTGTATCGATGTTATATGTTGCCCTCGCCCCAGTATGCATGTCATAAAAGAAGACGGCTATAAATAGAAACATGCAGGGTCTTGGTCGAATAACAGGACGCTTGGGTAAATTGATAGAGAGGTAGGTTTTGTTGAATGCCCTGTCCTATCTACCTACACACATACATGTACACCTCAAGGCTAATTTCGATGAGGAGAAGAAAGGTGATGGTGAGGGATCTTTGCTGCTGGTGCTGGTGTGCGCTGGCGGCAGAGATAAGACACCAAATCCAGGTCCATGAAGAATGTACACGCTACACGATGTATATATAGAACTACTCGGCACATCATGAATGCATCTATTTCTAAATATCTACCTAAATAATTCTACCTATCTACCGAATACAATCACTCTATAACGAAAGTGCCTAGATTGATAGGACCCGGTCTTAGTAGAATCCTGAACCTGAGGCCTAAATGGGGAGAAGTAAGTAATGAGAGACCAACGGAGAGAAACACTGTTCCTTCTTCTTGCAAATGCCAGTGGCCATGCCTCGTACCAATGTCAGTTCCATGATATCACATCTCCAAGTTGTAAACTCCGTCAAAATCAAATCAGATCAAGTCAAGTCAAATTTCAAACCGAATTGCCTTGACTCGCCTTATCCTGCCTTGCTTCCTCCGATGTGTGAACATAATTGTAACTGCAAATGCAACAGGGGGTATTGAAATATTGGATAAATGGGCCCAAAGACAAAAAACAAAACAACATATCTCTCTCTTCTGCTAATCTCAAAGAGTGAAGCAAATGGAGTGAGTAGAAGAGTTTCATATCTGACCGAGAGATGGAAACGAGGTTGCAAAACTATAGATAAGAAGCGAAGAGAAAAACAAGCTCATTGTGAGAAGCATACAAACAGCAGCTCGTCTGTATGTCTACTCCCTGCAGCGATCATCCCGCCGGAAAAGTCCAACCAGGCGTAAATCCGTGATAGAACGAGGCCTCCTGGTTTTGGTAGTGATAGACTCCGCCAAGCATGTCACTAGACATGCCACCACCGGAGAGATGCTGGGAATGGGAATGCGCATCGCCCATTATGCCGATACCGGGCGGGACACGCTGCGCGGCGGGTTTATTGCTGGCACCACCTGGCACCACTCCTCTATCGGAGGCATCCAGATAACATGGAAAACCTGCAGAGTCATGGGACACGGACGATCCAGCAGACACGTCGACATGGGACGGTATCTCAGTTGGCGCTAGATATGTTGCGCCACCTCCTATGGAGTTGCGCTGCACGGCCATAATATCATGCTGGAATCCATTCTCGGGGAAGCTGTGGTGATACGCAGTCTGGTGGTGAACGGGGTGCATATCCCACGACCAGCTGTGTGAATGGTGGCGCCCTCCCGGGAGGGAAGAAGTTGGCACTGGTACAGAGCCGGGGTTGTTGCAAGCCGAGGAAGAAGAAGGAGAGGAGAGCACTGTCGGGGAGGGTTCCGGGGGCGTGGCCGGTTCAGGGGACGGTTCGGCCGTGGCGCTGCATTCTGTTGACGTGGATAACAGGCGGAGGTAGCGCAGGTCCTCGGAGTCCTCGTCTGGATCGTCGGCGTTTTCTTCGGCTTGCTTGATCAGCCCTAGGCGGTCGAGGATCGTGTGTGTTAGAGGGTGGCCGTCTGGTGCTTCGGCGAGGGGCTCGCCGGGGAAGCCTTCGTTGTTGATGCAGAACTTGTATAGTTTCTGGAGTGCCTTGACGACTAATGAATGGTGGGACTCGAGCATCTCGACGAATCTATTATCATAAGTACTGTTTCCATTGAGATTGGGTTCGAGTACGTACCCCCGAGAGTAAACTTTGGTCTGCGTCGCCTTTCTCTCGCGGAAGAGGCATGGGTGGTTGTATACCGAGCAGCGGTTGCAGGGCTGTTTCCCATCGCACTATGTAGAGACAACATGGGCATGAGCAAGAGCAAGAGAAAGAGAAAGAGCAAGAGCAAGAGCACAAAGCATAGATATGTTCTCCCAGACAAGACAGGACAAACCTTAGTCTTCTTCACGCGGCACCGATCGCACGCTTTGAGAACATGCTTGCGCTTGACCCGGAACACGCGCTGATCGCGCTTGTCTTCTACATGTCTCGAGCGGTGCTCCAGCTCCGCGAATGAGTCCATGGCGGCGAAACTGTCCATGGTATGCGGAAAGCCCTTGGGGCGGAGCTTAGGCTGCCACGACATGGTGGGTTGGTTAGGGCTAGGTGTAAAGTAAAGGAAGTCTGCAATTCAGGGTATTGTTGAGCAGAGCGGGATGAGAAGCAGGGAGGTGGGGTGGGTGATAAGGGAGCCTCAGTCAGTATTTGGCCACGGAGAGATACATGCGATATTACATCGTGGTTAGTTGGCAAGAAGCACACAGTCTCCCCACGCCTCCTCACCAGGAGGTGACGTGGGAGACGGAGCGGTGTCAACAGGGCAGGGCAGGACAGGGCAGAACAAGGCAGGGTAGGATAGGGCAGGGTAGGTGTCAGAATGTCAACTAGCAAGGATGTGTGTGTCTGTGGCAGGTACAATAATAATACAGGTAGAAGACCTCACTTCGTTCCCAAATAACCAAACCCCCCGTCGTTTGGGCAGCAATAAAGAAAAAAAAAACAACGTCGTCTGTGCGCGGGACGAGCATGCTCTGTCTGTCGGCCTGTCGGCCTGTCTAGCAAGTGTTTTCTGTTCATTCAATTGCATACGGCTCATGTCACATGGTACAGATACATAGATCTCACCCAACGAACTAACAAAAGAGACTCGGACAGATTCATCGCACGCACACGTGCGATGTCAGCGGCTGAAAGGAACCTAGCTCGTGTCCAGTGCGTGCATGACAATCCAACCAGGTACCCCTGTCTTTGCTGCAGTGGACGCTCGAGAGAAAGAAGGAAGGCGACAAGACAAGAAAAGGGGGAGGCCAGTGCTTTGCTGACTATCTGTCGGTGTAAAGGAATAATCATCCTTTCCCATCCTGGACAGGCATCTCATCCATCACCTGACGGGCGACACAGGTAATTCTTACTATTTTACTATATTTACCGTACGATGAATGTACAGACACGACACGACACGACAAACAACACACCCAGCCCATATCGGAATGGGCCGTCGATCATCTATCCCCGGTGTGACGGCAGTAGAGACCCTGATACAATCAACAGGATAGATTAGTACTGTGAGGCTTGGTTTCAGCGTGAGCACAGGGGTCCGAACTTAAGATATGATAGGGAGTAGGGAGAGCGGGTGAAATAGAGGAGTGGCTGAGTTAGGGCTAAAAAAGCGCAGAGGAGAGGAAGCAAGCAAAGCAGAATAATAAGCATCTGATATCATATCTACCTAACGTATGTATCTACAATGATGAATTAACCCCATGCTAAACCAAATGTAGCTCGGCTAGAGACGATCAACGCCCTGTCCTCTCTTTCACATTTACTGCTCCTTTGCTCCTTGTTATCTCCGATAAATTCGCGGGCCTGTACCGTTTCGAGGCCCGAGAATCCCCGGACGGAGATTGGCAGTCAATAAAGATGAACCAACAGCAATATCCCCTTTCTGGCTCCCCGGCACACTCTCGCCCAATAACTAGCATTCATCACCGCTGGCACGATCAGCGCGATGATCAGCAGGGCAAAGGTATCCGGGTAAGCCATCCGGAGAGAGAACAGGTTTTGCGTGGCTTTCTTTCCTTCTTTTCATTCCATGAAATCAAGTCACGCAGAGGCCGATCCCCCCGGCAGCACGATGCTCGCTTCGCCCTTAGCAAGCAGATCGAAGCTCTCCTCACTCGTAGCTGTGGTCGGGGAGCTTGGCGGGTATTCTGATGACGCGACTGTTGCTACTGCAGCCGCTTTGGACTCGGCAGCAGCCGTTCCTAGCCGCTCATCTGACAGCGCCTGCCAGCGACGATCGCCGACCCATTCAATTCCGTCGCCTGCGCCGCTGATTCCCAGCTTGCGACGCTCGCTCTCGCGCTCGAGGAGGGGCAATTCGCCATCGTGGCGCTGGTCATTATCATGTGTCTGCTCTAACAGGCCCAGATTACGGCGGTGCCATTCGCCAACGAACAGGCCGTCCGGGTCGACCTCTTTCCGAACCCGCAGCCACTCGTCCATATCGCTCCCGTAAAGCTCGCGCAGCTCGTGCGGGCCGCTGGTTGTAAAGTTCTTAGCCCAGTGCGGGCGCGCGCCCATGTCCCGCATCAGCCACTCAAAGGCCTCGTAGTAGCGCTCTTTGCAGGGCGGGTCGCGGAGGTACGGCCGGTAGAGCGTTGCGTTGAGGTAGAGCGTTGGCCCCGTGCGGGAGGTTGGGTCCAGGAACGGGCGCGGGTTGGTGTTGTGTGTTGTGTCTGATACGCGCACTTCGACGGGGCAGTGTACCCACAGGCCCTGTACGGGGAATGGGATGCGTGCGGTCTCTGCGTCGCCGTTCAGCCATGCCGACAACCGGGTTATAGCTTCAGGGCCCTTTTCTAGAGGGAGGGCCCACTCGTTCACGAACTGTGAGTATAGACAGTTCATTAGAAGACCTGTCCGAGCGGGCTCGACGGCTTCGGTAACTGTCGACCCGGCGCGGAAGCCGTATTGCATGCCGAAGACGAACCACTCCACCCACGGCAGGATCCGGGGTAAATAGTTCGACAGCGCGAGCAGGTTGTGGTAGATGTGGTATCCCAGGGACTCGCCGTAAAAGTTGATGGGAGGAGGCTTCAACGGACGGTCTGTTTGATCCGCGCGCCAGACGATGGCACCGCTCAAATACGGTAGCCACCAGACCCGGACGAATTCATGTGATGTCCACAGGCCGGTCGACCACTCATCCAAAACCTTGGACAACGACAACCGTTCCTGGCGCCAGGCGATGTTGAAGGTCGGCCTCGCCTTGAAGGTGACTTCAACGATGATCCCCAATGCTCCGAGAGACACCAGCGCCGCGCGGAACAGCGCCGGGTTATTCGTCGCGCTGCAACGCACGAGCTGGCCATTCGCTAAAACCAGACTCAACGCCTCGATGCATTCAGAGAGCAGTCCATGACGCAGCGAGCTGCCATGCGTGCCCGTCGCGATAACTCCGGCAATGGACTGGCTATCAATGCTGCCTAGGTTGTCAAGTGTGAGCCCATGCTCTTCCAGCCTCGCACCCAGCTCGCTGAGCCGTATGCCCGCCTCAACAGTGACAGAGTGTGTAACCGGATCGATGGACAGGACACTATTGAAGTCGTCGAGGTTCACCAGCCATGACGAGGTGCAGGTAAGATCGGAGGGCGAGTGGGCGCTGCCGACGGTGACGAGACGGCGGCGGCAGCGGCGGGCGAGGGTGATGAGCTGTTGGATCTCGGGGATGGAGCGCGGTCGGATGTACAGCTCGGGACGAGAGAAGAACGTCTTGGCCCAGGTGTGATGCAGGTATGATGTGCCGGCAGTGCGGAACGGCACCGCGGGATCGAGCTTGGAGAGCTCGCGAGAGATCGTGGGGTCCATGATGGCGTGAATTTTTCTTTTTCCAAGGCGATCACGGCATCATCGGATGTCACATTGCCAGCGGAGGGGGCTGATGAATTATTGTCAGGCGTTCGGAATTGGTGGGGGAGAAAAGGGAAAGGGGAAGATAAGTAACAGTCTAACGGGGGCGCTAGAAAAAAAATAGTTGATGGCGACATCGCGATCCCTCGGCCCACCACTCCCGAGAAATTATACACGGACTAATTCTCCGATCGACATGAGTGCAACATAAACAAATAAATTCCCTAGATGCACCTATCTATGACCTGTGTACATCCATCCCAGATGCTCCGTCCACGCTGTCTACAAAAAAGTCTCCTCCACCTCCACGAATGTGCTTTGTACAACCCAATATGCACAACGAAAATAACAGTGATAAATATCAAGATGACCCTGGCGGAGTCCGGAGAGCTTCAATCGCCACATCCAAAGAAAACACACAGGGCGCGCGCAGGGAGTGCGGGTCCCATTTGCGGAAGGCTGCTTGGCAGCGGTCCGGAATACCGCCCAGCGAGACAAAGCTCTTGGGGATGAAGGGCCGGTCTTGGAGCGAGGTGGCTAGGATGCCGTACTCGTGCGCAAAGATCACGGCTGAGGAGAAATCGGCTGATTTCTGCGTTGCTTGTTCGCCGACGATTCTATTGCAAAGGGGCATCAGTATCTATATCCAGAACAGGTAGACGCAGACTTACACGTAAAGTTCAAAGAAGGTATCCAGAACGTAGATGTCCTTGCCAGCCAGATCCTTGTAGCAGAAGGGTTCAATTTCCTGAACGGTATCGTTGGGCCGAGTCACCGGCGACCCGGAGCCGGGCCGGCGCATCCAGAAGCGTGGCGCCTGGCCCAGTTCGTGGTCGACGCGCAGGAGCCGAGTGCTAAAATGGTCGAACTTTGGCTTGAGTTGCCAGTAGTCCGATGCCATGGTGGATGGTGCAGACGCGCGTGAGCCTGCAAACACCTCGAAGAAGCTCTCCGGTTCTTCGTCCTCGGTCACCTCCTCGAACTCGCCGGTCAGACCGAGATCCATGCTGATGAGCCGTGCGGCGCCGGTTTCCTCGGGTCCGCTGCCTTTGCCCTTCCACAGGTATAGCTTGCCGAAGGGCGCAGAGATGACGAACGGGTAGCCAGAGCACAGGTGGCGGAGTGAATAGTCGACCTCGTCAAAGGCCATTTGACCCAAATACTTTCGTCCGCAGAGCATGTACAGAGCGGACGAGCTGGAGCGGGAGCTGGGCCCCCGACGCGTGATGATAATCCCACCGAGCGCCTGGATGAACCGCGCGGGCTCCTTGCCTTGTCGAATAAGCTCCAGCTTGCAGCCATTCTCGCGGGAGATTTTGCGAGCGAACAGCTGTGTGTCCTCGAACGCGGCCTCTCCAACGTCGTCTCCGCACCAAAGGTATACTTCGGTGGTGGGGATTCCCTGTGTGTCAAATACGTGCACGCAAAGGTACATGCTGCCCTCATAAAGTATGTACTCCTGGTTGACTGGAAGCTCTTGGCGCTTACCATCACCGGTCATCTCCCAGATGTGCTTTTTAGTCGTCCGGATTTTCGGTTCGGCCGGTTTGCTGGTCAACATCAATTGGGGGTCGATATCCACTCGGTCCCGTTGGTTGGGGAAAGTCTTGAAGAAGCCCGCAATGACTTCTTGTGCCTCCGCTGCCTTGGCTACTAACGAAGGGGCAGACATCTTGCGGGACAGCCGGTTGCGCGGGTCAACAGGTTTGTCAAGCGAGATATCGAATCGCTTTGGAGGAATAGGCGGGGAAGCATGGCTCGTCCGGGGAGAAGGATCATGAGCCTCGGCCACCGCAACACCAGGGACGCTCTTGGGTTGGGGCGTGGTCGGTGCGTCCATTCGGTTTTCTCTGTAGCTTGTCCGGAGCGGAGACGGAGAAGAGGTGTATCGCGACTGTTGGCTCCATCGTGGCTTGGCGGATACAGGAGGCGATGGGGACGGCGACGGGCTAGGTTTTGGTGGGACTGGCGGTTTGCTCGACGGGCTCACTTCCTCCGCAGAACTTTCAGGTTCACGCGGTGCACCTTCAAGACTGCGGAGAGCAGCCTCGTTGGATAGTACCCGCGGCTTCGGCGGAGGAGTTTGCAGCCTCTGTTCAAGTCCGTTGTTCAACAGATCCTGGAAGCTATTCCGCTTCGTTTCTGGCCCTGGCTTTGACGAAGTTTTGGCTGGCTGTGTGGAACAAGGCCGCGAGAGGCTTTCTGCACTCTTGTCTGAGTCAATCGGTACAGGACCAGGATGGGATTTCTTGACTTCAGCGGACGAAACGACACCGACCTCTTCGGAACCCCGCGGAGCCGGAGGGGCACTGGCTTCGAATGCGCGGCTCTGCTCAATTCCGTTGTTGAGCAAATCCTGGAAACTGTTCCGCTTCTTTCCTGGCACTGGTTTGGACAGAGCTTGGCCTGGCTTTGCGGAAGCAGGCCGCGAGAGGTTCTGCGAACTGTTGCCGGGGTCAATGGGCATAAGATTAGGCTGGAATTTCTTTACTTCCGGAGGCGAAGTGACAGCAACCTCCTTGGAATCCTGCGAAGCGGGTGGAGCACTGGCTTTGGGGGCGCGTCTCTTGGGACCCTTCGCACGGCTCTTGGTCATATGGGTGAGAGGCGTAGATGATGAGGCGGGGGAAGTTTCCGTGGAGGCTGAAGACATCACCGGCTCCTTCTTCGGAACCTCTGCCGCAGCAGTAGGACCTCGAGACAGGAGCCCAGCTAGAGCGGGATTGATTCGGCCTGCGAGTTTCCCTTTAGCAGCCAGACTTGGAGGCACAGTCGTCGCTGGAGCGGTGGCTCCCGCAACAGCAGCCGATGGCAGGCCACGAACCGGTTTGGGGGCCTCGTCTGCAGGCTTCTGTTTTGCCTCCACACTTGCTTCGATAACAGCACCGCGAGTCTCGGGATCGGTCGGAGCCGGCTCTTGCACTGGATCGGCGACCTCGGGTGGAGGTTTAGGCGATTCCTCTTCGGCCGTTGGTGCTGGCGTTGGGTTGAGCACGGTACGCGGAGTAGCAAGATCTCTGGAGGATCGCGAAGGCTGCTCGTCAGATGGTTTTCCCCTGATGCTATGTGTCTTTGCCATATTCTGCCGCTTCGCAATGGCCTCCGGCACCGCAGTTGCTGGACTCAACGGCCTGTCGTCCTCACCGGCTGTGTTTCGTCTCACGGTGCCACCACCGGCCTTCATCGCCTCCTTCTGCTTCAGAATACTCTCCTTGAATTCGTCGACTCGCTGAGTCTTCTTCGGGCCACCGGTCAGGTTCAATGCCGCCTTGCCTCGTAGAATATTGTTCTTGAGCTCGTCCGGCGCAACGTAGTTCTTGGTCTCGGTCTTCTTCAGCTTGCCGAATACATTCTTGAACTCTGGTTCATCCTTGGGCCCGGTGCCTTGAGGGACCTCGCGTTTCCGGAGGCTGGCTCGGAAATCAAGCGCAGGCGATTGGGACTTCGGTTGCGGGGAGACCGGCTCTCTCGAAGGCCCAGGCGAACTAGTGAAATTTGGTTTGGGACTCAATGCAGGGGGTGGCGCCTTGCGAGTCCGTTCGGGTTCAGGAGTGCGTTCAGCCTCTGTTTTGTGCTCCGGGGATTGCGCCGTTCGCGCCGGAGAGGTCGGTTTGCCTTCCTCTTCTACAGGCTTCATCGGCTCGGAATTCTTGCCAGCAGCAGGTGAGGGTGACTCTGGCACCGATTCCTTTGACTTGGCCAAATCTGGGCTGGCATGCAATGAGGGAACTCCGCTGACGCTGGGCTTTTTGAAGTGGGTACCGGGAGGAGGTGTTCGCATCAAGCCCACCGGATTGACTTCTTTGAAATTTTTGACACTGCCCATGTCAACGCTGCCCCTGGCTTGGCGGTCCTTCATCCACGATGGCTGCTCAGATGGCTGTCGGTTGTGTCGTGGGGAGTCGGGCCGATTCAGTGCGCTCTCCAGCCAAGAGGCCTTGGTAGGGCTCCACCGCTTGGGATCCATGGTCCTGGAGACAAACGGACTAGACTGACTATCCTGCCTCTCCATAGTCATTGAGCTGGTGGATCTCGAGTGCGAAGACGGGGGTCGTCTTGTGGGACTACCAGTTGCACTCGTATTATCAACAGGAGCACCAGCGGTGACAGGTCTGGCGTTGGACTCTGTAGGCTGTACCGTAGTTGCCTCGCTATGACTCGAGCTGGGTCGCTGGACTTGTGTATCTCGTCCAAATCGAGAGCCAGTCGAAGCTGTCAGATCACTGACACTTGCATTCAAAGTTGGAGGTGCGGCACTGCTGAAGTTTGAGACCACGGAATTGGATCGGCTAAGCCGTTGAGGGACCTGAGCACTCCACCGCTTCGAAACGCTGTCTGACCGCTTCAACATCGCACTCTGGACAAAGCCGCCAAGACCCTTAGTGGGAGAGGTTGAACGGGTCCGCTCTGGTGACATTCGGCGCTGTGTCGGGGATGGAGGGGCCAAATCCTCCTCGGATTCAGGCACTCGAGGCTTCAGCTTGGGGGCGCTCGACAACGACACCGGCGAGCCGAGTCCCGTGGCCAACGTGGAAGCCGTTCTCGGCGAGGAAGGAGGAGCCTCATCGGCCGTCTCTGCCTTCTCAGGCTCGGCGGTCGACTCTCGGCTCATCCCCGGGAGTCTGCGGCTGGCGCCCCAACCTGGGGATGTGCCGGATACCTCTTCGGTGGTCTTACGGTATGCTGGCGAGCCCGTTCCTCGGTCTGGCGTCTGCCGGAACCACGAGGGGTCCTTTGAGCCGAGCGATTGAGCGATCTGAGCACGCGACAAGGGCTGGTCCTCTCTCGATGCGGTCGACGCGTTTCTCAAGTGGCTGGAGCGGGATGGAGAGGGTGACGAAGGGGACTTGTTGCCAGAGTCTCGCGAGGAGGGGCGTTGCTGCCAGGACAGAGTGCCGGCCCGACTGCGCGACAGCGGCGGCAGGGTCCGTGAGAGCGAATCCATCTCGGCGTCCTTGGGCGATGATCCGGGTCTCTTCTGGTCTGCGTTCAGCGACTCTGTGCCTTGGGAACTGCTAGGTCTGTCCAGATCGAGCGAGTGCGGCGTGGGCTCCAGGTGTTCTGGGGGTTCAATGGAGGCGCTCATTCGGAAGGCATTGAGGGTGGGTGAGTCCTTCTGTGGGGAAATTGAGCGAGCTCGCTCTGTCGAGGGCATCAGTTGTGTTAGATCGATCTTTCCCTCTCCTTTGTGGTGTGTCATAGCTTACCGGCTCGGCGGGCCTGTCTCTCTGCGCGGCCCTGCAGGATCTCCTCCTCGAGGCGCTTGGTGCGCTCCTCGTCCTCCTTGTCGCGTCGCTCGCCGAGTTCGCGAATGCGCAAGAGAAAGTCATTCACGTCCTCGGAGGCGGCGGTGGACGACATTTTCAGTCGGGGGTGGTTGTGGGAAGAGGAAGGAGGAAGGGAGTGAGTGTGGATTGCGGGAACAACAAGGATTCTCCGCCCTGAGATCACGAGTGCCGTCATAGCCCGGACCATACATACATCGTACTACTATTATTACTGCGGTAGGATTGATTTCTGGTGTTTTCTGCATCTATCCATCTAGACATCATCAGGAAAATCCTGCGTCGGTCCGGTTTCCCCGTAGGACAGACGAAAAAGGTGGTTTGTTGTTTTGTTTACGTGTGGATCGTGTCCCGCCTGATCGGTTCGCGATTGTGGATAGTTCCTATTAGCGATATTTACCGTTCAGAAGAATCATTCAAGGAGGCATGAATGTCAATCAAAAAAGGAAAATCGCATAGTCGGGGGTGTGTCACATTTGAAGTCACATTTGAAGGGTCTGATACGGCCAAGTGACGAGTCACTTGGGTTCCTAGGGGAAATCTGACCTCGGGAACTCCGATTCTTCCATTGCCGTGGCGCTAGATGGAGCATTGCCGAGAGCTATCGAGATGTTAATTACCTGTTGCAAAATTACTATATAGCTACGGCACCTGGAGACTTGATGCTCGTCAATCGTGATAGTATATTGCCCAATATATATTTGACCAGGCCAACACAACCAAAATTCCACTCTCAACCAAACCCAAGTAGTCAAGATGCAGAACGACACAGCACAGGTATCAAACCAGACCGCATCTCGTTGGGCCGTCAGTAGAGGAAAAGCCGGTCTTTGGCGTCCTGTACCACCCACGCCAACCCTTCTTTCAGATTCTTGCCCGTCATCGCACTGCAGGGCAGAATGGTCCATTTATGGGTTACGATCAAATCCAAGCCCAGTCGCTACGACAGTCACAAATCAGCCGATGGGACCCATTGAGTCCATGCGTCGACTTACCTCTCGGACCTCCTCCTCGGTCATGCACTCTTCCACGTCGGTTTTGTTGAGGAAGACTAGAAGACTGGCCCCCATGAGCCGCTGTATGCGTCCAAATGCATCAGTGTGCTTGTTCAGAGATTGCATGTGGTAGATGGGATGCTCTCCTACCTCTTCCAGGAGCAGACCCGCTAGCTCCTGACGGCAATCGTCAACGCGCAGGCGGTCAGTGGCGTCGACGACCCAGACCAGCGTGTCGGTCTTTTCAAAGTAGTTTTTCCAGTAGGAACGGAGGGTTCTCTGGCCGCCGACATCCCCTGAGTGGGTGGTCAGGATGTTTGTTAGCGTTGTTGGCTGGTGGGCTCACAGACAGATGTTGAGTTTGTATCTGTCTCGCCGAGTCAGTTCCCTCTGACACAAGACGCGAGGATGGGTCTGGTCTCACCCATTGAAATCGATGGTCTTGATGATGAACCCTAGCGTGGGGCTGACGGTGGTGATGTCCTCGTCCATAATGCGCTTGACGATGGTGGTCTTGCCCGCATTGTCGAGTCCGCTGCCAGATGCGATCAGTATTTTCTGGGAAAGTAAACATGAGGAGGATGTACAGCATTAATATCCTCATCTCCTTATCCTTTAATCGGGCCTTGCGTAGGATTGACAACATGGTGCTTGAATTGTGGTGAGTGCATTCTTCGGTGGGTGGAGTGTGAACGAGTGAGCGGCAGAGGAACAGTGGAGCATCTGATTGGCACGGCCTTACTATAAACATTCGAGTGAACATGGACCACCACAACATGATTATTCTTCTCTATATCCCGATCCACCTCGATGAAGACAGGCGAAGCTTGAATACTACCGTCCAACTATGACGCCACAAGTTTGCGTGTTTTCGCCTGAGGCATCACGCTATTACCCAAACGGGAAAACCATGAGTGCACTTGCGCCCTTCGTCTCTTCTTCTCTTCTCTTTCTTCTCTTTCTTCTCCCACCCCCGACCCGACCACCTTCTTCTCTTTCTGGAACTCTTCTTCTGTCTTTCCATTCCTCTTTTGGAGCGTTTGGCAAAACTTTGGACTTGCACATTCTTACTGCTTGGAAAAGTAAGAAGAAAGAACCCAGGATAAGTTCACGGGAATAGGCTGTCCCGGACCAGCAGCAACTTCAGATCGGTGCTGACCCTGACAGAACTAGCAAACATGCAGATTACACTATCGTTTTCGCAGACCGTGCTGGAGGAGCTGGATTTAGGCCCAGAGGATCTGGTTCAAGTGTGCTTACCTGGTGAGTGAATCTTCATTCCTTCTACTGCGCAAGACCGAACTGACCACGATAGCCGTGAGCAATTGTGGCGTCCTATGCAGGTTTCCAGTGAACCAAAAGATACCTACGTATCCGTCGGTACGTTACTGACCGACCGACCTCTACAATCAGCCGATCTGGTTAGCTAACAAGCAAGCAGGTTCTCTCTCGAAAAATGCATGACATCGAGTGCAAGCCCAGCCTGCTGCGGCTGGCTCGTGGTGAGTCTTTTTGTTCCCTCTGTTACTACGGCGATGTCGTCTTCCCATAATGCCGAGCCTTTTGCCTCCCACCGTCCTTCCTTCCCTTCCTTTCCTCCATCTCATCCTCTCCATCGTTCCCACACCTCTCTCTTCGCTCTCTCATCCCACTCATTCTTTCAGCTGACCAACCTTACTTGAAAGGCCCCCTCCCTGAACCATCTTCGACCCCTGGGTCTACAGCCCAGGAGAAAGCAAACACTGTCGAGAAACCGTTCAAGAAAGGTAAGCAGCTTTTGTTTTCTTCGCCTCATTTTGGCCTGCCGAGGCTTGCTGACCCGCATCCAGAACGAACCTCGAACACCAACACCATGGTCGGCCATCAGCCAAAGACCAGCGGCGGCCACCCGCTTCGCAGCTATCGCTTGATCATCAACCAGCCGCAGGAACTCGAGGCGCCAAACACCAGTGGCCCCCCAAAGACCGGTGGCGGCCATCCACCTGGAAGATTTCGCTTGATCACCAGCCAGCTGCAGGAACTCGAGGCGCCAAAGACCAGTGGCAGCCATCCACCTGGAAAAACTCTCTTGGGCACCGGCCAGTTGCAGGAACTTCAGTCGGACACAGTCAAGAAAGACAGACAGCCTAATCCTGGTATGCCCGCGATCGAAACAAGCATACCTTGGAAGATGGTGCCCAAGGTCTTAGCTCATGATCTTTCGCGTGACAAGAACCAACGCGGCACTGATGACCGCAGCAGAATGCCTGCTTGGAGCGGACAGCACAGCGGCGCTCATGACCCCAATCCGTTTGTGAATGATGGACGCCTAGACGGCAAGAACCCACCTGGCTCTGCCCTCTATGTTCCGCCTGTGAATGCGCCAAGTGGTGGAAACATGAACCCTTTTGCCGGCCCTTCGGCGAAGAACCCTACTCAAATCACCCCCAGCGACCTGACTGGAGTTCCTCTCGGGGATACTGTTGGTACAGGAGGCACGGGGCCGTTGGGACCACAGGACTGCCCCTGGGACAACTATGACGAGAAGTTTGCGGGCCCCAAGGTGGAGATTCGTCGGAACAATATCATCATCACGGACCAGACTCGGCGCACCGACAGCGCTGGCAATGACATTTGCACTGAGAAGGGTCTCCTCACTGCTCTGCGAACTGGCACAATGACCGAAGAGGAGGTCAAGGCTCACATCAAGCAGCTTCAGCAGCCGATCATTGACGAAGCGCGCTTGAATGTTTTCCACCGGATGCAGGAGCCTTGCGGCGCTTGCACCGAGGCGCTTCCCACCGTCCGCACTGGTCCTGGCACCGACTTGAACGAAGAACTTTACCACATGCTTGGTGCTGCTCGGTACGCGCAAGGAGTCGAAGCTCCTGAGGCGTGGGCTGAGAATCCGCCCGATATCATCCCCGGTTTTGGGTACGAAGAGGTCGATCCGGACGTGAATTGGAAGAAGGTCCGACAGGGAACCTCCCTGTTCTATGCTCAGTGGGATCGGTACGACGATTCTGCGCGCGCGTGGCCCCAGCTTGTAGAGGGAAAAGTTTTGTTGACAGCTGGGCGCCCGGAAGGCATCATGTATGATCCTCTGCCCTTCCCGCATCTCCCCCAGACTCTTGGGTTCAGCGAGATCACCCCGGAGAACCGAGGACCATGGAATGCAAATTGGAACTTCTGCCCCTCCTACAACGGTGACCGCGAGGCCTTCTTTTGCGTGTTCTGGCGCTGGCTGGAAATGATTCCGGAGGAGTGCCAAGTTGTTGATATCTATCACACCGGTTTTTTTGATGGCACTGCTGGCTCGGACGGAGGCTTTTCGTTGTTCATGCAGAACATCAAGCACCTGCCAACCCCTCGAGACATGCAAGATGAGCAGACTCGACTGCACTGGCACGAAACTGCCACGGGATTCATTCACAACTACAACTATCATCTCGCAAAGGAGAAGAAGGCCGAAGCAGCCAGAAAGAAGGAACGACAGGAGCAGGAGAAGGAGCGAGCTTTGGCTCGCATCATCGTGCAGGTTCCGAAGGCTGTTGAAGCAAATGTGTTTCTGCGCCCTGCCGAGTTCAGCGACATCCCTGGACTGCAATACCTTTTCAACTGGTACATGGAGAACTCGCCTATTAGCCCCGAGAAGCGTCCTCTCGCAGAGGACGACATTCGGAATCTGATTGATGATGCGCGTACCACCATGCTGCCGTTCATTGTCGCCGTTCAGCGCCATTCCTACAACAACCCCAGAAAGAAGCACCGAGCTTCGACGGAGAAAATCTTGGGCTACGCTTTCGTGAAGCATTTCAACGAGAGCAACAGCGCCAACAGCAACATTGGCGAGATGCGCGTGTTCGTTGATCACAACCACAAGAAACAGCATATTGGCCGCGCTCTGGTTGACCGAATCCTGATGACTGTGGACGTCACACACCATGGCTCGGGAGGCCATGATTTCCAGCCTGGCGAACACTACCGCTCGCTGCACGCAACCCGTCCGTTTACCACCATGATTTGTGCCATTGCCTATCCGGAAGACAAGGAGGCCAACTACACCTGGACCAAGCAGTGGTTGGTTCGAGAGTTTGATTTCCAAGTGCAGGGTGTTATGAAACGGGCGAGACTGAAGTTGGGTGATCTGTATGTTTTCTTCCACCTTCCGATCTGAGATCATGGTTTGACTAACATCTCTGATAGTCTTGATGTCTGCTACGTTGTTAGACACATGTTGGGTTATCACTCGCGCCCCAAGCCCCGCGAGTACATCTCTTGATTGGATTGCCTGTTCTGGGCAATTCATGTAACATAGGTCATTGCGATGGATCCAAACGAGAAAAAGAATCGTTCATGGAATAGGAGGGGTGGAGAGCATTGAGAATTGAGATTAGGGATGGACTTTTGAAATTGCGGGAAAATTGCGGGAATAAGGAAGAAAAAGTTATGCTTGATATTGGTAACCAAATTGCACCATGTTAAAAAAATCCTCCCCAAAAAAAAGAGTTTATCTCAAAATGATCCTGACTTCTGATGTTGAGGATGTTGAACTAAAAAGCGCTGACTAACGACACTGGCTCACCGCCCGTGCGGAGTCGACAACTTTTTTTTTCTGCGGGATCAATTTTTTGCTGAGCTGCCCCAGTACAACAAGCGCCAGGCCATTACGAGGTTGGTGCAATACCCTGAGATATTGTGATGATAAATCAACTGATTCACTGACTGATTCCAATTAGCAGTCTACACCGCCATGGCACCAAACCCAGCCATCCGGCGCTCCTCCGTCAAGGAGGACGACTTTGTGCTCACGCTCTCCGACGACGAAGAGACTCCTCGCTTTGACGACGAGGAAGAGGATGGCATTAAAGCGCCATCGTCAAAAGAAACCAAGAAGCGCAAGCGCGAGACCACCGAAGCACCTACCAAAGCCAAGAACAAGAACAAGAAGAACAAGACCCAATCAGCAGCCAAAGCAGTAGCCGAGACCTCAGACGTCGCTGACGAAAGCGACGATGACGCCGGCGACGAAGATGAGGCCTTGGATCCGGATTTCGAATTCGATGTCGGTGGCGCGACCAGTGGTGTTACGGAGGGATTTGATGGGTGGGGGATTGGAGAGAGTGACAAGCAGCAACAGCAGCAGAAAAATGGCGACAAGAAGGCTGTGGATATCGATGATATTATCTCGCGGAGAAGGGAGAGGAAGGAACGGCTCTCTAAGAGAAAGGACAAGAAGATCGAGGAGGTGGAAGAGGTCGGCAGTGGCGATGAGGATGATGTTGTATCTGATGCTGAGGAGGTTGATTTCGAGGACGATGAGTTGATGGCCGATGATGCGTTTGGGATGGGCGTTGATGGTGAAGAGGAGAGTGAGGCTGAAGGGCCTGAAGTTGGTTCTGGGCCTGAATCTGACGACGAGGAAGAAGACGATGATGAGGACGATGATGCTGCGTCCGATAATGATTCCGTTGCTACCCCCGTCGGTCACCCTGATGACATTGGATCAGATCGGGGTTCGGATGACGAGAGCGAGGTCGACGTCGAGGAGCAAGAGAAGCGCAAGGCGTTCTTCGCCCCCGAAGAGAAGACAGACGCCCAAACAGCTGCAGCAGCAGCCAAGAGCACCTTCCAAGACTTCAATCTCTCTCGTCCTATCCTCCGCGGGCTGGCCTCAATCGGATTCACCGACCCAACTCCCATCCAGCGCAAGGCTGTCCCCGTCGCTCTTCTCGGCAAGGATATTGTCGGTAGCGCCGTGACAGGATCCGGAAAGACGGCCGCATTCATGGTCCCAATCCTGGAGCGACTGCTCTTCCGCCCTCGCAAGGTTGCCACCAGCCGTGTTGCCATTCTGATGCCAACGCGTGAATTGGCTGTGCAATGTTACAATGTCGCCGTCAAACTGGCCACCTTTACGGACATTACATTCTGTCAGCTTGTTGGTGGATTCAGTCTGCGTGAGCAGGAGAATATTCTCAAAAAGCGGCCTGATGTTATTATTGCTACGCCTGGACGTTTTATCGATCACATGCGCAATTCCCCTAGCTTCACGGTGGATACGCTGGAGATTCTGGTGCTCGATGAAGCAGACCGGATGCTGGAGGATGGATTCGCGGACGAGCTGAACGAAATTCTGACGACTATCCCGAAGTCGCGACAGACGATGCTTTTCTCTGCTACCATGACCGACACGGTGGATAAGCTCATTCGCGTGGGCCTCAACCGACCCGTGCGGCTGATGGTTGACGCAAAGAAGCAGACGGCCGTAACGCTAGTTCAGGAGTTTGTGCGGCTGCGACCCGGCCGCGAAGACAAACGTCTTGGGTATCTGCTCCACCTGTGCAAGGAAATTTACACGGGGCGTGTGATTATCTTCTTCCGACAGAAGAAGGAGTCGCACCGCGTTCGCATTATCTTCGGGCTGTTGGGCTTGAAAGCAGCCGAGTTGCACGGTAGCCTGAGCCAGGAACAGGTATGTTACTCTAGATTTACATCTCACTACGGTCTACTAACCCGCTTCTAGCGTATCAAAAGCGTGGAGAACTTCCGGGATGGCAAGGTCGCCTTCCTCCTGGCAACCGACCTGGCGTCGCGTGGTCTGGATATCAAGGGCGTGGAAACGGTCATCAACTACGAAGCCCCGCAGAGCCATGAGATCTACGTGCACAGAGTCGGTCGTACCGCGCGTGCGGGCCGGTCCGGTCGCGCATGCACTATCGCCGCCGAGCCCGATCGCAAGGTCGTCAAGGCGGCCGTGAAATCGGGCAAAGCGCAGGGCGCCAAGATCGTCAGCCGGGTCGTGGACCTGGCCGTGGCCGATGACTGGGCCCAGAAAGCGGAGGATCTGGCGGATGAAGTCGAGGAAATCCTGCAGGAAGAAAAGACTGAGAAGCAGCTCTCACAGGCGGAGATGCAGGTGACCAAGGGCGAGAACCTGATCAAGCACGGCAACGAGATCATGGCGCGGCCGAAGCGGACGTGGTTCGAGACGGAGCGGGACAAGCGCGCGTCGCGTAAGCTGGGTGCCGAGGCGCTCAATGGGCCCAATGCGCGCAGTAAGAAGGATAAGGGGAAATTGAGCAATAAGGACAAGAAGCGGCTGGATGACATGAAGGAGAGGCACGAGGGCACCATGGGGTGGAAGAAGGGGAAGAATGAGCGCGAGAGCAAGGAGGTGAAGGGGAAAAAGAAGGGCAAAAAGGGTGGCAAGAAATAATGCATTGTAATTAGCACTTGTAGATAGCTCGCTCGAGGTAGTGGTCTAATTCTCCGATTCGGGAACCCTCGACCAGACTTTGGGACTCCCAACGACGTCAATACTATGAGAGTGGCATTTGGTCCCCCGCGATCCAGCCCCACTAACCCTAACTCCCTCCGTCTCCCTAACAGAAAAAATACTAATTCTCCGAGCCTTCTCCTTCTCTTCATCCATCCTCCCCCGATGAACTAAAAACCTGCTCTCCCTCGATGGTCGTCGAGGGATCCTCTGGCATGGCCGACGTGCCCACGAAGAGCAGTCTCCCCCGAAAGAGCGCCTTCTCCTGCGAGGCGTGTCGAAAGCGCAAGGTGGGTTTTCCTTACCCGGCCGGCTCTCGGCCAGATTCCGAGCTCTGAGTAGTTGCCCCTCCCGATCAAATCCTCTGACTCGCTCTGTGCCTTGTGCCTTGCAGGTGAAGTGCAACGGTGCCAGTCCCTCGTGCTCTCGGTGTTCTGCGCGCGGCGAGGTCTGCGTGTACAGCTTGTAAGTTCTCCTCGTTGGTCCCTGATCATCACGCTTTATTATTTTTTTTATTTTCATGCCTCTCGCACTACCGGCTCTTCCCGTGGTCCGGCTCGTGGTTCTAGCGCTGATCCCGGATCGACCAATGCAGAGCCCCGACGCTTTCCTACACCAAACAGCTCGAGTCACGCGTCGCTCAGCTGGAGGATGCGCTGTCCAAGGTTACGAACCCGCAATATCAACAGCAGCAGCAATTACAGATCGAAGATGAGACGCGCAACAAGGCCAGCAACTCGCCTGCCTCCGCGGCCGAGTCCGGCTCCAGCGTGGGCAGGAAATTCCAGCCCGAGGAAGAAGATCCCCAAGAGCTGGCGAGAAGCTTTGAGGGCCTGAATATTGAGAATGACGGGCGTATCTCGTTTCATGGGCCAACGAGTTTGTTTCAGTTGCCTAGTGGCGTTGTTAATGAGACGGCATCGAGCTCGCATTTTCTGCATGAGCTCGAGGCTAGGAAGGAGAGGTTGATTAATAGTGCCTGGCGGGAGAGGGCGTTTGAGCAGATGGCTGCGATGCCGGTAAGCAGGTCTGATTAGGTTGGTTGGTGGCGGATGATGGCGGCTGACGGAGGTTGGGCTTGCAGGAACCATTTCAATATCTTCTTGATTCGCACTGGTGCTGGATTCAACCGCTGTTCAATTTTGTCTATCGACCAGCATTTACTCGTCTGTCTTGATCTTGACCTCTCACCATTGGCAACTATGAACTGACGCCGAAAAACAGGTGATATGAAAATAAATGGCGCATACTATTCCGACACACTACTGAACGCCATTCTCTCCCACTCCGTCCGGTGGTGCAAAGCAGAGCCCCAGATCGGGCCTTTGCTCGACCAATTCGATGGTGGAGCCAAGTTCTCCGACCAAGCTGTGACGGGACTATTCGACTCCCTAAAAGTTGGCTACGCGGGCATCCCGACCATTCAGACCCTTCTTCTTCTCAGCGCGCAGGAATGCGGGCGCGGAAATCGCACCCAGGCCTGGCTGTACAGCGGCATGGCGTTTCGGTTGCTGGATGACTTGGGGATCTCGATCGATAGTCGGAAATACCATGGAGCCGCGCAGTTGAATGATGAAGATATCGAGATTCGCAATCGTCTGTTTTGGAGTTGTTATTTCTGGGACAAGGTTGTCTCTCTGTATTTCGGTCGCTCGCCGACGATGCAGCATTCGCGAGTCAGCCCTCCGCGCATGATCAGTAAGTTGTCTAGCCCAGCCATGCATATTGCATATTCTGATGGCCTTCGCACGCAGTGGACGACACCTCTGAAGTTGAAATATGGACCCCTCATGGTGTTGATTTCCCAGATGGTGCTCAGTACCCGCCCACCCAGGCCCATTCGACCTCTTGCTTTATGAAGATGTGTGGTTTGGCAGAAGTGCTCAATCAGATCCTCATTCACATATATGATCCTATGCGCCAGACTCCCGCGTCAGAATTCTACGACTGCATCCAGGAGCAAGCGAAGAATCTAAGCGACTGGTGGGACGACCTGCCTGATTATTTGAAACTCGTGGCAACAGACCTACCCTTATACTGTCCCCCAAGCCACATCATGATCCTGAAGTATGCGTTTTTCTCTATCTCCGTGATGAGATCTTGTGCTAATCACCCTCTCAGCTGTCTGTACCATACCATTAACATCCTACTACACCGTCCGATTCTGTGTTCCCGGGAACTACTCAAAACAAGACAAGAGCAGTACGACACAAGCCATCTAGTTCAATGCATGGCGTCGGCAACCTCGATCTTGTCTCTCTTCGATTTGTACCGCCGCACGTTCGGCGACCGCCACGTCGTGCTCTCCCTCGCCTACAGCATCTACACGGCGGCATCGATTTTCCTGCTGGAGATCCAGGCGTTGAAGTACGCTGCGCCAGGGACGCTGGATAAACTCAAATTCTGTATCTTTGCACTTGAAAGAGTCAAGGTGTCTAATCCAGTTATGACAACTGCCCTCAGCCTCATCTATCAAGAGCTTCAGAAACTTCATATTGATATCCACATCACTGTGTCCGCCCCGGCCCCGGAACATGAACAGCGGCAACAACAACAACACCCGCATTCACCATCCGTGAACAGCGATACGCACCCTCACCTCTCCCCAACCCGCCAGCCCGGACAACACCCCCACTCACAGAACCAAGCACCACCACCAGCCGCCCCCAGCACCTCCAACCCCATGATGCCCAGCTACAACAATACATTCCACCACCAAGTCGCAGGCTTCGACCTCTCGCACACACCCGACATGTCCCAGATGCCACCGAACCATCTTCTAGGCGGCATGCCAAATGCCGTGATGACCGTCGACGATCTGGGCTCCTATGAGATCACACCAGAGGTGTTCGAGGCTTTCTCGTATGCGCAGCCCATCTCGACGAATATGACGCCGGCTTTTGATTCTGGGTGGGGCGCGCCGCCTGCATAATACTTTTCTTTGGATGTGTTGATATCCTCGGGCCTGAGCAAGATATAAAACTGGTGGTGTTTGTGTTGGTTGATTTTTGTAGTATTTTGTATACTCTAAATTGGGAGGTTTTCGTGGTGCATTTTATGAAATAGGACATACATTACGACATATTATATCTGTGCTTCTCTACTTAGCATCTACGTGCTCAGCTTCCCTTGTTAGGGGAGACCTGGTAGAGTAGTTCATTCAATTTAACCTTTCTTAATGCAAGTAGTTAGCCAGCACTCAATTCCACCTCCTTTGAAGCCAAAGAATCATACAGCAACAAAGTGAGCAAGCGAAAAGAAAGACAAAGAGAAATCGAGCTTCGAAGAACCCAAACAAAACAAAAATTGATCATCTAAGACCCCAGTGCATCTAGCGAAAGACATGGGAGCGAGAAAAGGAAGTATATCCTGAGAAAAATCTCATAGTATTATACGAAGCAACTGCTCTCGTCATCTTTCTGTCAAGTTGAATACCACTAGCACACTTCAGGACAAGATTATTTATTTAGCATGTACTTGATCCAACGCCTACTTGTATATTCATCATAGGAAGCTCGATCTTAATTCGACAAGCAGACATTGATCAACCATCCTCTTTATTGGTCATCCTTAATACTGGCACATTTTTGTAACCTAAAACTTCACAATTTCTTGAGTCTCATGAGAATAGTGCGAAGTGCGGCACTGAGTTCTACCGTGAATAACGTACAAGCACGATAGTTAACTGTTGGGCTTATGCCACAAAGCCTAGTAGAAAGCCATCAAAACCAAGATGACCTGCGGCAGAATCAGAAGGATCGGAAGTACCAAGGGTCCATTCCTTCCTCAACTGATTCAACCACGTCTCAAGCTCCATCTCCTCGCCGCCAACCTGCACCGTGCCGCTGCGGATCTCTTTTAACTGCGAGGGAATGGAGACAAAGTACCTAGTATGCTGGGAGTTACATCTCTTCTTGGGCATCGCGTCCTCTACCAGTTCAACGCAGTTCGGACACAACTTCCCTTCCAAACAGATGGGGCAAATAGAATAACCATCCCGTGTAGGTGCTTTTCGCCGGCATGGGCCACGACACTTATACCACGGGTCGCCGTTGTCCTGTTCCGACCTGTGGGCAATTGCAATAGCATTTTTGAAGTCTCCCGCCCTCATCAGCGTATATTGTAGGTCGGAAAGCTCCCAGTTCTTGGGATTGTGATCGAGGAGGGCTTGGACACTTCGTTGTAGGGAGGGTCGGAAGAGAGTCCGCGCCCGCTCGTCTTGCCCCCGGAGGTGGCAGTAGATGCCCAAGTAGACGTTCGGCACGAAGGCGTAACTCCCTAAAGAATGATACTGGCTTTCGCAAGCGAGTTTCTCAAGTTTGGCCACCGATTCTTCCGCCTCTGGAGTGCCTACTCCAACTTCAACTGCGTTGCAGAGGAATGCCTGAGCCAGTCTTGAGGAGGCGAGCTGTCTAATAGTCCCGATCAGCGTCCCGGCGGAGGAGGAGGAGTATGTATCCATGATCTTCTCCCAGCACCTGATTGCCTTCAGGTGGTCAAAAAGGATCTCATCATAGATTCGAGCGATTGCCATATCCACCTCTGCGGCAATCAACGTCCTCGAAGCTGTTCGAGCCACCCTGGCCGCCGTTTGCAGGCTCTCCAACACGAAGTCCAGGTCATTGGTAGCCGATGCGGCGTCGGCAGCAAGTCTTGACTTGCCGTCCACATCAAAGACGTTGGCCAGTAAGAATCGCGTTAATTCTGAGAAATCTTCTTCAGGAGCTGGACTGTCGGCCAAACTCTTCAGCAAGTTCATGCTTACTTCGTAAGCACAGTTGTCGTTATGGTATTCCAGAAGGGCATAGACACATGTCCAGCAAGAGGGTGCGTATTGATATGCCTCTTGAACCGCCTCGAATCGTTTCTCCCGGTCCTCTTGTTCTTCATAGATCTGAGCCATACGTTCTAGACACTCATGAAGATGTCCTTTCAATGGCACGTTATCTGGTGCCTCCGCAATTGTGGTCAACAAACTTAGTCGAGCCCGTTCCCAGAGCTCAATAGATTTCTGCCAATCGTCTTGCTCCCGATATGTTTGTGCTAGCTCATGCAGGGTCCGCCAGTTGTCCGGATTGAGTTCCATCGCCTTTTCAAAATACTGTAGGGCCTCCTCATGGCACCCCGATTCGCGCAGAGCGATTGCACATTGTTGAAACCACTGACTGGTCTTCTCGAAGCCACCAAACTCAGCGGCCTCGACCACCTCTTCCGCCGTTAGATTCCTATTGTCATCCTGGACCTCTTCACCCTTAACCAGCATTTGGTAGCGCCTGACTATAGAGACCATGGGAGCAGGACTAGGCAAGTCTTCCCACAGCCACCTCTTGATGCAGAACATTACCATTGGTTTGAGTAAATTGGCTGGCTCTTCCACTGTCGTGGAGATAAACTCCTTCTCTTCCGGAGATAGAAACTCCTGGACGTCTTGCTCTTGCCACCATTGTCGGACAGCTTTGATGATAGCAGTAGAAAGAGCCCAATCATTTCCCCCAAGCCAGTTCGACATTGATTCTTCTGATCGAAAGGCCGTCAATAGCATCTTCGCGATCTCTCGTCTATCTTCCGTTGAGCCCTTGGACGGGAAAGTAGTGAGCAGGTGATCTCCCCAATGCTGCGCAGCATGTCGGAGCATGCGCCCTGAGTCGTCGGCCTTCGTTGCAAAGTCGGGATTGGTGATGAGCCTTAAGTAAGTCAGGAGGATATGAACTTTCGCTTCATTGTAATTCACCCCGACGCCAATGTGACCCCCTGTAGCGGACACCTTGCCCTCTAGCTCATCGCGAAAGAAGTCGCCAATGGATGCATGACAGAAGGTGACGGTAGTTGTATCCTTTTTTGAGTTGAAGGCCATGAAGTAGTCCTCCTCGGGACTCTCATATTCATCTTGTTTCTCCTCCTCCGTCCTCCAGTCGAACGCATCTAGATCGGCTGATCCATCCTCTAGCTCGGCTGTCGTAAGGCCATCCTCTCTGTCCAGGGAGAAGAATGACGCCCACTGGCGTCGTAGGGCTCCTTCAAGGTCAATCATACCGTCTCCTTCGGGTGATTTCAATCTGAGAACCGCCTCTATCTCGGCCAGTCTCCACGGTTGATTTGCGCAGGTGACCCAGAGCAATGTTTCATTGAGATACTCGAGCTCCTCCTCATTAGATCTTTCAGAGAAAGTGGCCAAGACATGTCGGAGCATCTCCTTAAGCCCCTTGGGAGCCTGATCCAAAGCTCTCCGTATACTGGTCTCATTTCGCTTCTTAGCTAACTCCTGCAGCATAAGGTTTACCCAAAGAAACATGCCTTCGGCCCTGGCCGAGAGTTTCTCAATGATCTCATCCCGTAGCTTTGCCGACACCCTTCGCAGAACCAGGGACTTTTTGATGCTGACGTGGATATACTGGGTAATATCGCCGGAGTTCTTCTGTTTGGTGACGTGAAGCGTTGGCACCTTAGCCTCCAAGCCTTCGAGCAGTTGGTCGCTGATATAAGGGCGGCCAACGATGGCTAGCTGCAAACACGACTGGTTGCTATACAACTGCTTTGCGAGATCGACGAAGCACTTGCGCTCCTCATCCAGGGCTTCATCTACTGCATCCAGCAGGATATACACGGTGCTCTCGATTTTGGGATTTTTGAGAAAGTATTCACCGAAGAGGAGACGCCACGCGCTTTCAAGAGTGCTGATTTGTTCATATTCCTCGATAGTCCCGAGATGCTTTCGGTATTCCGGGTCATTCCTGCTGATTTGAAAGGCCAGGTCTCGCAAAGCCTGATGAAAGGACCTTGTCTCGGGTTTGTCATCCTTGAAGAAGAAGTAGCCGATCGAAATCATCGGACTACACTGAAGGCCTGGGGGAAACCGCTTGAGAAGGAAACTGATCATATTTGCCGCCAGAAAAGACTTCCCGGAACCCGGGTTCCCGGAGACAAAGATGACCGGCGTTTCCTTATTGATCCAGGACTGAAAAACATCATCCCTGTGAACCCAGTCTCCTGTGCTCGGTACACGGGCCTTGTGGATCTTGTCGAACCATTCCTGCGCTGAATCAACCTTGGATGGCCTAAGAACCTGGTTTATCACTCGCTGCAGGGCTTCTTGATCCTCCCGGGTGTCCTGGCTTTTTTCATTCGCGGAAACGATCAGCTTCTCTAGCATATCCTGCACGTCATGCACCTGCGCGCTCATCTGATTCACCGTCATCCCGGTCTCCAGGACTGTCGCGTTGGTGGCGTTGACGGTCACTGATATACCATCAACTACACGACCGGCTCTCTTCGACTCGGTCAAGGTCTCAGCTCCAACTAGGTTCGCTTCGACCTGGGTAAGCTTGTCAAGCCTGGCCATCGCGGCTTGAATAGCGTCGTCGTTACCCAGTAGAATATTCCGGGTGAACTTCAGCAGTCGGCCTCGTTGGATGGTCTTGGATGACAAGGCAAAAATCTCGATAAGGGTAACGATAATATCCCCCAGTTTGTCGCTTATAGCTTCGGAGATAACCTCTTGTGTGTATGTTCTTAGTCGGATGGTGAAATCCTAGTCTCGTTCAGAGTTCCATCCTTTGCCATGTCTTCGTCTGCATGTAGCTAGACCATACCTGCAGCATCTGCATCAAGTCCTGAATCGCATCGTACGAGGCCGATACCCCCTTTGCAGCATCCACCAATTGCATAACAGCCCCAAAGACAAGACTACTGGGGGCGAATACCATCGACGCGCCTCCAGCCGCGAGGTTGCCGAACAATTGCACGGGAACCAGAGCCGCTTTGAGAACATCGAAGATGGCGCCTCGTTTTTCGCGGAATTCGCGGAAGGCTCTGTTCCTCTCGTCGATCTCTTTCGTGAGATCGCTGACGCTGCGAATCTTTGTGAAAAAGTCGACCCCGAGAGTCTCCCCCGTGATTTCGCGGTACTTTCGGATCGCCTTCTCATAAATGACGGAGGATTGATCCGTGGGAGTGTCCATTTTTGACGTTGAAAATCGATGCAATTTTCATAACCTTGGAGATCGAGTTGAACTGGATGGAACTGGTGGACATTGCCCTATTTATCAGGTAATTCATGTCTAGGCAGGCCTCTGCGGGGTTCATAAGCCACCTGTCGTGCTTATACAGTAAGGTCAGCCATGTCGAATACAATCATCATATTTTTGGATCCGAGGGGTTTTGAAGCCTGCATGTCTACTCAGATATCCAAGAAATGGACATTCACAAAGTTGCTGATATTTGATCAGAATAACGAGGCTAAAACCCCCCGTTTCCCTTTCGCAGGCCCTTAGACTCGAACCCCTGCGGGCGAACCCAACAGCTTTCTAAAGTGTCTCAGAGCAAGCAGCTGAACCAGGTGGCTCGTGTTGGCAACAGTATTTAATAATGCTCCTGCGTTTGATTATCAATCAGCCTAAATCAACCTCAATACACCCGAATGGAGCTTCGCGTATTACATGGCCAGGCGTGAGATCTTCACACGACATCCCCGCTATATATAACCCAGCCCAGAGCCAGCCCACTGCCCTTCCTCTTCTTTCCATGACTCCTTAATATCTTATACAGCAATATTCGAAATCAGATATACCAACGTACTCTCACGGATTAATTCCCGAACGCAAATGTGGAACGCATTAGTCTAATTTTACGTGAACGGCTATACTACATGATGCTGCACGATTGCTTCGTGGGCCAATAAGCAGTATTTTCGACATGGAAATTGGGCATAAGATGTAACATGCTCTCTGTTTACGTGGAATAATTGTTCCCCATGCTTGTATCGTCGGCCGGAAACTTCCGACTCCATACAGCTCCACATTTCGGAGCCGCCGAAATATTGACGTGCGATGCGTGGTTCCAGGCGTTGGAGCTGAAACCGCACCAAGCCGAGGCCAAGTAGGTCCCCCTACAACACTTTCTTTTGACGACCATATGCAAACAGTATTTTCTGAATGTCCCCTAATGCCTGGGACTCATCGGTGACCAAAAGGGGTGAATAGGGGCAGACGGGGAGTTACGAGAGTGGGGGCCGTTGGGGGCCGTCGAGTCAGGTCCTTAAATGCACTAAGCTCCATTAGACGCGCACCTCTCGAGCACCACCGAGCAAGTGCGTCCTGGTCTAAAAGTTCACAGACGCTGTCCCTTTTGACGGTTCAATATACCTTTGGATAGGTATGGCCTCGCGCAAGAAGATTCGCGAAAGCTCTAGGAGTTGCGAGAACTGCCGGGCTATCAAGCGCCGCGTGAGTATCATTCTGTTTTCTCCCGTCTACTCGGCCAGTGCTAATTCCGTCTGTATACAGTGCGACAAGAAGCTTCCCCACTGTGGACAGTGCATTCGTACGCGCACCAAATGCCTTGGGTACCGAGATGAATGGGCACTCGTCTTCCGCGACCAGACCGAACGTACCATAAAACGGGTGAAGGAGGAAAATGCAAAGAAGGCGGCCTCAACTGATGCTGACTACTCGGCCCTTTTCTCCCGCGACCTAAACTCCAGCGTGGATCAGATAGATGTCAACTATTTCCTCAAACTCCAATACTCCAATCGATCACAGCCGTTAGCGCTATCGCAGAGCTCCAACCTACTTGAGACTATCGTCTCAGGCCCGATGATGCGCGACCAAGTTTTTTCTTTCTATTTGAGGAACTACTTTCCTCAAAAGATGGAACAGACGTGTAATATTGACATGTCGCAATTTGTTATCTCAGGCATCTACGCGCTCCCTCAGAAGAGCCCGATGCTAGAGAAGGCCTGTTCCGCATTATCATGCGTTTTCCTAGGCAAGATTCATCATAATCAACAGATCTTGCAGCATGGGCTTCGGCTATACAACCATGCAATTCGGCAGCTGGCAAACGCAATTAGTCATAATGCTTTTACTGATGATATCGTGTATACTTGTGTCATTTTCCAGCAAGTTCAGGTAAGAAGATCTTTTCTTGTTGTTCAAAGGTGCTGGTTTGTAACACATTGATCTAGACTCACCATTGTCCACACAGCCTCCGTGAATGGATCACTCATATAGATGGGCTAAGCGCAGTTATGAGATACTATGGCCCGAAAAAGCTTACAACTCCGCTACTAGCCGCCATCTTTGGCCCATACCAGAAATCTAAAGTGGTAAGAAAATGCGGCAGTTTATTTCGCTCTCCATAAAGTGAATATTCCCTAATTATCGTTATAGGTGCACACAGGGTTGATGTTTCTATCCGAGGAGACAATAGCGTGGCTTAAGGAACCCAATGAAGGTGGACTATGGTTTGAGAGCATCGGACTTCTTGCAGAGATATCGCGTATTGCTGCGGCAATTAACGCTACTAACGTCTCTGATCACGATACTTGCAACTCTCTGCTAGACGATTGCTTGGCACTTGAGAAGAATCACATGGATTTCTGGACGCAAATTAATGAAAATATTGACGGAGAGCCTCCGACATACGCTCGCGGTGAATTAAAGTCAGGCATAACTTCTACGGATGATTTATTCGGTCCCGCCTATCGATTCTCCTCCCTCAATGATGCCATCCTACATGCTTTCCTCTGGATGTCGTTGTCCTTTGTCTATCTTCTAATTCGCAAATGCCGGACTCTTATCATGGCTGATATGCCTAATAGTTTCCCAATGGACGATATCGAAGACAGGGCACGTCGCCTTTCCACATTATATGTCACTAAGGCCATTAGATGTCTTCCATACTGTGGGCAAGAGGGCATGAATTCATGGGGCATCTTTTATGGGGTGTTTGTTGCAGCCCAAGCCTCACGGACATACATTCACTCCAAGGATTGGGAGCGGTTTCTTTGGGCCCAAGATGCTTTTATCTATATGGAGCGCGCAGGCTTCGACAATGCTGGTCGATTTCATGACATCTATCGGAACTATTGGTTTGAAAGCCACAAACTTGATGCCTGCAGAGTTTTAAATTTCAGAAATTTGGATGATGAGCAGAAACCGTCTGTCCATGGAGTGAAAGAAGGCAACGTGTCGAATGCGGCCATGTACGACGGCACCGACGGACTAACCAGATGAGATGATTGGTATCTACTACACCGCCTCTTATCACCTGAGAACGGAGCGAACAAGAGCATATGGTGGTACAGGAGAATGGAGCTGTGACTTGGCTATGGGGCTTGTTTTTGTGGACGTTTTGGTAGTTTCATTATTTTCAGTTTCGACAGTAACAATTACAGTCAGAGAAGCAGACCAAGAAGATGATCGTTGGCTAACATGTTCTTTGAGACAAGTGTAGCGGTCAATGTACATGTACCCCTCCATACAGGACTACCGTACACTTACTTGCTCTACGAAAGTGAATTGGATCCTGTTGCGTGTCTCCTACGTCGGATTATAGTCAAGAGTCAACGGAAAGAGGCCTTTTGGTTGGCGAGGTGGACAGCAGCCAAGAAGAGGCACGCAGGCAGCAAGTGTATAGCACTTCCGTGTAAAATACATCATGCAAAGGTCTCGCCAACGTCATGTAGGACTTTCTCACCTGGCGGAAGCGACTGGTGCTAGTCGCCATGCGGCGACCGAGAGATTATAGTTGATTACCGGTACTCGAAATCCTGAATTGGGTCTGATACTGACCAGAAGCAATTGAGGGTCTATGTGGACTCTACGACAAGACAAAGAATGAAGAGGGGTAACAAGTCTATCTGAGAAGGACAAACAGACACATCGCAGATCAGTCTGGCGCAATATAGCTACGTATGTGTAAAACTTGTCATAACTTCGCCGCCGGTCCTCCGATGAGGGGCTAACATTCATCATAATCTAAGAGAACTTGGCAGGAAGTTGGCTAAGAGAAGCTGCCCTTGGTCTCGCAACCAGTCTCCCTTTATCGACCAACAAACACTCTGTGAAGGAAAAGAACCGGTCAGCCTCCCCAATTTTGCCACTAATGTGAACAAAACGCCTGGCCGTTGACATCCGATACGAACAACCCGGGAAAGCATACTCTCTGGTGCTAAGCAAACTCGGTGCCTATCAAGTATGATGTCGAACCCGCTTGTGGGGTGCGTTGGAGGACATTTGACGTCGTTTAGCTTCCTTACGCCTCTGGCCTCTGTTGATACATGTTAGCTTGGGAAGTGGAGGAGATAATTGGACCAGTACTTGCCCATGTAAGCCCTCGGCGTTATTCAAAGTCTTTGCCGTGGCGATATGATCGTTGGGTCTTCCATCCGAGGGGAATTTGATCATGACCTTGGTCTCCAAATGATTAGAGAACCTTCGATATCCATTGGGTGCATCGTCGATATCAATGGTGGAGGAGAAGACGAAGCCAGGTTTGGCCCTGCCGACTTTCACAAGTTCCAACAGTGGCTCAACAAATAATTTGCTGTCCACCTCGCCACCACGCATGGTCAGGTTCTTTTCCCAGAAGAGCGTTATGGGAAATGTCATAGTGGGTGAGATGGAGTTCCCTCGCTCAGCTCCTTTGGAAGTTGGCTGAGCAAAGTGCACCCCAACGACTGCTAGACCACCACCCACGCTGGTGCACTTAATTGCCTGCGTGATGACGAAGGATTGGTCCGGCTTCATCTTCTCATTGACACATTCCTCTCCAATACAATCTAAGGTGCGCTGAACGCCATCTGGTTCCAAGGCAAGTATCTGCGCCGAAGGTTCGCCCTTGGTGAAGTTGATTGGGATGGCCCCAATGGAGGCTGCAAGTGCAAGTCGCTCTTCAACGGAGTCAATTGAGTACACCCGGGAGGCCCCCCGGAGGATTGACGAATATGCCGCGAGAAGTCCCACAGGGCCCGCACCAAAGATAGCGATGGTATCTCCAGGCTCGAACCCCGACCAAGTGACTCCAACCCATGCGGTGGGGAAGATATCTGAAAGAGGAACCAAATCCTCATCCTCAATATTATCAAATTCCTCACCGAGGACGATCAAGGACTTGTCCGCAAGTGGGACACGGACAAACTCGGCTGCCGAGAATGGTGTGGTCAGTCAGACAGATATCACTATCAATAATAACCCAACCATCGCTGTCCAAGAGATGATACACCATGATTTCGGGGGGCTGAACGCACCTTGGCAGCCTCCCAGATTGCCAAATTGCTCGCCCTCTCCATAGATTGTGACCGCAGGTGTACTCGTTGGCTCCAAATCTAGTCCAGCACTATCAGGCGAGTCTGGGATGATGACCCGATTCCCAACCTTCACAAGCGTAACATCCGCTCCGACTTGCTCGACAATTCCCATAGCCTCATGTCCAAGAGGATAAGGCACGTTGGTGCTGCCCAAGACGCCGTGGTAAGTGTGCAGGTCAGTACCGCAGATAGCTGCTGAGGTGACACGGACCACAGCGTCCGTTCGCTTGATGACCTGAGCTTTCGGAAGATTGCGGACATGTACCTCGAACGGCTGACCATCGAAGACGACCGATCGCATGGTATCTTTGTTGTTATTAGTCTCCGCCATGATGTATAAAGAATATGTATTGTCGTAGAAATGTGGAAACGGGGGAAGTGCGTTGCAGATATCTCTTCACTGATTGTTATAAAATAGGGAGAAATTCACAGTTGGGTTCGAGTTTGTTGGGATCAATCCTTCCTTTTGGGAAGTCACCAGTCCGTATAAATATGTCTAATATCGCATAGCTGAGCTTCAGCTACCATCTCAGCTTCCGTCAGCCTCAGCTCATACATTGGCATCTCGGCGGTTTTCAGATGGGGCCTTACATGTCCGCAGGTGGTGTTAGATTTCGAATTTCAGGCAGGGTCGCGAGGGAGCGGTGACATCGCTATGATAACTGTGGTTTGTCTCTTACAATCTTACCTTAGATCCTAGTCAGCTTTTCGCTGCTATATTAAGCATTTGATTACGGTAGATATGTACTATAAAATTAGACGCTGGGCTATACGAACTATGCCTAGTACGGTTCCGGTGCTAACGACGAACAAGCAACGCGCCCTACGAGTTCAACATTATACTTATACTGCTTTACATTTCTATTAGAGTGAGCCAAAGAGAATCATGTGCGGCCTTACTCAGTCTTGAATTTTGATATTGACAGCCATCGTATTCTCCATGTTTCTTGTCATGCTAGGAATACGGGTCGCCTTACAGCTCGTTACATTTCAGCCGCTTCAGCCACATTCGCTGTTCTTGTTTAGTCTTAGGGTCGGGCCGGAATTAGCTGATTGGTAGTATCTATGGCTCTCAGGACTGAGATTGGTTAACTCCTCCCTCCTGGCCATGAATGTCACACGTCATTAGCCAATGAGTTACTGCCGAAGGTCTTCAGGCGGGGACCCTCGCCACCGTGGAAGTCAAGGGACTAGGTGGCCTTAACTCCTTGTCAGATCAATGCATTCTCATACCTAAAATAGCTTTGCATCTCTTAATCACATTATTATCATCCCGAGTATCTGTTCTAAAGCCTTGTCTTCTCACAATGCCGTGGCAAAAGGTCTCCCTCTTTAGCTATGAGCGCTAGCTCGACTTCCTAGAACAGTTTTAATGCAATATCACATATGCCATAACACCTTGACGAAAGCAGCAATATCCTGTCTCGTGTACTGTGTGCAGATACATCTCTAGGAGTGAAGTGGTATTCCCTAGGAGGGCTTCTTTGCTGGATTGTTATACCTGTGGGCCCTGAGCGATATTTGCTTGAAAAGTAAGATATATCTGTTCGTTTGTCCATCGCCACCGGAAATTGAGAGCGGAAACTGGCCAGGCCTAGGGAAGAATTCAAACAGAAGGAAACCCATGCCCTACAAGATGCTGTATACTTCACCTACACGTGATTATAAATCTTATGCCTCAGGCACCAACAAATTATCTCTCCGACAGTGCCCAGACCGCTTTCGTTCTCGGCTTTTGCTTTTGTCAGCTTTTGTTCTCCGACTCCCCCGCCGGCCTGTATATAATTAGCCTCTTTCTCACCTTCTCTCTCACCCCGCTCTTCCTCCATGCTCTCCCGCTCTCTTGCTATCCCTTCATCCCGGGTCAGCTATAGAGGCTCTTCACTTTTGAACCGATTTTCCCGGACTTGCAAGCTTCATACCGTTGCAGGTCGACGTCCGACCGCCGCCGATCAAACCCTGGCGACCACCCGCACCTCCTCCACGCCTTCAATTGCTCTTGCGCCTCGTCTTTCAACTATCTCTAGACACCTTTCGTCCTCCAGCAGCAACATGGCTCCCGTCGACACGAAACAATATGACTATATCGTCCTGGGCGGTGGAAGCGGCGGCAGTGGCAGCGCTCGCCGTGCTGCCGGGTGGTATGGCGCAAAGACACTAATTGTTGAAAGTGGACGTTCTGGCGGTACTTGTGTCAATGTTGGGTGAGTTTTATACCTCTATACCTTGCTCTTGGTGGCGCACGCACTTACCCGGCCGCTCCTAGCTGCGTGCCCAAGAAAATGACCTGGAACTTCGCAACTATCAACGAAATGCTAGAGACCGGCAAACACTACGGCTACGACATTCCCGAGAATATCAAGATGGACTACAACCATTTCAAGAACACTCGCGACGCCGTCATCAAACGGCTGAACGGCGCCTACGAGCGCAACTGGAATCGGGAAGGAATCGATCTGGTACACGGCCGCGCCAAGTTCGTCGACCCCAAGACCATTGAGGTGGATCTGGGCGACGGCTCTGGCACCGCCCGGTACACGGCGCCGCACATTCTCCTCGCGACCGGTGGCCGACCCAGCCTCCCCAACGTCCCCGGTGCCGAGCACGGGATCACCAGCGACGGCTTCTTCGAGATGGAGGAGCTGCCACCCAAGGTTGCGGTCGTCGGCGCGGGATACATCGCCGTTGAGCTGGCGGGTGTTATGAACGCCGTCGATGTTGAAACCCACATGTTCATCCGCGGGCAGACCTTCCTGCGCAAGTTTGACCCCATGGTCCAGCATACTATGACGGATCGCTATGAGGCTACTGGCGTTAAGATTCACCGCGGACACACTGGTTTCAAAGAGATCAAGCTCATCCGGGACGGCAAGGGCAAGGACAAGCTCATCAAGCTGGTTAGCAACGACGGCTCCGAGATGGAGGTTAACGAGCTGCTCTGGGCTATTGGTCGCCTTCCCGAGGTTGAGGACCTGCACCTGGATATCCCTGGTGTGAAACTGAACCACGGTGGCTTTGTCGTGGTCGACGAGTACCAGAACACCTCTGTGGAGGGCGTCTACGCTCTGGGCGATGTGACCGGCCAAGCCGAGTTGACACCCGGTAAGCAATGAAATCCCCGGGACCAACCCACCCACCCACCCACCAACTGTACTAACATACTTTTTCAGTTGCAATCGCCGCCGGCCGCCAGCTAGGAAGCCGCCTCTTCGGACCCCCGGAATGCAAATCCGCCAAGCTCAACTACGAGAACATCCCAACAGTAGTCTTCTCGCACCCCGAAGTTGGGTCCATCGGCCTGACGGAGCCAGAGGCCCGCCAGCGCTACGGTGACGACAAGATCAAGATCTACCACACCAAGTTCACGGCGATGTTCTACGACGTCATGCCGCCGGAGGAGAAAGCCAAGAACCCCACTGAGATGAAGCTCATCTGCGCCGGGCCACAGGAGAAGATTGTCGGTCTGCACATTCTGGGCCTGGGCGTTGGGGAGATGTTGCAAGGCTTCGGTGTTGCGGTGAAGATGGGCGCGACGAAGCAGGACTTTGATAGCTGTGTTGCTATCCACCCTACCAGCTCAGAGGAATTGGTTACGATGCGGTAGATTTCGAATCTGTGCTGTGTGCTTCTGTTGGGCTGTTTGTTACCTAGTTGCAGATCCAAGTATCTAGACCCTGTGCTCAATTAATTGCATTCTCTAAACTGGTTTCACCACTGTGTCACTTTCTTTTGGGATTTTCAGGTGGTATGTTATGGGCTGTTGGTTGGTGGGCATTGTACGGTTCAGTTCGGTCCGTGATACTGATTCTGTTGGGTGCGTGTTACACTTGTTTCGAGGTGGAGGGTCTGTTGAATAAACCATCTGAAATGATCACAGGGATTCGTGATAGGAATAAGTCCTACGGTGAGACAGAGGCAGCTTATCATTTCATGTCTTTGTGTTTATTCGACAATATTTGGATAGATGTATGGCTGAAATAAAACAATTGCACAGATATTCCTTCGATCTGTGCTTTGCGAAGAGGGCCGGCGGTGGTGCAGGGAAGAAGTGCACCAAGTCCGAGGTAATCTGTTCCGCATAGTCCAGCGCTGGACAGACTGGTACCCTGCTTGTGTGATGAAAATGAAGAAAATCCTGCAGGGTCGTATTCGCAACAGCAGAGTGGCCCGTAACGACCTAGAGACACAGAAACCGGAGATAAAAAAAACCAGATCGTGTCCGTATATTGTGGGCGATCATGGTTGACGGTGACGGAGCCCGCGGATATAGTGTATACTTTCAGACCAGAAAAGACACATCACCGTTTCGGGTCAGATAGAGAAGAATACATGATCCATGTAATCACAAGAGAATCTTTCAACCTTGCTGCGACGGGGTGGATGGCTCTTCGTGAATCGGACTCGGGTTAACCTTGTCCAGCGCCACGGTATGCAGGGCGGGTTTCTGGGTGTCGGGATGGAGCTTCTGCGTACGAAGTTCCGTTTGCTTGCGCACCCAGTCTGCGACTTCCTTGTCCTCCGTCGTGGCGGAGGCATCCGTAGACGCAGCTTGCTGTTCGGATTCGCTTGGGGGTTGCATGAGAGGTGCGAGCCATGGGTGGCGAATCAGTATGCCGTAGGATGGTCGGTTCTTGGGGTTCTTGTCCAAACAGGCGCGGATGAAGTTGTGGGCGTCTTCTGAGTAGCCTGTCGAGGGCAGAGTTGGAGGGTCACCGTCGACAATAGCCTGCAGGGATTAGAATAGAAAGACCAAAAGAACGAAAGAATACTCACGTGGAGTTGGCTGAAAATGTTGTTGTAGGTCTCCGGTGGGTATGGATATCGGCCCATAGCGCACTCGATGATCGTTAACCCCAGGCTCCAGATGTCACTTTGCACACTATAAGTACCACCACCACTGGAAGACCCCGACTGCTGCATCCCGCCACCTGCGATTCGCTCTGGAGCCATGTAGCTCTGGCATCCGATATTGGTCTTGGCAATGCTGGCCACCAGGTTTCCGCTGACACCAAAGTCGCAAATCTTGATCTGGCCCTTGGTATTAGCCAGGATATTCGTCGGTTTGACGTCGCGATGGATGATGTTGTGGTCGTCCTTGAGCGACTTCAGCCCCATCACCGTCGACAAAGCCACCTTGCGGAGGATATTCTCAGAAACACCCCCTTCGTAGAGCTTGTCGATTGACCCCCCGTCCATGTACTCGACACACATGTAGACCGCACCCTCCTGGAAGAAGGCTCCGTAGAAATCAATGATGAAAGGCGAAATGCAGCGATGCAGGATGTCCAGCTCCATGATGATCTGCGCAAATTTCTTCTCGTCCAACTCCAG